TCAAGAAGCCCCAGGAAAGTTTCTATGCGTTCTTTCTTCTCTTATCTCATGATCCTTTTGTCTTTTTTTTCTTAGGAGTTGCGGGTAAAGATTGGAAACAGTGTGGAAATCGGTGCCAATTCGTCCATCGACCGTGGGAGGTAACTAAAGATGTTACATGTTCTTCTTAAGTCTCGTTTGCTCTGGATGGATCGTCAGCTGGCGTGACACAGTCATCGGGGATAACACGAAGCTTGACAACTTGGTCCAGGTTTGAGAAACGTTTTCTTTTCTTGAGCATCGCTTACTCTTGGCTTGTTTACATGTAGATTGGACACAATGTTGTGATAGGATGCAACTGTATGATTTGTGGACAAGTTGGAATTGCCGGATCTTGCACGTAAGTACGAACAACCTTGTTGTTCTTGAGATCTTTCTCTTTTTTCTTCGCTGCAGACTAGGAGATAATGTAGTCTTGGGTGGCCAAGCAGGTGTTGCGGACCACATAGAAATCGCTTCAAAGGTCCTGGTTCCTGACGTTGCCAATCTCTTCATCACTTTCTTTTCTCTAGGTCCGAATCGCAGCGAAAAGTGGAGTTACCTCAAACATTACCGAGCCAGGAGACTATGCCGGTTTTCCAGCAGTATGGTTTCTTTTCCCAGTTTAGTTGCAAAAACACTTGTGCTTACTGAAGTCACAGGTGCCCGTGAAACAATGGCGGGAATCGGTGGTGGCTTCTCGAAGACTTTGTGACAAACATCCAAAGTGAGTGCATGACGAGAGCTAGCGTGAAATCGCTCTCGAGCTCGGCAAATCCACTGCGTAAACTCGCTGGTAGCCGCAAAACCAAGGTTTTTTACTCATCAAGTTTTTCCTCAAGTGTATCTTTTCCTCGATATCGTTGTCCATGTCACGCTATTTGGCTGGAGTGGCATTCTCCTCGCTAACACGGCCAAGAACGTCGTTCATGCAGTAAGTGCTCGATGTGCAAACTTGGACCACATTCCATTCAAGAACTCCCTTCCTTGATCGAGAATCGTTGCGTGACTGCACGCCGAGAATATGTCCACAAGGGCTATGCTGTCCAGCTTCCTCTCGCATGCTCCGAAACGCTTGGAACGCAGCGATGGCGTCTCCTCGAGCGCCATGTCCTGCGATCAAAGTATTCCTCGCCACTGTGTCGGGGGAAGCGATGGAATCTCGGGCAGGGGATGCATTTCCACCTGGAGCTCTCAAACAGGAGCTCGGCGTCCTCGACGCTCCCGCATTTACAGTAGAAGTCAAGCAGGAAAATCGCCACAGAGACGTGAAAACACTCTTCTAGTCTCTGCCAGAGAATCTGTCCGTGGAAGAGCTTCCCGAGCTTCAAATCTCCCACGTTCCCGCAAGCTTGCAACAACGCAAGAGAGTTTGGAGCAACTTCCATGGCCGCATAACTTTCCAACCCAAGCTCGTCCTCGCCGTTATAAACACATCCAAACAGGCAAGAGTTCCACGAGACTACGTCGCGATCTAAGATCTTATCGAACACCTGGTGAGCGTCCACGATCAAGCTTCCACTCTTGGCATACATATCAACCAAACTGCTAGCAAGCGACGGATCCTTCTCCAGGCAGATCCAATTGCTTTCTCAAGAGATTCTACGTCTAAATCTCTTGCCTCGGCTAGAACGCTGCAGGCTAGACAAGCTAAACGATCGGGTTTAAGTCCTTGTCAAAGCAAAGCTCTTCTCCACCTTGGCTCTCGTGAGCGGCCAAACTAGAGCAAGCTAAGCCACGAGAAAACTCGAGCAATCCGGATTGATAATGGTAGCTTCCATCTGCCAGAAGAGCTCCAGAGCCAAATCTTCCTGCCGGTTTTGAGCGTATCCCAGAACCAACACCGTCCAGGAAACCATCAAAAACTCACCGAGAGTCTCTCATGCTTCAACACTTGGCGTAGGCATCTACGAGACAAGTTGCCAAACGAGTGTACCGCGAGAGCATGCTATCCGAGCTCTTGGCAGCTCGAGCGTGGATCGCCATGGTTCTCTCCAGCAACTTCATCTTCCCCACGAAGAACTTCCCATTTTCGATCCCTGCTCGTTCTCTCATGCAAGACTTGAGAAGGGCCGGGAGAGTGGGGCAGCATTGGATCGCAGCCACTTCTTTTCCAAAAAATCCAGTGGCATCTCCGGAGCTCCATTCTGAACGTAGCCACGAAGCCACATTTCGCGTACATGGCCACGAGAGCGCTGGCGATGTAGATGTTGGCCTCTCCAAAATTGTGCTAAATCCTTTGCTCTAGCGGGTACCTTTAGCGCCAGTGTAGGGATCGCCTAAATGTTATTACTTAAACATGATACCTTTAAAAATAAAATATACCCAGAACCTAGAGAATTTAAACTTAGGCAAGGGATGGAGTACTTTGATCAAAACACCTTCTTGGGTGAGAAACTCCCAGTGCTGGTAAGGAAATAGAGAAATCTATGGGGGATGGAGGGCAAACGATGGTATAAAAGGGGCTCGTCCACTTTGAGGAGATTAGAGCCCAATCTATATGGGGAGGTGTACTACCTTGTTTTTGAGTTGTGCAATTGCAATTTTCATGACCGGATCAAGCATAAAGGGCAAAGAGTCTAGCCCTGGGTTCTCTACTCCTGTGATTTGGGAAGTTCTATGTCTCGAAGGTGTCTGGCTGGATCAGACTCATGAGCAAAAAGAAGAGCTCCGTATACTTCATAGCGAATGTGACGAACTGCCACAGGGCGTGACCTAGGATGCCACGTGGTGCTGACGTGGAGAGAGCGAGAACTCAACAGCAGCTACAGGGAGGAGTCTCGAAAGGCCCGGAGCTGTCCTCAGCAGGAGCATCTAGCATGGTGGAATATGCACTTGCTAACAGGTACGTATGGCCGCCTTAGAAGGAATGGGAAGGGACTCTAGTGCATGATGGCTCAAAACAGCGAACCCTAAACCGTATTGAAGGTGGTCGGAAGTGTTCGTGATATCTTTGACCATTAGACGACTAATATCAAAGTAATATTTCTCATTTTTTAATTATTGTTTAATGTTCATTACTTGCAACTGATTCCCGGATTAGATGCCGCCTCATGCAACAGCCAAGGCAAAGTTAAGAAATAAAAAATCTACTGTTTTTATTGGTGGATATTCTATAAATATTGTTTGATTTGTGTAAATCTTATTCTAGCAGGAAATATTTAAAAAGCTTGAATATAATAGTGTTCAACTTGGCCATTGTAGTTCCAATCCCAGCGGCCACCATTCTTACCTTGGCCCTGGACACACTGGTTAATAATATTGTTGAAAGCTTCCTGAATATTTGAAACAGAAATAAACATAACATATAAATATAAATCATTTAAAGAAATATATTTTAAAAAAACATTACCACACAATGCTGTCTGCTATTGCCATCAAAATGTGCTTGGATTTGCTTTCTGAACTGGCTGTTAGGATAGTTACCTAAGTCAAGAGTGTAATCAAATTGCCCCTCATAACAAATTTTCCGAGCAGCTTGCTGATATTGGTAATTAGTATAGCCAGGATTAGGATTTCCAAAACAATCAGCCCCATTCACTATCACAACTCCCACACAAACAAGAAGAATTAAAATGAAGAACACTTTACAATCCATTTTGTGGAAATTATGAGTATATAACCTACCATTGTGGATCCAATATATGTACATGCATGGAGTATACAAATCAAATGTGTCACGGCACCGTTCTTAATGAGATTTAATTTTATAAACAAAGAAGAATGCAATGCCAATGAGAACTCAAAAGCTGGGATTGGATTGATACAAATTTTAGTCTATAGTTTTAGGTCGACCTAAAATATCTTGAATTTACAAACGAATAAAAGGGTTAGGAGCGATATATAATTGTTAATGGCATTTGGTCTAGGGGTATGATTCTCGCTTAGGTGCGAGAGGCCCCAAGTTCGCTGATTCTCGGAATGCCCCCCCCAATGAAAAGTAGCGATGAGGAGGAACTTTTCTACGCATTACAATTAGTTTGCTTCTTGTCTCACGTTCCTGTGCAAGTTTCTTACTTCACTCAAAAAGCAACGAGGTAAATGGTAAACTGAGGAATCTGGTGGAATCTGGTGCGGATCTTGTTGGCCTGGCACGAAAGGACTGGTCGATGTTTCTCTACGCCTCCTGAAACGGTCGTCTGACCTAAGCCAAGATGGTGTTTGACGCGATGCCCGAGAGAGATCTGGAACGCAATGGTTTCTGCATATGCCCACATAGGGCATTTACAGGAGGCGGAAGGTCTCTTTTTCCAAATGCCTACGAACAGCGGTTTTTTATTAGACAAGCACAAAATTTGTTTGATAGAATGATGAGGGATGGTGCCTTTTGGAGCGCCATCGTTTCAGCACTTGCCCAAAACAGGCGTCATGAAGACGCGCAAGTTCTACGTGATCATATGCTTGTCTCGTTCTCACGGCCATAAATCCTTTAGTAACAGAGGGTAATCTCAGGGGATTTTCTTACAAGATACCGATGCGACGCCTGCAATGCTCTTGGCATATGCTCAAGCCGGGGTTCTTCAAGATGCCGTACTTGTGTTTGAGAATATATGATGCCCGGCGGGAAAGTACGGACAAGATTCCTCGAATCTAAGTAAAGGAAAACACGTGTCGTGCCTCTAAGACGTCCGTTTTGAGCTAGGACCTTCTTCTTGACAGCACATGCCCAGAACTGGTATTTTATCGAGGTGAAGCACACATTTCCATGCTTTCGAGAAATTCAGTAACGTGGCGGTTCTATCACAAACTGGTTTGGATCAAGAAAAGAAACTCCTTTACCTGTCGAGATCTTCGCAGGCATGGCGGTGGAAAGCGTCGAGTCAGACGAAGGGAGCTATGTTGGATTCACGCCGGAAAAACTTACGCTGGTCGATCGAGCTTCGTCTCCATGAGCTTCGATTTTGGAATGGAGCCGAGAAAGAAGCGCTACTGCCGCATGGTGAATCTCCACTGGTAGATTGAAAGAATCGCAGAGAAAAACGATGGATCGCCCGCTCGCATTTCGTTTCGTGGCTCTTGTGGATCGAGCCAAGACTCCCAGTGCCATCTCAAGCGCTCTTGCCTGCCCTTGCTTCGGAGATCTTCCAAGCGAGGGAAGCGAAATGCGTGGGCCGGAAGCTCCCCGCTCGTCTCACATTGATGGGGCGGATACGAAGATCACGACGCAAGATGGTGGTGTTCATGCTGCTTCTCTCACGAGTAGAGGTAGAGAAGAAGGAGATGCAAAGATTGCCACAGCAACAAGCCTGAGCGGCGCCACCAACATGCTCGAACAGATGCGGCAGATCTGGTTGTCAGGTTCGATCATGGGCCTCATCGATACCAGTGTTATCGGGACCAGCAGCTCCTTGGAGCTTGCAGCTCTTGGCTTTTTCTTTGTGGATTCCTCCTCTTTTTTTCTGTTGTTTTTCCTTGCGATGGTTTATCGTTCTTGTCTGTGGCGACTTCCAACTTGAACGCAACATCTCTTGGTCACAAGGTTTGCTTGTTGAGAGTTTGACCTTTTGATGATATGCTCGTTTTTTTCCTTCTTTTGTTTTTCAGGACAGAGCTGCTGCTGCAAACCACTTGGCGAGCCTTTTGTCGTCGCCCTTGCTTGTGGTGTCGCCATGCTCGTCATAACCGAGCTTTCTTCCGCATCTGTGCTTCGATATACAGCTTCGGTTTGGTTTCCCTGCTGCGATCTCATCAGTCATTTCGTTTTTTTCATTCGCTTGTTCTTTTCTGCAGTATTTGTTGGAGAGAAGAATTTGGCACTCGTTCCTGCAGCTGCGAGGTACGTAAGTTTTCGCGAGTGTATTATTCTTTTGCTCAACTATGTGTCTTGTGGTTCTTTAGATTGGAAATGGTTGCGCAGAGTGCAAGGTTGGTTTATCAGTGATCCTTCGGCTACAAGTAGATTTTGTTTCTTCTCTTCGATCTTGTTTTTTGTCCAGTTTAGAGTCCGTTGAGAGCACTGCTGGTTGCAAGCGTCGTGAATGGCGCTGGAGATGTTTTGCTGTGTACATTTCTTGGGTATGGAATCGCTAGTGCCTTCTTTAAAAGCCAAACGTGACTCTCTTCCCTTGGCTCAGCAAATCCATCCGGCTGCTGCATATAAATCTCCTCTTCCAGTTCTCCATAGAGGAAAGCAGTAGTGACATCCAGGTGCTCGATATCATAGTCACCAGCCGCAGCAAAATGGATCAAAGCACGAAGAGGACCGCGGGCTTAAAAGTCTCGTGGAAATCGATTCGGAAGAAATGCATAATCCAGCAGCCCCCTCTCTTGAATTCTAGGAACTTGAGTGCAGCCCTTCGCAACCAGTCTGGCCTTGAAACGAGTGGTGCCATCAGGATTTCCCTTCAAAGCAAACACCCACATTCTCTTCACAAGTTTCCTCCCAGCAGGAATGGAAGAAACCAGCACGTGAGTGCCATTCTTCCTCTGCGAGTGCATCTCGTCCCCCATCGCTGCAAGCCAGAATTTGGCTTCTGGAGAATCCAAGGCTTGTGTATAAGTTTTGGGCAACCACTGGAATTTCACCAGCAGTAGAAGCAACCATCGTCTCAATGAGGCGAGACAGTTTCTTGCGCTGGCGGTCAGAGCGGCGGAGTGCATTAGGGTCAACCCTGGATCCCTATGTGCGTTGGTCCATCATAGGAATGGGAGCAGTCACAGAGCCTACTAGAAGCTCCTCAGGAGGATCTCCCACTTGTTGAAGAGTCTCCCACATCGTTTGGACCAGGTAAGCTGTGAGACGAGCTGAGCAGGGGCTCCTCGTTGAAGTTCACATCCCTGCCGATGATCTCTGTGCGTGTAGCAGGATTCCAGAGACACCAGGCAGCATGATCCAAGCCGTAGCCCAAGAATTTACACTCAATGCTTTTTGCATCAAGCTTTCCTCACAGCTTCACAGCCAAAAATACGCAAGTGTGCCACTGAGGGATTTCTGCCAGTCCAGGCCTCCTCAGGAGTTCTTTCATCCACAGTGGTTGTAAGTAATCAATTTTGGACGTAGTTAGCAAGGTTAATAGCGTCAACCCAAAAGGAATTGGGAAGGCCACTAACCTGTAGCATTGCACGTGCACTTTCCATCAAGGTGCCATTTTTCCTCTCAGCACAACCGTTTTGCTGAGGAGAATATGCAGCTGTGAATTCACGAAGAATGCCACTAGAAAAAAAAAAACAATTACAGATAATAAATTTATATAAAAAACCTGAAACAAATATACAAATATTCATAACAAAAATATATACAGAAAATAGATAATATAAAACCAATAATAATTACAGGAGATTTCAATATTAACTATCAAAAAGAAGAAGCAAAACCACTTCAAATAATACTGGAGAAAGAAGGATACATACAAATAATAAAAGACAATATGGATAAAAGATATAATATATACAAAAGCAGGAATAGCACCTGTATATTGGACAAATTATATATCATAATAAAAAATATTTAAAAAAAAAAAACCAAACATTGCTGCAATGTAATGTGTAGCAATTTTATTACCAATTTAGCTTGTTTTTTTATTAATCCTTTTTTATGTAATGATTGTCACGTTATATGTGCCATTATTTTATTAGTTTGGTCTAATAGGTTCTAGGCACTAGGGAGAAATTTTTAAGAGGGACACCAAGTTTCTCCCTTCCCCCAATTTCAGTGTTATGTCACCAATGGGGTGCATAAAACAAGAGAGAGAGAGAGAGAGCCACAGGGAAGCAAAAGTGAAGTAACCACCCCTCCATGCAAGCATAGCTAGCAGTGTTTCAATAACTTTAGTTTAAAAAATTAATGATTTCTAATTGCACATTTGGATTTGTTTGAACTTTGGTGTCATAAGTAGTGTAATGTGTTATATTGTTCCCACTTTAGTTTAAATGGCTTAGTGAAGGAGGATGTTTTAACTTTGCTTTATACTTGCCTGGGTTTTGAACAATGGGATTGTGCAGAAAGCACTACTTTGTCTACTTTCTGAACAAGAAGTGATGTTAAAAAGGACTAATCACCTTACTATTGTTACCTGTGCCCATGGGCATATGCAAACATGTACAGAGAGGCATTAATTTAGGTCTATGTTGTGGAAGTTGAGCAGGAGGTGGGGAATAGAAGAGAAATATGAGTGGAATTTAAAACAAGTAGCAATACAACAAAAAAAGATTGTCTTTAACCTAAAAAACTAAAGGTAAAAGAAGTTTATTTACAAATAATTATGCTTTCAATTGGTTTAATCTTATATTATTAGATTGCTCAATCATAAAAATTGATTTATTCTCTTCCATTACTAGTAAAAACTTTTACTAGATTACACTAATATATTCCTCAAAAACACTATTTATAAGTATTTATAAAATACCAATTTTTTTAAATATTAGAGATTTAGTATGAATTATTATATATTTCTATTTTCCCTATTCTTGAGCATTAATACAGTTTTAACTTCTTATACATATAATGGCCAAAATGCCATGGAAAGTGATAGTATTGAATTAATTTTATATGCAATGGAATTAATGATTAATAACATCTCTTCAGAACCTTTACCTAAAGGTCAAGGTATGCAATTTGAATATACTATACAAGATAATACTCATGGTCTATTAACTATTACAAATCAATTATGGGTTTATGATACCAAGGGAAAAAAATTTGATACATGTGCTTTAAATCCAAATGAATATGAACAAGATCATGGTGATAATGTTAAATATCGGTTAAATTTTATATTAAATTTATATCGTTATGATATAAGAAGATTACGTGCAAGTTATTTTCGGGCTGTTATTGGTTTTTATTGTGTTGAATATCTTTTAAAGAATTTTCGACAAAATTTACTATATCAATTTCAAAATATCAATAAAATAGATAAATTAACTGATTGTGAAATAAAAATAACGACACTAATTAGTAATATACCAGATAATGCTCTTAGACCTACTCAATTTTTAACATCACCAAATAAAAAAGCTTTATTGTATTTGCATTTGAACTGTATTTTATCATTATATATACAAAATGTTTTAAAATGGTATAGAGGGTTTCAAAGTTATCAAAATTGTTTATTTATTATTGAAGATGATGGAAATATAGTGTTATATTCTGAAAAGAAATATATAGTTTGGTCTCCAAAAATTAATTTTGATAATTCACATAGTTATTTTATAAAATTTATTTCACTTCAAGATGATTGTAATTTAGTTCTTTATGAATCTCATCAAAAAGTTATTTCAAGGCATCCAGTAATTAAACCAAAATGGGATTCACAAACACATTGTTAATATTTTTATATGCTATAGTATATATTGAAATATTTAATTAATAATTGTTCTCTCATAAATTTTATCCTCTAAAATAATCTATGTTAATTTTAACCTTCTTCTTTTCAAGTAATTCCATTTGGAGCATAAGTAAATTAAATCAACACTTCTATTGTACTTAGTTTAAAATAATTTAGTATTTTTGCAAAATGTAAAAGATTCTTTTTAAATTTCTATTATATATTAATAAAAATTATAACGTAAAGTTAAAAAATAATTTTAAGCTATTTTTATTAATAAATATTTAATGAATAATTACAAAAAATTATATTGCAGGAACACTTGGTTTACTTGATTGTCTATTATAGCATATTTTTGGTTTGCTTAAGCAAACGGGGACTGGGATGTTAGTGAATATACCTAGAATATGCTTGGATATTCTAGGATATGTTACTATGTTTGTCATTCATTTGGATTAATCTTGTATTTCTAATTTATAAACATGTTTATGATTTATAAACTTGCTTAAACACTTTCTAGTATATTCTTTTTTATTCTAATGGTTGATATGCAATAATATTAATCTTGTGTTTATAAATTATAAATATATTTATAATTTCAAACTTTTATTTGATCAATTGGATTAATAAGTAGGAATAATACTACTATTAAGCAAACCAAGCATTGCTACATGCAATTTTTAACAAATTATTTTTTCTTATTTTAATATTTACTTTATTATGTATTTAATATGTTTTTATATATTTTAATTTTTAATATGTATTTAATATTGTTTTTATTTTTTATTATAACATTTTTATATTATTATTTTTCTCAATCTTAAACATACTACATTTATTATAATTTTTAAGTATATTTATTTCTATATTAATCACTCTTTGTAACCTTTATAATTGTAGTAGGTTTGGTAAAGGTGAGAACCGAGGCTGGAGAACACAAAAACTCTTGCTAACATATAATATAAACATGTGGTAGAATCAGTAGCCTATTCAAGTCTATAATCATAACTGAAGTTGTTTCAAGAATATATATAGTTCATGAGCTCTTTCTGAATAACATATCTCCTGCCTCTGCTCGCTGAATAGCATCATTTGGGACAGCTTTTGGCAATTGAGGCCTTTAGCCAGTCTGCATGATAGTTTCCTGCAAGTAAACATGGATGAAAAACTTTTGTAAATTCCACAAAGTTCTCGGGACCAAGAAGTTCATGTCTTGAATTTATTAGAGATTTTATTAGAATTTACATGAATGATTCAAGGAAAACGAAGAGGAAAGACTTATCATCTTATCCACAACAAAAATCTTTAGGATCTAGTTGTGAATTCTAGCAGCAGGAGCAATAGCCATAGCAACAGGAATTGTCCTTTGGCTTGGACTTACCAGACATTTACTAATTGCTGACATGGCCAAGAAGCTATATGAAGATGCATTTCTCAACTCCTACTCAAACCATCTTAAAATTTCCTACTGTGACATGAATTACATGTTGTGCGTGAGAAGGCCAATGGAAGGGCTAAGTCTTGGCCAGCTTTCTATTTCTTCTGGATTGGCCATGATCTTTAGTCTCTCTGAAACAATTGCTTTTCCAACAAGGCTTCTGATCTTCTTATGTTCATATCAAGTATTGAGGATGAGTTTCACATAAAACAAGTCACTTGCAGATTGAGTGATCAGCTTGTTGAAGATTGGATGGGCTTGTGTGACAGACATGTGGCTGACAACTGGCATTGCGATGGCGACTGGATATGCAGTGAGAGTAACAACGACTCTAGACTCATCATAGAAATACAAACCTGAATGTTAAAATTATGTTCCTTACAAGATGTGATTGATCCACAAATTGAGCAGTTTCCTTGAACATTCCACACCAGAGATTGAAATCCCTAGGAAAAAGTAGCTAGCAAGAAATTATCAAACACAAGAAATAATATACAAGATCTTCTGATGACACCAAATATAACTCAAAAATAAATAAAAACTTATTTTATATCTATTTGAATACAAGTTAAAATACAATATTTATTTTTATAAATTAAAATATGTTTATAATTTATTAGATGGAAGAATATACTAGAATATACATGGAGGTGTTTATATAGTTTATATAGTTTATATATTATGAACATAGTTATAATTTATAAAACACAATAGACCAAATATTCAGGCATATTCTAGGCATATCCACTAGCAAACCAAAAACTATATACTATAAAATAAATCATGATAAAAATCATATTAATCTCATTAAACATGCCAAGATGATAAACTTACATTAGCATAAGTATACTGAGCTTTAGAAAAGCTTTTGATCATAAAAAATGAAATCAGACACTCTTAGTTAGATTTTCCTCCTTCCTTGAAGAGCCTAGTACTTTTGCCTAACCTTCTCCTCATTTCAAACCTTCTTAAAGTATATAAAGCAAGGTAATAGATGGAACTTGCTCTCTCTCTCTTGAGTAACAGCTTTTGAATTGAAAGAGAATGAACTTGTAAAGATGAATTGATCCTCTTCAGGTCAATGGTAATTGGGGCACTTGCTAGACCAGTCCATGCTTTTGACTTTTGACCCATAAGCTCAAGTAAAACATTTGGACTATTTTACATCCTTTCTTCCAATCTTCTGAACCCTTCTTAAAATCCTTTGACAGGAAAAATTCATACCATAGAAATTAACAAATTTGGCTTACATTTTTGGTTTTTTAAATATTTCTAAATTAAATACTATATATGAATGTGTGTCAGTATTTATGTGCTATTAAATTTAAGTTTTTATTTATATGAAAAGCCTATGTATTGCTAAAATTATTAAAAAAACTACACTCTAATCACATCTATATGTTAATTTGCCTGTTCAAAACTACACCACGTTCTAGAAAACTGCAACTAAAAAGTAGACTTTGCATTTTCCTTTTTTTGAGTTTATTTGGAGACTATACTTAAGTGACGTCTTAATGCTCACTTGACCATCTTTTTTTACACCGCTAGATAAAATGCTGGATCAATACTACTGGAGTGAAGATTCTTGCTTGCTGGATTTGCATTGCCAACTTAGCACTCTATCACTTGAAAATCTAGGCACTTAATCTTTTCTTTTGATAGGAATCTTGAGTGATCAATTTCTAGAGATGTTCTTACTAGCTGAAAAAGCTTCTTTGATACCATTCGTCTTCACTTTCAATTCTTGGACTGCTCAAAATTTCCTTACTCATGTTTTCTGCAAAGAAATTGTTTGCATTCTTTTTTTGAGTCCCCTAGATAGAATCCATTTGGAGCTTGCAATGGGTGCATGGCAAACATAACTAACCTTGACTAACATGGCAAATTGATTGGTATGCAAGTTACACATAACAAAGCTTAAGCAATAAAATTTCCTTCATCAATAAGTTCATCACTACCTTACTCAACACTTACTTCATGTACACCAAACATCAATAGCGTTACATCAGACCAAGCGGGAGAAATGATTGACAAATCAATCATTTCACAGTTTCGTTGGGAGGTTGCTTTATTTATCCATCATCAGCAGGCGAGATATAGTAGCTAATGTTATTTTTGTGAGACAGTTTATGCAAAATCCTGGTTTGGGGCACTGGCACGCAGCCTAACAGAAACATCAGCCTGAGGAACTGCTTGCACAGGGGGAGAGGATACTTGGGTTTGCTAATGCCGATGACTTGGTGACAAGGAAGACGGGAAATCTCCCAACTAGTGGCTACTTCAACTCGTGAAGCAGAATATATGGCTGTGGATGCTGCTATTAAAGAAGCTCTTTGGCCTAGAAGGCTTCTTGAGGACCTAGGAGAGACACAAGAAGCACCAACTCAACTTCTCAACAACAATACAGCTAGCCCACAATCCTGGTCTCCATGGGACAACTAAGCACATTGAGGCTCGCTTCCACATGATCCGGGATCACATTGCAAGGAGACAAGTGTGAAGGCATGGTAGCAAACATCCTCACCAAGCCCCTAGACAAATCAACATTTCAGGGGCTGAGGAAAATGCTAGGCATGGAACCAGGTCAGATTTGAGAAAGAGCTCTCGGCTGAGGGGGAGTGTTGGGACAGCTGAGTCATTGGAGCAGTCAAGGAGAGGTGAGCAAACTGATTAAGAGAAGTGCATCGGTTACGATCAAGGAGAGGTTATAGAGCCGTTTTTTCTCTAGATAAATACCCTCCTATCCTTCAGCACAGCACAATAGGAGTCCTTCCAAAGAGACTTGTGATCGCCATCTTCCATCTTTCAATGGTGGAGAATCACACTCTCCAGCGATCCAAACCTAGTTTTACAATTGGAAATGACCCAGGAACGATATCGAACCCAGGACTACTGGAATTTAAATTGGGGGATATTCCATGTCTACCGGGATCAATCGTTTCGGCAGTTGGACGAAGCTATGGCGACCAAGACATGGCCGATTCCGACGCTCCATGGCCGCTGCTACGCCACGACGCCCCCGCCATTGCCTGGTATCGATCGTTTCTCCAATCGATCCATTTCTCCCCGCCCTGATCGATTTTCTCTCTCGCTTTTCGCGCGCAAAGCTCTTTGGCGGCGGAGATCGAGAGCAACACATGCCCCATTTGCTTCGAGCTCATGAAATCGCCCACGTACTCGCCCATCCTGCTCTACCCCTGCGGCCACACCTTCTGCGCAAAGGTTTGCACCAATCGGATCATCAATGGCGATCTTCTCGTTCCTCGTCTTGGGCAGTGCCTTGAGATCCACACGGTGACGAACCGCAAGAAGACGTGCCCGTATTGCCGGCAGAGAATCGTCTCGCAGGCGCTCAACCTGTCGCTGCAGAAGCTCATCAATAACTTCGTCGCGCTGCAGAAGAATCCCGCCCCGGCCCACCAAAGTTTTGATCACGGTGCTCAATCGCAGTATGGCGAGAAGCTGCGGCAAGCTGAGACTCGCAGCAGGATCTTGCAGTGCGCTCTGGCCAACAGCGTCGAAGCCAAGGCCGTGAGACGATGCTTGCTCCAGGGCCTCCGTGCTCTTTCTTTTTGACTCTTCTTTCGCTTTCTTCTCCAGAAGCTCGCCAGAGACATTGCCGACGCGCAGAGAAAGGTGGTGCAGCTGGAAAGCCGAGAGCAAGAGACAAAAGTTCGTCTTGAGAAGGTACTTCGAAGGAAAAAAAAAAAAAAGAAAAAGAAGCGAAAGATGAGAGTAGCGAAAATACCTCCAGGTGAATCTCGAGTATCACCGGGTGCTGTCCGAGATCCGAGAGAACCAAGACAATCTAGCGACGCTCCAGAAATACCAAGACGAGGAGACTGCCAAAGTGAATCTCATCCAGGAAACGCTCAAGAACCTCCGCAAGGTACCTGGAAAAAAAAAACGAGTGAGAAAACGAAGATCTTTCCATGAAGCAATTACCAGTATGATATCCCAACACTCTTTGCGTGTTTGACGATTTCCAGGAATGCGAAAAGCTTAAGCTGTTTATATCAGTGTGACCGGCACCGGCACCGCCAACGTATCAATAGAAATGTCGTGAAGAGAAGAAAAGAATTTTCATTTTTTGCCCCCCATGGCAGCTGCGATGTACAGACCCTTGTCTAAAGTTTTTCTCGATTCAATGCAAGCCTTGCCTTTCGTGTTGCTAATAAAACAAAGACCAAACGAAATAATCAAAACAGAGAAACTAAATCCATGCTTTCTTAGTACCTGCCATTCAAACCGCGTGACTAGTGATGTCTCCAAAAACAAAAGCCACAGTCCCATCCCTTTACCTATTAGGTGAAAATTCTCTATAACAGTCAAGATAATGTTAGAACGACAAACCACAGGAAAGGATTCTTCTCTCAGTCTCTCGGTCCAGGAGTATCTCCTCATGGAAGACGCGGTAGCTCCACAAGCACAAGCTTCCCCGCCACTGCCACCACAGGTCTTGGTGTTAATCAAGGAAGAGTCTCTTACTGCCTCACCTCACCACGAGAACGAGAGACGCCCGAAAGAGAGCGCCGAAAGTTCTTCCCCCGTTGTTGTAATTATCACTGTCCAAGAGCAGCAGCCGTCGTGTTCCTACGATTCCTCCAAGCCCCAAGAGATAGCCACAGCAGCAAGCTCGGCCCAGCAGCAGCAACATCACGAACTGGTGTGTAGAGTCTGCCAGTTGGGATCCCCGGAAGTTCGTGGCGAGCTCATGGAGCTGGCTTGCGTGTGCAAAGATGATCTAGCAGTTGCCCATCGTCGGTGCGCGGAGGCCTGGTTTCAAATCCGAGGGAACAGGTTCGTAAACCAAACACGTCTTGATTGAGCAGGAAAAGCAAAACGAACCTGGATGATGCAGGAGGTGTGAGATATGCGGGAAGATCGTCACCAACATCACGCTCAAACGGGGAATGTGGAGCCGAGTGACCCGTATAATTAACCCCGAGGTAGAGCCCAGCCGGCATCCACATTGCAACGTTTTGGTAACGCTCTTCACAATGGCGATCCTGCTACCGCTCTTTGTCCGGCTAGCTATCTATAGATGAAGGGGATTTCTGAAGAAGCAAATAGTCAGTTTCACGAAAACAAAAATGACGAAAGAGAAAGAAGCTCTTCACCTGGAATGCTGACGACTCCACACTGCAAGTATCAGGCAACAGAGAGAAAGGAGAGCGAACAAACTGGGACACTCAACCTTCTAAGAATGCTCGCGATGTTATTGAATAGAGAAGCCAGAGGTTCACGAAACATGTAGCTTGATACTATGTCTTCTCCTCGGTCGGTTTCTTTCCCGAAAGCTTATCATGTAACCAATCCCACGGCTGTAAAATACCAGAAGCGAAATATAAGAGAACTTTAAACGGCAAAAAGCAAGCGTTACGAACCTGAATAAGCCAGATTCCAGTCATAACAGTGGTAGCGCTCCATTGCACGGCAGACTTATACTCTTCACCCCTTGCCTTGGCTGTTGGACTAAGCCATTGAAGCGGATTCATGCGGAGGAATTTGGCGGGTTTTTGAGACATCTCCAACGCTGTAAAACAAGCACGAAACCAGGCAAGCACAAGCGTCGGAAGAAAACCAAGAGGCTTTTCACAGGCGCCACCCTTCGCTTACGTGGCAGGAGAAAAACTGCGTATCAAAACTAAACAGGAAAATAAAAACTCAGTCCCATGTTATTCAAGAAAAAAAATTGAAAACGAATGCTTATGGACGAGTTTTGTGGGTAGATGATAGAGTCTTAAGATCCAGCGGCTTGTCCCTCAGCAGGTTGCCTGGAAAATTTCTCCTTCAACCAGTCATACGGCTGCGAATGCGAGAAGCCAAGTTAGCGAGAAGTATTGAAACCAAAAACTCAATCACGAAAGCATGCAATGACTCTTTGATCATCAACAACTTAAGAAAAATAAGAGCAGACAAAAAAGATAATGTAAAGATAAAACCACAAGAATTCGCAATCTCGAAAGCATGCAATGCAGTAAGACCATTCTCTGATCATCAAACAGCTTTAAGAAAAATAACCAAGAAGCGAGTAGAAAAAGAAAATGTAGAGACACAACTACAATGCGAAACAAATGCTCCAAGAATGCGCAATCACGAAAGCATGCAATGCAGCACAAGAGGTAAGCATTCTTTGACCATCAAGCAACTTAAGAGAAACAACGAGCACAAAAAAGAAAGAGAGAAATGTAAAGAACGTACCTGGATCAGCCAAAAGCCAGTGACAAGGAAAGTAGTCCCCCAGCTCATTACCGCTGCGAGCTCCGTTCTACTCATCTTCGCCGTTGGGGACAGCACAGCCGAAACCCGTGGCATCGTCGCAATGCTCCTCGCGAAAACCCTGGAAAACGCTCGAGCGTCTCAGACAAATCCTTCCTCTCATCCGATCTCGTCCAGATCGTCCGCGAAGAATCAAGAGAACGCACCTCTTCTCAACGGCGCCGGCGCCCTCGCCTCCCGAGCACAAAGGGCAAAATAAAAATATGCCCTCGAGATATTCCCTCCAGGTCATGTTTATCTAGCTACGTCACCAGTACACCTCAGCTTACTTTCAGCCACGTCGGATTTTAGGGTTTATCGTCGCCATGGCGAACCGCACGGACCCGGCGGCCAAGAGCGTCCACGGCACCAATCCACAGAACCTGGTGGAGAAGATTTTGCGCGAGAAGATCCACCAGAGCTCATTCTGGAAGGAGCAGTGCTTCGCGCTGACAGGTAAATTCGTAGCTAGAGCTGTGGATTACGCGAGAACTAGAAATCTTTGGTTGCGCGCAGCCGAAACCCTGGTAGACAAGGCGATGGAGTTGGATCACATTGGAGGAACTTACGGCGGCAACAGGAAGGCGACGCCGTTCATGTGCCTCACGCTCAAGATGCTCCAAATCCAGCCCGAGAAGGAGATCGTCGTGGAGTTTATCAAGAACCAAGACTACAAGTGAGTTCTTCGCCCTCTTTCTATGTTCCTCGCGCTCTTGACGATCATTTCTTTCGACGCCCAGGTATGTGAGAGTTTTGGGAGCGTTCTACTTGCGACTCGTGGGCAAAGCCACGGACGTGTATCAATACTTGGAGCCTCTCTACAATGACTATCGCAAGATCAGGCAGAGGAGCGCTGATGGAAGTAAGAGCAAACATTTCTTTCTTTCTTTTGTTTGTTCTTCCTCCATGGATTGAGCTGTGGTCTTCACTCCAGGTTTCTTCCTCTCCCATGTCGATGAGTTTATCGACCAGCTCTTAACCACGGACTACTGCTGCGATATCACTCTTCCTCGAGTTCCCAAGAGGTAATGTCTCAACGATTCCTTTTTTATTTTCATTCACGCAGTCATACAAGTTTGTCGATTCACAGGTCGGTGCTCGAGCAGAACAATCAGCTGGAGCCGCGGAAGAGCGCTCTAGAGGACGACTTTGAGGAAGAAGAGGAGAAGGACGAGGAAGAAGGAGAACTCGAGCTTACAAACGAAGACAAGGTATTAACTTTCTACTCGTCTAGCACTCCAACTGACTATAACTTCGTACTTTGCAGGCATTGGAAAACGATCGTGAAAGAGAAAGAGAAAGAGACCGTGATCACAGGGATAGGGAGTCCGAGGACCGGGATAGACACAGAGACCGCAGAGATCGAGATAGGGACCGGGACAGAGATTACAGGGACAGGGACCGAGAGCGAGAGCGGGACTTGTATAGAGATTACTACCGAAGGAGGGAGAGGGACGGAGATAGAGACCGGGACAGGGATAGAGATCGCAGACGTAGGAGCCGGAGTAGAAGCAGGGAACGCAGGGAGCGAAGGGACGACAGCTCAAGGCGAAAGGACGAACAACGGCCACCCGAGAGCGACAAGAAGAAGAAGAAAGACACAAAACCGGAAGAGGACCCCGAGATCGTGGAGGCCAACAAGCTCCGAGCCAAGCTTGGATTGAAACCTCTTCGCTAAAAAGAATGGTATCTAGGAGGTAATGTACCTGTGTTTTTTTTCCGCTTTGCTATAACAAACCGAGCGTGCCAATCGCGAGCAGGAACTCTAGTACGTTTCCCCGGAGAGCGACTTTGCCGCTGGAAGTTGTCAGCACCATGGGATCGCTGCGAGATCAAACGAAGCCCAACAGTTTAGGGAATTTCCGGAATCAAAGAAGTTGGAAGCTCTTACCAGAACGTACCTGGGAGCTGGAACGGGCAGGCATCGGGGCTGTTGTTCTCGGACAGTTCCTTGCATATCTTTGGTGTCACCGAGGACGAGTAGCCCTCCACGTCCGTGCACTTCCAGGCGGTCAGTCCGGTGCTAGCATCCAGCGCTATGTCCTCCAAGCAGATATCTCTGAAAGGCACCTCCGGGATTCCCAGAATTCGTCCGGGCCTGTCCAGCGTGTTGCCCGTGACTCCCCTGACCGTCACCTTTTCCACGACTGGGAAAGCGGTGGCGTTGTAACCGTTGTCCGGGTGCTCGCTGGAGAAGCCGGAGATGGTGATGGCGGTCTGGATGTCGAGCAAGGTGATGCTGGAGAGGACAACGTTTCGGATGTAGGCGCCCCTGCCGACGCCAGTCCGGATGGAAACTCCCGACTTGGTGCTCACTGCGACGAGGTCTTCCACCAGGACGTTCTCTATGCCACCCGAGGTCTCGCTTCCGATGGCTATGGCGGCACCCCGCTTGGTCTGTCCGGTGACTCGACGGATATGGATGTTGGAGCTGGGCTGGCCGTAAGCGATGCCGTACTCGTCCCAGCCGCTCTTGATGGCGATCATGTCGTCTCCGTTGCTGATGTAGCAGTCTTGGATGCAAACGTTGGAGCTGGAATCTGGAAGAACTCTTGGAAGAGCCACCAAAGTTTTGAGAGAGATCCAGGGAAGAAAGTTTGAGAAACTTTGGAAGGATTTCTTTACCTGGATCGATGCCATCGGTGTTGGGCGAGTCCTGCGGCGCGAGGATTGTCACTCCCTGGATCAGGACGTTGCTGCAAAGAAAGAAACGCTCAAAAACATTGAGAATCCAGGAAAGCTTACGTGCAGTAGACTGGATGGAGCGTCCAGAACGGGGAATTCACAAGCGTAACGTTCGAGATGATGATGTTGGTCGAGCTGACGAACTCCACGAGATGGCCTCTGGTGTGATTGAGAAGCCCGAGCTTGGACCATCGCCACCATTTGGCGCCTTGGCCATCGATGGTTCCATTCTCGCCTAGAACAAAGGAAAAAGCCGGTGTGGCCAGCGGAAAAGAGGAAAAGAGCGTACCCGTGATGACGACGTCTTCCAAATTCTCTCCGTGGACGAGGCTGATGTGCCTACCGCCGGGAAGCTCACGCCCTCTTCCATACGATGGCAATGGATCAATAATTGGCCACTGCGATGGATCCTGGCATGCAATCATCCAATCCACCGTTTCTTGGAAGAAATCGGGAAGAAATCTCAAGAAGGGAAGGAATTTCAAGAAAGGAGCGAGGAATGCTCGAGATCCAAGACAAGAATGCAAGAAAGAGAGGCCATAGCTGGGATTTCAAGAAAGAAAGATGTCGATCGGCCATACCTGAGAACCAAGAATCACCGCTCCTCGCTCCAGATAGAGCGTGAAATGGCTGGTGAGGTTGAAGCTGCCAGTGAGCCAGCGGCCTTCCGGAACGTAGAGCATGGCGCCGCCTTTGTCGGTCGCCGTGATGGAGCTGAGGTAGAACATCGCATTCTGGAACGCGAGCGTGTTGAGCGTCACGCCGTCGCCGATGGCCCCAAAATCCACGATCGATGCGCTGTGCGGCCGCGCGCCGATCGGAATTGCGCAAACAAGACAAGATCGCCATGCGATCCACAGTGCCAGGAGCAAGAAATCCATGCGCCGCATTGCGATTTGCGATCAGGCAAGAGCATCACCAGATGATCGCCTCCTCCCTCCCTCCTCCACAAGCTCTTCCTCGCCAGGATTGATCCACACGCACAGTCTGGCTGCCTTTCGCCATCGCCCTTCCAAGAATCAGCCCAGTTTCACGCAAAGCTACCAGACTAAAAATCTAATGTCCCCAACAATCCACGTGGCAGGTTTCTGACGCGCCACGTGTAAATCTCTAACCAAAGCACGACGTTTACTCTAATGACGATATTAAACTGGATTAATAGGCACTCCATTTGTTCTTGTGCATCTACTCTTTTGTATACAATGTACAATCCAAAATTCACACACTCGCTAATGGCTTTAGATTTTGGAACTCATCGTCCTGTTTAGCCTGTGAAGAACAAGCCAAAAACAAAACAAAACAAAAAAAAAAAGCGCTTGAAAAGAGAAGAAAAGCTTGAAAGTTTTTTCTAGTACCTGGATTTGCTGAGAGACTGCTCGCATTCTCGCGTACTGCGCTCTCGCCTCTGGATCGTGAACCATGTCCTGGACGCGCTGGACTGCCGATTCGATTACGTGCTCCTTTTGTTTCCTTCCCTCTTGGAGAAACTCATCGTCCGCGGCTACTTCGTCCCCTTCCACCATCTTCTCCTCCGCCTGGAATCCCCGGAGACCGTGACGTCCTCTGTGCCAACGCAACACAACCTTCTCCAAAACTCCCACGGACCACAAGATCTTCCTGTATTGCCGACGAGCCTGGAATCCTCGTACAATAGCCTGCCACCAAAAACAAAGAAAACTTTCAGTTAATGAGATCATGGAAAAGGAGATCGAAAAGCAGCGAGCAAGCGAGAAAGCAAGAAAAACTTACCTGGATCTTTATGATTCTCTGGCGCGTTTGCAAGTACTCGTGCCGGCCTTTCCACCCCCGAAATTTGGACTGGATCTTCGTGGCAGCCGAGTTTTGCTTCTTGATCTTGTGGCCACGGTAAGCTTTCTGGATCTTCTCTGCAGCCATGAGGTACTCTACGTTGTCGCTGTTGATGTCTTGTAGTCTAGCTTCTTCTTCCTCTTGCTTCCTACGGAAAGTGAACTCCCGGAACGCCGACTGGATGAGCGCAGCAGCTTGCGTAGCCCGCCGGACTGCCGAGAGCGACTGTTTCAGAAAAGTATCGTCGGTGACACATTGGACGTTTTCTCCGGAAAGCAGACGGCTCGCGGCGCTTTCTCCAGCCAGACTAGCATTTGTATAATGTATCTCGTTCAGGCTCCCGTCCTTTAGCGTCAGTACCGATAGATGGTGTTCCAGAGATGCTTCCGCCAAGTAGCCCGCAATTCCAGGATAGCCACGGCACGAGGCTACATCCGCCGCTGTTTGGCCATTTGGATATGCCGGAGTTGGATCGGTAAGAAGCTCTGGCACCGCTTTGGCTCCAATGAGCGCTAGAATAACATCCTCCCTGCCAAAGAGAAGAACCAAGAACCATAAGATGCGAAATCGAACTACGCTTACCTTCCAAAGTGCGCAGCCCAATGCAAGGCCGTCCAGCCATGCAAGTCCCGAAAGTTTACGAGGACACCCGCTGCTAGCAGTGGAGGGATCGCCCAGTCGAAGCCAAGAGCTGAGACGATGTGTATCATTCCCTGTCCTTCTTTGTCACACACGGAAGGCCCCTTTCCATCTTGTCCGGCACGTCTTATAAGCCATTCTTGCAACTTGAGCCGAGAGAAGACGTCGAAAATGCTATCTTTGATCTCGTGAGTTGTCCTGGACTTGTCCTTTATAGCAGCTGCAATGGCATCCCACTGTTCCAAGCCCTTCTTGAAGGAGTTGCGAATTTTGTTGGCGATCGCCTCGTTTACTGCTTGTCTCGGAAGCTCGTCGGAGCATAGCATGCGAACGAACTTCAGCTGAAGCAGGAGATCCTCCGCCTTCAACTCCTTCTCAGTCGTAGAAGGAGCAGTCTGTGCCTTTCCACGGAACTCGAAGTCCCTGATTTCACTGCATGCTGTTCTATCGTTGCAGGTGATGTAGAATGGAACATTTCCAGACGGGTGTGGAGGGCAGATACAACGGAGGACATTGCTCCCAAGTATTTCTGCCCGCGCTTCAACTTCACCGAACATGCAGCACCAATTATGTTGATGAGGTGACACCAAAAACTGGCCAGTAACAAGAACCTGGAAAATTTACGAGAAAAATAAGAAAACGAGGAATACACAAATTCTCACCTTTGTTTCCGAGTAAGCGTCTGCCCAGTCCGGTGAAAAATCAACAATTTTAAATTTCTGATCCGACATCTGAATGCTCGGCATCGATTGTTCGTAGGAAGAGGAGAAGTCTGTGTCGAGTTCTCCTCCTTTGTCCTCGAAAGTGGATGACAACAATGCGTCGGAATCAGACACGGGATCAACCGCAATCTCGTTCATGACCCACCGTCCGAAACTATCAAGCGAAGATAAGTGATTTAGTTGAGCGGCCTGCAACACAATAAAAGTCATTAGAGATGGCAGGAACTAAAGCATGAAGCGTTACATGGTGAGAGTCTCCAACAAAACTCAAAGGGCTGTCGGATTTTGCTGCCATATCCTCCTTCACCCTCGGTTCGGGAATAGCAGGTGGTTCAACCAGCGAGTCCAAGTACTTTTCACTAGTGTCGGGTCCCTTGCTTTGTTCAAACACCTCTTCCCAAGTTGCAAACTTGAGACTACTGTCCATTGAGTTTTCCGGGTGTTGTTGAACGGTGTCAACCAAGTTGTCCCAGCCAGCCATGCCATAATCTATATTACCATCGTTGTCTGCAAAAACATGGATCAAATGTTTGCTGCGAGACAACAGTGGCGTACCTGAAATCCCAAGTAATTCATTGATATCAGTTTTGCTCAAAGGTTGTGCGTTCACGGCTTGTGACTGATCTTGTCGGCCCTTTGACTGTCTAGTCACGGTTTGGTTTGTTTGCCGCTTCTGATTTTGATCACTACTTGACAGCTGATCCATCAAGGAGACTGGCCTTCTCTGTCTGTCCATGTCAATGATTTGGACATCGTCGGCCTCATCCCCAGAATTCGCACCATCCGCATCTAATGAGTTCGGAGAATTCCCTTCTGGACTCTGAGAGTTCGCAGCTTGTTTTGCGAGCTGCCGGTCAAGAGATTGGTCGTGCAGCCGAAAGACACTTGACCTGTTTCCCTGAATACAAACACCATCTTAGTCTCCAGTATCGAAGGCAGAGATGAAAAACCTGGAGCGCCTCGAGATAGTGAACGAGGACAATATGTTCGTGTGCTCTGCAGAAAAGATAACACTTTCATTCCTTCTTCTACATTAACAATTCTACGCGAGACATACCCTTCCAGTAGCCAGTAACTACGACGTTGGAAGTTCATGTTCTCTTCCCCGTGAGCATAGTAGCAATGCAAAGCATTGACGCTGCCTACCTGCGACAGGAACACCAAGAAAAATCAAGCACCAAAGACACACGTAGAAGCCACGACCTTTAGACGCTCATGCGCTTCCTTCACAGTTTTCCCATCTTTCTTCTTCCGCCAGTTGTGACCATCCTTTCGAAAGTACCGCAGCGCTTTGCGATCGAACAGGAACAGGCTTCCACCTGACAAACGGAAAACCTCGATGCTCACTGGAAAGAGTCAAGCACGAGCTTACTTGGAGGCTGATAAGGCGGAGCCGGGCTGGTCTTCAAGTTAATCTCGGTATAGCTTCGTAAAACCTCGCAAATTTCCGGAGGGCGCAGCCATCGCGACTGTGCGTCGCGGACAATCTGCCTCAAATCTACAACCAGGGAGGAGGAGAATGAGCGATAGAGAAAGCCCCATGCGTTTCAGCTCGAGAGAAGCATTCCAATCGCAGCAATCACTGCCAATCGGAGAATGCGACACACAACAGCACAGCGCTCGATCGATTCGTCTTACCGAGCTGCGGCGGAGGCTGCTGGACAATTTGCGGGCGATCGCCTGCCGCCATAAACCCTAGCTCCTCGTCCTGGCGCAAGCGCAAAAAGGAGAGAGGGGAGAAATGTTTCTATGCTCTACGGACAATAAGCGTTCGTACGGGCTTTTGATGGTCACTTTTCCGCAGGCCCACGTTTGACTAGAGTCGGAGATTTTCTAGTTTTAGCAGGCTTGATCGAATTTAGATAGCCAACATTTGCAAATTTCTTGATCGATCATGGGCACATTTAAAGAAATATTGCTAAGTGATACCACTTGGAACATAGATCTTCTTCTGTTAGCCAGAATTCTAATAGGCCCATGGGGAAAGTCAACGGTCGTCAATAACCCTAAAATTTCAAGCTTGCTCTCTGGTGTTCCATTAATTTCCTCTCTCTCATCCAGCTTCCACAAGATTCCATCCAGGCTATGATTTTTTCGGATGCAGTTGGTTGCGCATTGGCTGCGCTGCCTGATCCACGACCTTTGCTCCTTGAGATTCTCTGATCTTATTCTTCTCACTAGCTCGCGAGCAAGACTCAGATCGGGCCTCAATCGCCAAAGCCATGGATCATCACGATGTGAGATTGGCTGATCAAGAACGAGAAGCGTCGTCCCCCGAGATGATATGTTTCTTGTTTCCAATCCAATGTGGAGTGAGGTGAGGAGGTCTCGGGTTTAGACTTCTAGAGAATCAGGATTCTTCCTCTGTTTTCTACTAGCAAGCACTGAGGTGAACTTTTGACAGGGGCATAATTCTCATTTCTCGGATTAACAATGCTTTTTCTTTTCTTTTCTGGCTGCTCAAATCCATGAGTGAAGCACCAGTGAAGTGATCCTTGGCCTTCTTCCGCTTTATGACTTCCTGAACTCTCCTTTTGATTGACAGATGCCCTTGCCTTGCCGGCAATTATGATCAACTATGCCATCGGTTAAAGTTTGATGAGCAGAAGAGGGCCAAAGGATCACCCAAGTTCCACGGGTAGCCAATCTGGATTTCTTGCGTTCTTCATTGCCAGTGTTGGGGATCGGGAGCGCTAGCTGTGTTCTCCCATTTCCTCTTTCTTCCAGAAGATTCATCCAGGCCATATAAGCCCACATTGTCTCTCCCTTTCTTGCGTTGCGAGGAAAGGGCTGGTGCTTTGTCAATGTTGCATTAGTTCGCCACAAGAGGAACCTCCGATCATGGCAATGAGGAACAGAGGCGGGAGGCAAATAATCCGGATTCTTTGCCTCCCCCATTGTTCCTCACTCCCAGCCTTGGACTGCTCCTTGGTCTTGGTCGAATTTCTTCTCCTTCTCACTAGGCGCATCCCAGCGCGCAAGACTCAATCGCCAAAGCCCCTGTTCTTGGGCTCATGTGAGATTGGCTGATCAAAAACGAGAAGCGTCGAGTGTGTAAGCTCTTTTTCTTGTTTTCAATCCGATGTTTGCCTTTTTCTTGCTTCTGTTCGTCACAGCGTCCATGAATCTCAGTCCACGCTAACTCGTCAAGAACCCTAAATTTTGAAACTTGATTTCGCTCGTGCCTGCATTGGCATCTGCATAGCCAAGGTCTCTCACTCATAGCCCTTTCCGCGCAACATGTAAGAAGTAGTAGCATTGAATGCTTGCAGCCTTGCACAGGTTTTTAATTATACTACCATGATCAACTGTGCGATCAACGTGGGAGCATTTTAGGAAGTTCAGAACACGGTGAGCTCCACTGGATCTGGAGATGGCAGTGGTGCCGCTGGGGTTTGCCGCAAAATGATCGGGAGGATCTTTTGGCTCCCTCCCTCGGAGGTCAGAAGACTGCCTGATCACCTTGAGACCAAGGATAGACACTTATCTCAATTGAATAATTCCCTGCTTATATCTCACTAGGCGCATAGCCCTTGATCATCACGCTTCTTGCAATTGCGCATGGCTAGAAGCGTAGAGTGTGGTGATCGAGGTGACCTCGTTTTCTCATGTGGCCTCAAGAATCGCTTCATTTTCAGATTCCTGGCCAAGCGTTTAGAAGTACACATGGTTCTTCTTCTATCTTCGAGCCAGTGTAGAAGTGGGAGTGATGGCTGATATTGTATGGGACGATCATGGCTTGCTGCTAAGAAAGGGGCGATCTTATTTCTCCGATGCTTAGCTTGATCCATCACTTCCTTGTCGTAGCAGCAAGACGAAACGTCGTTCTTCTAACAAGAGCTCGGTTGGAGCTGAGAAGCCATGGAAGTGGACATTTCACTGTGATCGAGCTAAAGAGGAGCCAGCGATGGTGGCGACGATTTGTGATCTTTAGGCCTTGGCGGAGCACGGACTCTTGCCACATGGAGACCTGGCGTTAACGCTCGCCAAGGCAAGAGCACTAGCAAGCTCAAAAGACTGCTGCTTGATCCCAACCAGAATCTCCAAGTTAGTGAGAAAGAAGAAATTTGACTAGAAACTCAGAGAATGTCAAGGAATAAGCTCTCAAGGTCGAGGATCAAGCAATTCAATCAACAAAATGATACTGCAGTGATTGTTGCGACTCTCGAGCGCCAGCTGTGACCTGGTTTTAAGATGGAGATTAACGCCTTCACAGACGCCTCCTCCACATCCTGATCACTGACCACTTCCATGCCGGCCCTCCAATTTCCAGGGAGAAATCCAGCATGCTGTGGGGAGTAGGAGATCGTCCAAGTTGAAAATGGTGAAGCTGCTGATACGTAAGCCTTAGCTCTTGCCTTGGCGAGCGTTAAATTTTCCTTTGTTTTGGTTTTTTACCTGGATGACGATCGCGAGACTTGGACTGTGAGTATAAAGAGAAATCTTTAGTCCATCTTGATTGTTTCTTGTGATTTTTTTTCACATGATTGTTTCTTGATTTCACAGGCAAGGTGTTGCTCAACAAGTATTGTCCGATTCATGGAGGAGATTGTTTAGGGTTTAGGGTTTAGTCACATGGAAGGAACATGGTAACAAGAGTCAATTCTTGAAGAAATAGAATAGATTTATTCTTTGGTAGCGTATGTGAAACAAGGGACCTACAGCTACTGAATAAAATGATCCATCCCACGCTGGTGAGCGAGCTGCAAGGACCAAGATCCACGCCGCCATCGCCGCCAAGAGACCTGTAAATTTCACAGCTCGACCTGTGACCAGAAGCTTGCCCTCATTGCCTTGCTCGTAACTCGCAACTCAGTGTGCTGTACGCTTTTTGAGCACCACCTTGCAAATCAATGAATGCACATCGTAAAGCCTGGATGAACTGGGAGTGTCTCACGCCGGAGTCGAGAAATCTCATGCCTCGTGTGGAAGTCCGGCGTCCTACCTCGAGCAAAACATTCGTTATCTAAGATTTTCTCTGACAAGCCCGCTCTACAGGACCAAAGCGAAAGAGAAGTTCTCACAAACTTTTTCTTTACACAGTCCCGGATCCATGAATCACTAACCAGATCGATCAAGAGAAGGGAAAATGGGAAAAAAGAATTTTGGCCAGTATGCATTGCTTGTCACTAAGGTTTTTCAAAATATTCAGAGGATGCAGCCCGGGGCGCCATGCGGAGCTCGTGTATGGTGGTGATACTTGTGTGATGGCTGCTAGAGAGATGGCCTCGATTAAGTTGGATGAGTACAAAGGCTCGAGATTTGCCGCAATGCCAGGCTTTCCTCCTCAAGCAGTTCCAAGCTCTCCATAAGAAACTCGTGATCAATGTACTGTGGACAACAAACTAGGACAGCCTGCTTGCCATCTTTATTCCTTGGCTGCTTCGAATTCATCTTAGAAGATCATCGCGAGCTTGTGTAAAGAGGTGACCAAGGACTTCACGACCTTCCAGAGAACTTTCAAGAACAAGGCAAGAAACAGACATGAAACATCACCTTTCTCAAAAACCTCGTTGAAAGAAAGCGGCATATTCTTATTTTGATCTTTCATCTTAGCATCTGTTCTTGTTACCGTGGTAACAAGCATAGCCTACGTGAACAGTGGCCAACCGTCGTTTAACGCGAAGGATCGCGACCTTAATCTTCATCATATCCAGCGTGGTGATGGCTTGTCCCCCTTGCAACGGACACCCCGACCGCATGAACATGTGACAGCGCTGCCGCTTGGACAGGAGACCCATTACCACGGGGTAAGCATTCGCGACCACCGCAAACTCGGCCATGGATCCCCGGCCTCTCTTCTTGCTCGCCGCCGTCGTCCCACTGTTAGTTCCACAAGCCTTCTGGAACCTTTCATCAGTGTATATGTCTATCAGCTCGTAGACCTGATCTTCCTTTGCTTCCAGCAGCTTGCCAATCCTCGTCACGAACTCCTTGCTCGCTTGATCCACAACTCTTCCGTCCCGGAAGATGGCGTTCCTCATCGCCTGGAGAGCTTGCTCGTAACTCGCCACACTCAGTGTGCCAGGAGATCGGATCCATGCGTCCATCTCCCTCCACCTCTCCATGGTCACATCTTCCAGAAAATGGACGCTGGCCGCAGGTTTCCAGGGCAAGCGAAGCGGACAACGCTTCTTGAGCAGCACCTTGCCTGTGAAAGAAGAAAAGAATTCAATCAAGCTTTCCAGGGATGGATATGGATACTCACAGTCTCGGATCCAAGTCTCACGATCGTGAGCCACATCCAGGAAATCCCCGAGCACCACCTACGAAAAAACAAAGAAAACTTTAATACTCGCTCTGAAAGGCAAGACCTGGAATGAATGCAAAACTTACGTTAACCATCAACTTCACCACCGTATCCACTGGGTGCTCGTCAACTTGGACGATCAGCTTACCATTGATAGTCCCCAGCTCTTCCGCCTCCAAGATCTGTGACGTGGTGGATTCGTCCCACGCCACCGCACGGCACAGCAGCACGAACGAGACGCTAAGCTCGGCGCCAAAAACCACGGCAGCCGCGTCATGGAGCTTGCGCTTGTCGTCCTCGTTCCCTTCCAGCGTCTGCTTGACGTGCTCCACGAAATCCTTGCTCGTGGAGCAACACAGGGACTGGAGCCGCGCGTGGTCCCTGGCACCTCTCTTGGTCCTCATCCAGTTGTGGACAAGACGGCCGAGGAGCTCGCTCGCGTCGACGGGGTAGAAGGCTCGCTTCCTCCGGCGGGAATGATGGTAGGACCGCGAGTGGTCTCGAAACCAGTGGTCGAAGTGACAATGACTGCCGTATACGTGATCATCACCAATCGTATCATGTGCAGCTATGAGCTCCTGCAAGGACAACAAACAAAGAGTTCGGACACCGCCTCTTATGAACTGAGATACCACAGTACCTCGAGCATCTGCAGCGCACCAGGCAATACGTTTGTCAACTTCCATTCGATCCTGACCAGGCTGCTGCTCAAGCTGTCGTGGATTTGTCTCAGCCTCGCTAAGCTAGCACGATCTGGCTGATCCTCGTAATCGAAGTTGTCCAGGAGAAACAAGAAAAGCTTCTCCACTTGTTGTCCGTGGCCACCAGCGGTGGCGGTGCCGGCTAGAGCTTGGCTCTCTAGTCGCGTGAGCCAAACGAGGGATTTCTTGTTGCGCCCGAGCTGAAGTAGCAGCCAGCAGTAGACGAGTTCCAGCAAGATCTTGGTCACGTCGAAAAGATCCAGCAAGTCGCCTTGGGGTGTTTTGCCATGAAAAAAACGAGCCATCACGCTCGCAGATCCTGGATAAGGTTAACTCTCAAGAAAAGAAGAATCCGACTCTCCAAAACGTACGTGTTAGACGCACCAGTGTCTCCTCTTGATCCTCCCACTCAGTCGTCGTAGCATCCGCGGCCATCAACTGGATGGACAGTAGAAGGCAAAAGAAATCAAACAAGATGAAGTTCCAAAACACTCACTCACCTCGTCCAGCTTGGACAAGAGGTAGTTGCAGCACAGGAACTCGGAGCAAAGTGGCAAATCCTGGCGCCCATCGCTGGAAGGATCCTGCTGCTGGCGCTGGAAGAAATAAGCGTTGGCGATGAAGAGACGCAAGACGGCATCGGGCACCGGAGCGTGCAATATGTGGAAGATGACCGCGCTCCAGATGCTACACTTGAGGTCCGAGACCGTGCCGCCATGGATCCACCCCGCGTCGTCCAAGAACCACGACTCTGTGGGATGATCCACGATCCCATCCTCCTCAACCTGCAAGCCATGGCGATCGAAGAGGAGGCGGACAAGAGACATGACGCGCCTTCCCAGATTGCTGCGGAAGAAATCTGTGAGGCGGGCACCCACCGCCGGATTCCATCCAGCCGCCCCTGGCCACATCCCTAAGGATTGCTCGAGTCCCCGCACGTTTAAATCTTTGTACGTAGGGATTTCGTACATTTCCATCTGCCGTACACAGTCGTACAATGCCAACGTATTTTGTACGGATGGGTACGGCAGGGGACTTGCGAGGACTTTTCTGGAAACAAGTAAATCGATCCGAGCTTTTATGTGGCGATCTCGAGTGCGATTCCACCTAGTGTTGCGGAACGTAAATGTCCAGGGAATGAAGAGAGCGACAGCCAGAGCGTGGCTTACCAAGAGGGACTGCTTGAAAAGTCTAGAAGCTCGAGTGGTGATCTAGGCACAGCATGCTCGCAACCGTGAGGCACAGCTGAAAAAGAGCAAAAGGGATTTAGTGAGGCAAGACACAGCAGGTTGGTCTTCTAATCTGACCATAAAAGCCAAGCTAGCCTCGATGCGCTCTGAACCTTGAGAGGCCTGTACCATCGTTGTCTGAAGCTCCAAAGCTTCTTGAGCCCCGTAGTCATGCCAGCTTGCACTTTGCATCCTCATTGCAAGATGATCCATAAGGTCATACTTATTCGTAATGGCCCATACACGTCATACATGTCCTATGTAAGATGCCCTTACCATAAGGTTCATTAGGGTTTAGCTCTGCAGTGCCATGTCAATGTAGGGTTTATGCACGAAAGGTAAGTATTGGTGGCTTCACCTATGATGCTAAATCTGCTGATTTGCAGCCAGTCCACTTGAATCCATGGCTTGACAATTGCCTTGGCTCCTACACGCAACTAGAGAACTTCACAATGAGCAAGGCGCCTTGTAGCATTGTAATGATCTTCTTAGTTTTGTAATAGTGACTTAAGCAATTGTTTTGCATAATCAAAAGTTTGTGACCAAAATATTCAATCCCTCCTGCTCCATCTTCTACAAATAAAAGCCACTTTCGCACACTCAACGTTCTAAGAATGGAGCCATACTTAATAATGTTATACATGTTTTTGTGGAGTTTTACTAACTTTGTGAAAGACTCAAATGACTTGCTTCCAGATACTAAACTATACTAAAACCATATAATATGCTATAGAATAAAATCGTGACATAATAACAAACTCGTTGCATAGCTTAGAGAAGATTTTAGATGGCAAGAGTATAAAAGCCTTCACTTTCCATCTTTTGCACAAAATTGAACCACCACTCTTAAAATTGCTATGAGGACCATTTCCATTACTTGAAAGAGGACTGAAATATGAATTGCCATGAAAATTCTTTATACAATAGTCTTTTTTATAGTTTCCTATCAATGAGTTTCTTGTAACTTGGTAGCAACTACAGAGATAATCTAACTAACAACCCACAACATTAGAAGGACATACTAAACACAATTATATTAATGTAAAAAACATTGTTACTAAGTTTTGATAGAGAAAACACTATAATGTGGCAATTTGTATAGCCCATCAATTAATTCATTATATACATGGGATGGGGTTATTATATACTATCAAAATGGAATGAAAGCCATAAAAAAAATGGTGTGCAAGAGGAAAGAATATTTTTTGGTAAGAGAAAATTCACTTAGTTAAAACTTATAAGACCCCACATGTGATGTATGCATGAAAAGTTATGTTTTTGGTTTGCCTAAGCAAAACTTATAGGGATGATAATGGATATACCTAGAATATGCTTAGATATTCTAGGATATTCTACTATCTAACGGTTGTTATTCATTTAGATTAATTTTGTATTTATAATTTATAAGCTTTCCTAAACACTTCCTAGTATATTCTTTTTTATTCTACCATTTAATGGTTAATATACAATAAGATTAATTTTGATTTATAAATAATAAACAGATTTATAATTATTGATCAATTAGATTATTCAATGATACTATTAAGCAAACCACAAATTGTACGCAGAAAATTATTTACAAATTGCATACAAAAACAACACAAGAAACAATTACACCACCTCTGATGGGATAACTGGTTTTTGAGAGCTTGTGTTGACTTGCTTGTAACTGGCCATTCAGTGTGCTGGACGCTTTTTGAGCAGCACCATCGTACAGCCCGCATGAACTGGGAGTGTCGGAGTCAAGAAGACTCGGAGCTTCTCATGCCTCATGGCTTCTGCAAGTCCGGCATCATCCAGAAGTCCTCCCTTGAGCAAAACTTTCGTTGTCTAAGATTTTCTGTGACAAGCCCGCTCTACAGGACCAAAGCGAAAGAGAAGTTCTCACAATTTTCTCTTTACACAGTCCCGGATCCATGCCTTGCTGAACTTCGTCTCTTTGGTTTTCGCTAACCAAGATCGATCAAGAGAAGGGAAAATGGGAAAAAAGAATTCTGGCTAGGCTTGTCACTAAGTTTTTTTCAAAATATGGACGGATTTGAGACCTTGTAGCTCATATTGGGGCGCCATGCCCGGGCTCGTGTACATGGTGGTGATACTTGTGTGATGGCTGCTATAGTTTGTTGTCCACAGTACATTGATCACGAGTTTCTTATGGAGGTCTTGGAACTGCTTGAGCGGCATTGCGGCAAATCAACTACAGTCTGTGCTTCGAATTCATCTCAGACGATCACTATAAAGCAGTGACCAAGGACTTAACGATCTTCCAGAGAACTTTCAAGAACAAGAACAAGGAGAGAAACAGATATGACACATCACCTTTCTCGAAAACCTTCTTTTGAGACGTCGAAAGAAAGTGGCATATTCTTATTTTGATCAATCACTTCCACCTTAAGATTTGTTCTTGTTACCGTGGTAACAAGCATAGCGCATGTGAACAGTGGCCAACCGTCGCTTAACGCGAAGCATCGCGACCTTAATCTTCATCATATCCAGCGGGGTGATGGCTTGTCCCCCTTGCAAGTGACAATCCGACATGTGACACCGCTGCCGCTTGGACAGGAGACCCATTACCAGCCGGTAAGGACTCACGACCACCGCAAACTCGGCCATGGATCCCCGGCCTCTCTTCTTGCTCGCCGTCGTCGTCCCACTGTTAGTTCCACAAGCCTTCTGGATCCTGTCATCAATGTAGATCTCTATGAGCTCGTAGACCTGTTCATCCTTTGCTTCCAGCAGCTTGCCAATCCTTGCCACGAACTCTTTGCTCGCTTGATCCACGACTCTTCCGTCCCGGAAGATCGCGTTCCTCATCGCCTGGAGAGCTTGCTCGTAACTCGCCATTCCCAGCTCACTCAGTGTGCCAGGAGACCGGATCCATGCGTCCATCTCCCTCCACCTTTCCATGGCCACGTCTTCCAGAAAATGGACGCTGGCCGCAGGTTTCCAGGGCAAGCGAATCGGACAACGCTTCTTGAGCAGCACCTTGCCTGTGAAAAGAAAAACCACAAAAGATTCACAAGAAACAATCAAGCTTTCATGCGATGGATATGGATACTCACAGTCCCGGATCCAAGTCTCGCGATCGTGAGCCACATTCAGAAAATCTCCGAGCACCGCCTGCGAGAAAATAAAGAAAACCTTAGCACTCACTCGAGCTGGAATGGATGGAACCGGCTTACGTTAACCATCAACTTCACCACCGTATCCACTGGGTGCTCGTCAACTTGGATGATCCGCTTACCATTGATGCTCCCCAGCTCTTCCGCATCCAGGCTCTGTGACGTGGTGGATTTGTCCCACGCCACAGCGGAGCACAGCAGCACGAACGAGACGCTCAACTCTGTGCCATAAACCACAGCAGCCGCGTCATGGAGCTTCCGCTTCTCCTCCTCGACGTTACTTTCCAGCGTCTGCTTGACGTGCTCCACGAAATCCTTGCTCGTGGAGCAACACAAGGACTGGAGCCGCGCGTGGTCCATGGCACCTCTCGTGGTCCTCATCCAGGTGTGGACGAGGCGGCCGAGGAGTTCGCTCGCGTCGACGGGGTAGAAAGCTCGCTTCCACCGGCGGAAGCGATTGTAGGACTGCGAGTGGTCTCGAAACCAGTGGGCGAACTGACCATGATTACCGTATACGTGATCATCACCAATCGTATCATGCGCAGCTATGAGCTCCTGCAAGGACAGCAACAACAAAAAAGAGTTTGGACACCACCTCTGATGAACTGAAATATCACAGTACCTCGAGCATCTGGAGCGCACCAGGCAATACATTTGTCGACTTCCATTCGATCCTGACCAGGCTGCTGCTCAAGCTGTCGTGGATTTGTCTCAGCCTCGCTAAGCTAGCCCGATCGGGCCGATGCCCATGGTCGAAGTTGGCCAAGAGAAACAAGAAAAGCTTCTCCACTTGTTCTTGGCCACCGGTGGTGGTGGTGCCGGCTAGAGCTTGGCTCTCTAGTCCCGTGAGCCAAGCGATGGATTTCTTGTTGCGCCCGAGCTGAAGCAGCACCCAGCAGTAGACAAGCTCCAGCAAGATCTTGGTTACGTCCAAAAGATCCAGTAAGTCGTCTTCGGGTTTTTTGCCATGACAAAAACGAGCCATCACGCTCGCAGATCCTGGATAAAAGGTTATGAGTTCCTAGTCTCCAAAGGAAAGAAGAATCCGACACTCCAAAGCTTACGTGTTAGACGCGCCAGTGTTTCCTCTTGATCCTCCCACACTGTCGTCGCAGCATTTGCGGCCATCAGCTGGAAACAAAAACCAAACAAGAAGATGAAGCTCGCAACAAGAAAATGAAACTCTCAAACATCGAAACAGAGAATCTCTCAAGCATGAAGATGAAACTCTCCCAAAGAAGATGAAGTTAGCACACTCACCTCGTCCAACTTGGACAAGATGTAGTTGCAGCCCTGGAACTCGGAGCAAAGTGGCAAATCCTGGCACCCATCGCTGGAAGGATCCTGCTGCTGGCGCTGGAAGAAATAAGCATTGGCGATGAAGAGACGCAAGACGGCATCGGGCACCGGAGCGTGCAATATGTGGAAGATGACCGCGCTCCAGATGCTACACTTGAGCTCCGAGACCGTGCCGCCATGGATCCACCCCGCGTCGTCCAAGAACCACGACTCTGTGGGATGATCCACCATCCCATCCTCCTCAACCTGCAAGCCATGGCGATCGAAGAGGCGGCGGACAAGAGACATGACGCGCCTTCCCAGATTGCTGCGGAAGAAATGGGTGAGGCGGGCACCCACCGCCGGACTCCACCCAGCCGCTCCTGACCTCATCCCTAAGGATTGCGCGAGTTCCCGCGCGTTTAAATCTTTGTACGTAGGTCTTCCGTACATGCCCCTCTACCCTGCCGTACACACTCGTACAATGCCAACGTATTTGGTACGGATGGGTTACGGCAAGGGACTTGCGAGGACCCTTTGTGGAAACAAAGCTAATTCATTCGAGCTTTCGTCTGGCGATCTGGAGTGCGCTTCCACCTAGTGTTGCGAACGTAAACGTCCAGGGAACGAAGAGAGCGAGAGCCAGAGCGTGGCTTACCAAAAGGGACTGCTCGAAAAGTCCTCGTTACGAGCGTGACTACCTAGCGGAAATCTTAACATGGAGCTGACTCATGCCGCAGTTCTCAACTCCTGCAAGAACAACACAAAAAAACAATTACACCAGTTCTGATGGGATGACTGCATTTTGGGTGATACCTGTAGCAGTCTGGTTTGTTTGCTGCAATGTGGTTCCTGAGTTTGATCGCTGAAAGCCCGAGAGTTCGTGTTGCAATAGTCATGAGCTTCCAATATGTTCGTGTGATCTGGACAAAACAATATCACTCTCATTCTTTCTTCTAGCTAAATGAGACATACCTTCCAGTGGCCAGTAACGAAATCCCGTGAGAATAGCAGCAATACATAGCAGACAGGAGCTGGACCTGGAGTGATACTGTGATACAAGAGCAAAAGGAAAGAACAGTGTTTCAAAGGGCTTACCTCGTTGAAGAACTCGTTAGCTCCTTGCTTGGAGTCGTAGGACTCAACTTTCACTGCGATTTCAGAGTGGAAGAACATTGGCAGTGGATTCATGAAGAGAATAAACTTTTCTTACCATGATCACTGAGAGTCCGAGAGTTCGTCATGAGCGTCCAATATGTTCGTGTGATCTAGACAACACAATATCACTCTCATTCTTTCTTCTAGCTAAATGAAACATACCCTTCCAGTGGCCAGTAACGAAATCCAATAGCAGCAATACAAAGCAGGCAGGAGTTGGACCTGGAGTGACACCACTGTGATACAAGAGCAAAAGAAAGAACAGTGTTTCAAAGGGCTTACCTCGTTGAAGAAACTCGTTAGCTCCTTGCCTGGAGTCGTAGGATTCGACTTTCACTGCGATTTCAGAGTGGAAGAACATTCATGACGAGAATAAATTTTTTTTACCGTGAAGGTTTCTTCTGAGCGTTCCTAGCATCCGAGACTTCTTGAATGCTTCACAGCAGTAAAAGAATGTTGTGGACCGCGACCTTAAATCCGTGGCACAGCCTGCCCAAGGAAGATGTGCGCGATGAATCAAGCAAGAATGGATCGAGATCTTACGAGTAGACGAGGCATTGCTCATGCCATCGCCATCGCCACCGCCATGGGAGAGAAACCCTAGCTTGACGGGCTACTTAACGGTCCCCTCGCGTGGCACTATATATTTTGACTCTTTTGTCTTTGCCCTTGAGAAAAAATGTCGAGAGTAGAATATTTGCAAAGAATGGTGGAACTGAATCTGATCAGCGTGGACGAATACCAGCGACTCCACTCCGAAGTCTTGGAGGAAGTCCGCCGAGAAGTCGAGATCGCTAACGCCGGGGACGGAGCTGGAGATCATGGTCACGAGCTGGAGCTGGGAGCGCCGGGACGAGAGCTGGCTGCGATGGAGGCGCGGATGCGCGATCAGATGGCAGCGATGGACGCGCGGGCACGAGACATGGAGGCGCGGATGCACGATCAGCTGGCAGCGATGGCCGCGCAGGCACGGGAGATGGAGGCGCGGATGCACGACCAGCTGGTGGCGATGGACGCGCGGGCGCGGGAGATGGAGGCGCGGATGCACGACCAGCTGGTGGCGATGGACGCGCGGGCGCAAGAGATGGAGGCGCGGACAGCTGCCGGCGGTGGAGGCGTGGGAGCGGATCAGCTGCCGGAGATCGCAGCGATGAGCGACAAGGATGTTGACGAACTAGTGCGCGAGCTGCTCGAAAATCGATCAGAGAGCGACATGGAGGCGATGCGCGAGTGGGCGGCGATGGTGGAGGACGATGATGGCGGACCGGAAGAAGAAGGGATGGATTAGCAAAGCAGGTTGCGATGAGGATGGATTTGTTTGAATTCATATTTCCTTTCCCCGCTCCCTAGGGTTTTCAATGCTCGCGAAGTCTTGTTCTTCCTGCCGATCTCCCAGTTCGTGGCGCCAGGCAATCGCGGCATTGGATAAATCTTGCGGCGCCATGCGCTGGAGGTGATATTTCGCAATGCAGGTCGATCGAGTCTCGGCGACTCCAGCGATCAGAGCGCTGGAGCAATCCAGGCTTCCTCCTCTTTCAATCGCCATGGCTTGCAGGCTTAGGGTCGTGATTCTTGGTCCTGGAGCTATTGCGCGCCGTCCTCCATCGCTGGAACGCTTGTTTCTTCCGGCGGCAAAATCCTTCGAGCTTTGACAAGGTGAGTCTTCTTCTTTTTTAATTTTAGACGGCCGCGAATGCTGTGACTGAGGAGGAGAAGCTTCCCAGGGGACAACTTCGCCATGGATCGTTCTCAAGGTATTTCCCACTCCCTTCGTACACCAAGCCGCTGAAATTTTCTGTTGCTGCAGGAGGCACTTAGTAGGAAACTGACAGCGGGTATCTGGAAACTGTTGGTCGAGAAACTAGTGCTGCTCCGAGTTCCATTCATCTTGTCCAAGCCCGAGGAGGTGAGTTTGGGAATCATGGTCAGGCGATCGTCCAAGTTGACGAGCACTCACTGGATCGATGGCAAAGTTGATGGTTACAGCTTCCATCCAGTCCAGGTCTTGCGTTTCAGAGCAAGTGTTAAAGCTCCCTTTGTTTTGTCGCAGGTTGGTGCTCGGGGATTACCCGGATGTGGCTCACGATCGCGACGCTTGGATCCGCGATTGTGAGTATCTATATCCACCTCGGTCACTGTTCCATGAAGAGCTACGCTTGCAACTCAACTAAAGTGTGGCTGCAGGGGAAGAGACGAGCCGGGGCCTCAACAGCTTACAATATACTCGTCGGCAAGCGCGATTCAAGCAGCGATCACCTACAGAAAAAGGGAGCCAAGGGAAAGGGACTTGATCTTCCGGGCCAGGGAAAAAAGTTGGTAAATTCGCAGCATTTTGCTTTTGCATAAGTTTTTGGCTTATCCAGGGCGAAATACAGTGGTGGATTCATCACTCGAGCCCTCGAGTCGATCCTTTCGCATTTTTACCACTTCTACCAGGCGAGGCGATTGGACGCACCAGTTCCCGAGGTACTCTTAAATTTCCTTCGCTGTTAGAAACCTCGATGTCTAGTTTGTCACTCACATTCAGTATAGCCATCCATTCCGAGGCCATGTATGCGTGGATAGAACCAGTTCACCAGTATTCAGCGGCTGCCAGATGTTGGAGCACGCACCTTCCTGATCGAGGTACTGTGATATCTCAGTTCATCAGAGGTGGTGGAACTTTTTCTTTTGTTGTTCTTGCAGGAGCTCAGAACCGCGATAACGTATACGAAAGAGCCATTCGTTTCTTTCCGAGGAATTTTAAACGACGTCAAGGGGCGTATAAAATGTTGGCGGCTGGAATGCTGGCAACAGGTTTGCTCCATTGTAGTCTTAAGTTGATTGACGTGACCGTTTCGCAATTTTGTGCTTTCTAGAATCTTTGCCCCGACGACGTAAATCTTTCCAGTAATATCATTTAGAGAGCAGAGGTCCAAGTTAGTTTTTAGATTTCATGACATACCTCTTTCCTCACACTTTCAGATGGGATCTTAACTGCCGTGCAAACTCTTGCATCTTGTTCATTGGACGCCGGCCTCTGCTCATCCTTGGAGTTGCAGAGCCAACAGTCAATATGTATACGTTTATGACTTCGCAAAGAGCAGGGACCCAAGCTGGACGGGATGGTAAGAGTATATCAAAGTGTGTTCGTGTCAGCAGGGTCTGCGTTTGGGTTCCAGTTTTACTGTTTCTCTTCAGCAGGTTTACGAGAATTCCTGGAGATCATTCTGGCATGGTTAGCTGACACTCAATACCCGTGTTGCTACGGAGAAGGAATTTAACGTGCGCAAGCGATCTGCTACTGCTAGGTGAAATGGTTATTATCTGTGACCATGTCCGTCATTCTTGCGAGGCTAACTCAAAGCGAATGCTTGCAGATGAACCGCAATAAGCTTACGGTAACTGCGTACAAAGAGATGGAATCACCACTTCGGTTTCAGCTCGGGTATGAGGCCATTGCAAACTGAAAACGTTCTCAATGACACAAACTCTTAATTCCAGAAGGAAGAAACTTCTCAGCAGACTCGGTATTGTCAGGAGTATGAGTTGATACCAGCGTTTTGAAGGACGTAGATGACTTGCTCCCCGTGGAAGTGGAGGAGCAAAGAGACCCTTACAGTCTTTGCTTGCTGGATTGCGTCGGTGCCATGCCACTCATCACGAAAGTTCTAACTTCACTTTGCAGTCATGGCGATAGAGAGCCTGCCAGGAAAACATTTATGGGAGAGGATTTTGCTGCTCTTCACCGCACCCAGCCGCAGATTCAAGTACGTAAAAGTCTTCTCTCGCTTTTTTCCTTCCTTTTCCTTGCGTAGCGGTTTCATTCTATCCTCGCATTCACAAACTTTTCTTGTCGCAGGGTCCTGGACATCCCATTCAAGACGATAATTATCTTCACACTGTTCGAGTTCGTCTATCTTCTGGCCTGCTTTGGGATTACGTGGATCCCAATTGCCGGAGTCCTGTTCCCCTTGCTCATCATGCTCCTGGTGCAGATTCGCCAATACTTTCGACCAAAGTTCTTCAAGGCACACCACTGGCCACCGCCGAGTACGAAGAGACCCCCGGAATGCCAAACAACAGAGTGTAAGCTTCGTCCTGTGATATCTTCGTGACCACTTGCGTGGCCACCAGCGGTGGCGATGCCGGCTAGAGCTTGGCTCTCTAGTCGCGTGAGCCAAACGAGGGACTTCTTCTTGCGCCCGAGCTGAAGTAGCAGCCAGCAGTAGACAAGCCCCAGCGAGATCTTGGTCACGTCGAAAAGATCCAGTAAGTCGCCTTGCGGTGTTTTGCCATGGGTAAAATGAGCCATTACGCTCGCAGATCCTGGATAAAAGGTTATGAGTTCCTACTCTCCAAAGAAAAGAAGAATCCGACTCTCCAAAGCTTACGTGTTAGACGCGCCAGTGTTTCCTCTTGATCCTCCCACTCAGTCGTCGCAGCATTTGCGGCCATCAGCTGGAACAAGAAAATGAAACTCTCAATCAGTGAAACAAGGAAACTGTCAAAGAAGATGAAGTTATCACACTCACCTCGTCCAGCTTGGACAAGATGTAGCTGCAGCCCTGGAACTCGGAGCAAAGTGACAAATCCTGGCGCCCATCGCTGGAAGGATCCTGCTGCTGGCGCTGGAAGAAATAAGCGTTGGCGATGAAAAGACGCAAGGCGGCATTGGACACTAGAGCGTACAATATTTGGAAGATGACTGGTCCAGATGCTACACTTGAGCTCCAAGACCGTGCCGCCATGGATCCAGCCCATGTCGTCCAAGAACCTTGTGGGATATCCCACAAGCACTTCATAAATTAAACCCTCAAAGACTTCAAGAAAAGGTAATAATATTTCCTCTATAAAAGATATAAAATTATTATAAATTAATTAGTATAAAATTAATTATTAAATATTAAAATATTATTTTTTATAAATTATTTGATAACATAAATTTTTTATTTAATAGCAATTATTGCCATTAATATTAATGCATTATTATATGCTAAGGATGATTGTATTATCAGTTAGTGATGACAAAAGCTTGAGAGCGAAAGATAGTAGTGTAGGAGGCAAAGGATCACACTCTATTGTGTTTAAGCTATAATAAATTTTCAGAATTTAAAAAATAAAAATAAAAATAATTATTTTTCTAACCTAATTACTTAAAAAACATTATGAAAACTTTACAAAATAACATTCAATTTGATTGCCAAACATTTTAAGTCTAAATGATTCTTAATTAAGTATTATAGTATATAGTGATAGTTTCATGTTATAACCTCTATAGTTTATTGTCACTCCAAGTTTCTAATTCAAAATACTTTAACATTCCTATATACAAGAAACTTTTAAAAGTATTAAATTAAAATTTTCTCACAATCATCTATAGCTTTCAAGTAGAATTTTTTGAATAGAAGATTTGAAACATCATATTGTGTTTCGTAACATGCAACAAAATGCTCAAACTTGATTCTGTCCAAATCACCGATGCTGATGCTTGCCCTTTCAACAAAAGAGTGTCTCATCCTTAAAATGATGTTAATGATATCTATAATAACTTGCAACACAGCCTCCTCATTCACTCATTACTTATTGGTACTTGAGCCTTCCCAAGAATGCTCTTATTTCCTATATTCTAATAGAAAGTGTTCACTACCTTTGGGATACCTATGAAGTGTTCTATACTAACCATAACGATTGATACACAAGTAAGCATCAGGTTTTGATTATAAAAGCCTCTAGCACGTATTGCCATCCAAAGAGAAAGTACAGTATACCTAGAAGGGAGTGAGTTCCACCATACAAATTAACCAAAATGAAATGGTGGTGCAACTGATGCTAGAATTACCACCAATGTCTTTTGATGACTGTAATGAACAACTTCAAATCAAAAAATACATTCTTTCTTACTTTTTTGTCATGAGATACATTTCAGTGTAACAAAATTTGGTCTAAAAAATTACCACTAGAAATGTCACCACCATTTACTGGTGGTGCTTGTATATTTCTCAAGAATATTTAACTGGGTGTTGAAGCAGCGATGACATCAACAGAAAAATGGACCTGAAATATAGTAACACAGAAATACCACCATTATTACAAGCAGTTTGTGTGCCCAGTGTTTCCAAAACTATAAACTTGGCAGTGCCTCTGTGTCATACAATCTTACTACTCCACTCCACTCTCATTCAATAAGAATCTATTCAAAAGAAAGAGTGGAAGACACACTCAATTCCAAGTATGATACTTTATAGTTTGCTTGATGAGACAAATGGTTCATTACAACCATCCAAGCCATTTCCTCGTTGTTTGTACTCAATTTTTTTTCTTATGCTTGCCTGCAGAAAGAAAGAAGTTCCATCCTTTTCCTTCCAACAAAATTAAAGTTCATAGCTCTGACTGTCTATATATTGGCCTCCTCAAAGAACGATTGACTGATGGTAAAAACTGTAGCCTGTGCGATAATACAAACTAAAAGACATGGAAGTTTGAACCCAGCTCATGTGGTAGAGGCACAGTAGTGAGTGCTGCGAGTTGAACATAGGGATCTGTGAGGCCTAGCTTCTCTTCTCAGGAAGAACACTGTGACTTGATCCTGGAGCCCGCATGGGAGGCAAAATTTGGAGGTATGGAGCTCATGCATTTTGCAAGATTCTGCAGGTGTGCCTTCTGGTCGTGACCTAGGGTCCTGGACTTTGCTGCTCAAACGTTGGCCTGCTCGGAAGCTCGGCTTGGTCGGTGGTAATGCAGGTTCACAGTTTGAGAGGCGAGACGTCCATGTAATCCTCGAGCGCCAGCTTCAAAAGAAGAATTTAAGGACTTTAGTACTCGAGGCAAGAACGAGATGGAAGGACTCACTTCACAGAGCGTTCGGGAACGGTAAGATCACCAAGCTGATCATAAAAGCCCAGCTGGGGAGCTGCTGGCTACACAAGCGTGGCAGCCAATGCGTTATCGGCGAGCGACAGAGAACCATCGTTGTCTGCAGCTCTACAACTTGGACGAGCGCCTTGAGCCCCGTGGTCACGCCACAGCATCATGGAGCTTGTGCTTCACATCCCCGTTGTGAGCGTGAACATCCAGCGGAATGACTAAGGCTGCTTGGTCCTCATCCATGTACCATCACTGGACTCTTGCCGCGGTTATGAGCTCCTGCAAGAACATCACGAAAACAATTACAACCCCTCTGATGGAATCACTGCTAAGGGGCTGGCGTACCTGCAGTTTTTGCTCAATGAACGAGTTTGAGGAGTTTACTAGCGTGTCCTGGGAGCATTACACACAAGAAGTAGCTCAAAACGCGAATATAAAACACCACAGAACTAGAGAGGGAAGAACCTTATATATGTTCGTCGTGTGCTAGCAATGCAAAGCATTCACGCTGCCTGCTTGCAACAAAAAGAGCAAAAGGTGATCCTGCGGTTTCCTTCACAGCCTGCCCAAGGAAGAGATTTGCACCATGGAACAAACAAATCGAAATATCTTACGAGTGGAGCTTGGAAGCGCCTCGCTTATCTCGAATCCGGCAGCTATCGCCCTGGGCGCCAAACCCTAGCTTGACGGGCTTGACGGGCTCAACGGTCACGCGTCACCCGTCAGGCATTGACTATATAGTCAACTCTTCCAGCTAGTAATCTTTGCCCTTGACAAAAATGTACACGGCGAGGAGGAGGATGATGCCTCTCGACTTGCTCACGGTGGAAGAACAGGGGCAATTCCAATCCTACATCCACGCGAGACTTGTCCTGGAGATCCAGATCGCTGTCGCCAGGGCCGGAGCTGGAGTTCTCGGACACGTACACGCACAGGAGCTGGAACGAGAGCTGGCGGCGATGGAGGTGATAGAAGAACAAGCGCGAGAGACGGTGCGGACGCGCGCGATGGAGGCGCGGGCGCGACTGGCAGCGGCGGCGATGGAGGTAGCGGCAGCCATCGAGGTGTGGGATCGAGACATGGAGGCGCGGAGGCGGCGGCGCGACGAGCTGGCGGCCGAGACGATCGAGCTTGCGGCATTGGAAGCGTGGGAGCGAGACGCGGGACAAAGGCGCGAGCAGGCGGCCATGGAAGCGGCGGCGCGGGCGGCACTGAGCGAGATGGCGGCGGCGATGGAGCGCGAGCTGGGGCCGATGACGTGCGAGCTGGAGCCGATGGCGATGGAGCGCGAGCTGGAGCAAGCGCTAGCGCTCGAGGTGGCGAACTTAAGCGGGCTGTCCAAAGCGATGGAAGCGCCTGTCGCAGGAGGAGGACGGATGGAGCAGGAGTGTAATTTGGATGGTTCCATGGAGCTTGGCAGTGTGGATGACTTTATCTCCAATGTCTAGCCTAGTCCAAGATTCTTTCAATTCGTATTTGCTTTTCCGCTCATCCTTGCCGCTAGGGTTTGCGCCTTGGCGTCCTTGCCGATCGCAACGATTTCTTCTTCTTCCTGCCAATGCAGGTCTCGATCGATCGGAGTGTCGCCGGCGCCAGCGATCAGAGATCGCGGAGCGCTGGAGGAGCTCGCGGAGCGCAGGAGGAGATCGGGAGGAGATCGCTGAGCGCTGAGCGCTGGAGGTGTGATATTTCGCCACTGCGGAGCAATCTGGGAAGGATCGCAATGGCTTGTTGGTTAGGGTCGTGGTTCTTGGAATTCCCGGCGGCACGGTCGTCCGGAACGCTTTCTTCCAGCGCCAGCAGCAGCAGCCTGGTCAGGATCGAATGGAAGTCGACGAATGTATTGCCCGAGGTAGGTACTGTGATCACAGGCGGTGGAACGTATTTGTCTTGCAGGAGCTCATAACGCTGTCTCACCGCTCACTCGCGGCTCACTCGCGGTCCCTGTGTTTGAAGCACGTCACGGAGACGCTGGAAACTCACGCTGTCTGCCGAGTTTAGCGTCTCATTCGTGCTGCTGTGCCGTGCTATGGCGTGGGAGAAAGCCACCACGTCACGGAGCTTGGAGCCGGAAGAGCTGGGCAAGTGATGGATACAATGGTGAAGTTGATGTAAGCTTTCAATCCATCCATTCCAGCTCGAGCGAGTGCTAAAGTTTCCTATGTTTTTTCGCAGGTGGATTACGATCGCGAGGGTACTGTGAGTATCTATAGCCATCCCATGAAAGCTTGATTGTTTCTTGGCCAAAAAGTTTTTCACAGGCAAGGTGGTATAGTGTTGTCCGATTCGCTTGCCCTGGAAACCTGTACTGGAAGATTTAACCATACAGAGGGGGAGGCATGGAAACACTGCCCCTTTATCCCCTACGAGAGCGCGCTCTTCGCCGAGCTGTTGAAGCACCTGGACGCAGCTGGTACTTTCGTTTGTTAGGTCCTGGCGCTATCAGAGCTTTTTCTAACTTCGAATTTGTCATCTACAGGCTTACTGCGTGGTTGTGGACTGGCATTTCTTATGACGCCGCGAATGATGTTGCAGCTGGGACTCCAAGACGTCTAGGCAGTCCGAATCCTTGGTCACATCGTGGTATGGCAAGATCAAGGTTCTTTGTATCTCTTCCGTTCCCAGGAAATCACTTGTTTATACATCAACAGTGCGTTCATTCCTGATCGCAGTTCTCTTACTTTGATCGGAGTGTTGATGCTCAACAGAAACTTGCACAAGCGCTCCTCTTAGGGCTATGATCTTATTATCTGGGAATACCACCTTCAAACGGAGTCATCCTGCAGTCTCGAAGAGCCTAGCAACGATGAAACACCAGGTCAGTCCATGTTCGTCATTCTTGGGAGGCTAACTCAAAACGAATGTTTGCAGATTAACTGTAAAGGCGGCAAAGTCAGGCACCAATAACAACGAAAGCTGGGGCAGCATTACGGTAACTTACAATCAGCGTACAAGGAGATTGGAATCGCCACTTCGGTTTCAGCCAGCATCATCTCGGGTACATGGCCTTTCCAAACTGAAAACGCTGAGAATGACATACAATTCCAGGTAAGAGACCAGGTATTGAATCAAGCAAAGACTGTAAGAGGTTGCTAGCTCTTTGCTCCTTCTCTTCCACAGGTAGCAAGTATGGACATTCTTTACAGGATCAAAAACACTGGTGTCAACTGCTACTCCTGACAATACTGAATCTGCCGAAGTGTATCGAGGCTGCGTCGGTGCCATGCCAGTCATCAAGGGAATTAGAGAAGCTTCTGATTGCCGGCAGTTCGCTCTTTAGCCGAAGATTCAAGTACGTGAAAGCCTTTTGCTCGTTTTCCGTTGTCCGTCCTCACAAACTTTCCTTGCCGCAGGGTTGTGGAGGACGTGCATGCCGCACTCTTCCAGTTCGTCTATCTCCTGGCCTGTGCTCGTGCCGAGCTTTCGACTTGGCGCTCTCTCCTGGGCAGCAGACGGCATTCTATGGAAGTAGTCCCACGCGCGCTCCAGATTGCTGGACTGGGTGAAGGCGCGGATCCTTGTGTCAAGGACACTGTGTTCTTCCACTCCATCGACTCAACTTCTTGATAATGCGTTTTATGCATAGGCGTATCATGGTGTTTTCAGAAAAGAGATCCTCTCTCAAATAACGAAGGACCGGCTCGACAGTATGCTGATATCAAAGAATTCCATGAGATTCTATCTAGAAAACCTCCATGGCATAGGAGACATTTCCCCGCATTGGGCATTTGCGGTGATTATGACATTCCAACACAAGCTGTTCCTTCTGGGTAAAGCCTTTGCATGGACGAGCTGGAAGTTCTGGTAGCAGCCAATGCCCATTACAGTTGTGGAGTAAACGCTGCGCAGATTGACGCGACATCGGCATATGCCCGCTCCGGGAATATGCTTGGGATAGTACGGAAAGGGGCAAGGACACGGGATATCCGTACATAGTACTTTATATAAAGCGGGAGGGAATAGAGATGGTGCGATGGATCGTGGATCATCCCACAGAGTCGTGGTTCTTGGACGACGCGGGGTGGATCCATGGCGGCACGGTCTCTGAGTGGGAGGATCACGAGGAGACACTGGCGCGTCTAACACGTAAGTTTTGGAGAGTCGGATTCTTCTTTTCTTGAGAGTTAACCTTTTATCCAGGATCTGCGAGCGTGATGGCTGGTTTTTTTCATGGCAAAACACCCCAAGGCGACTTACTGGATCTTTTCGACGTGACCAAGATCTTGCTGGAGCTTGTCTACTGCTGGGTGCTGCTTCAGCTCGGGCGCAACCGGCAGTCCCTCGTTTGGCTCGCGCTACTAGAGGCCCAAGCTCTAGTCGGCACCGCCGCCGCTGGTGGCCAAGGACAACAAGTGGAGAAGCTTTTCTTGTTTCTCCTGGACAACTTCGATTACGAGTCTCGGCCAGATCACGCTAGCTTAGCGAGGCTGAGACAAATCCACGACAGCTTGAGCAGCAGCCTGGTCAGGATCGAATGGAAGTCGACGAATGTATTGCCTGGTGCCCTCCAGATGCTCGAGGTACTGTGATATTTCAGTTCATCAGAGGTGGTGTCCAAACTCTTTCTTCTTTGTCCTTGCAGGAGCTCATAGCTGCGCATGATACGATTGGTGATGATCACGTATACGGCAGTCATGGCCACTTCGCCCACTGGTTTCGGGACCACTCGCGGTCCTACAATCGCTCCCGCCGGTGGAAGCGAGCCTTCTACCCCGTCGACGCGAGCGAGCTCCTCGGCCGCCTTGTCCACTCCTGGATGAGGACCAAGAGAGGTGCCACGGACCACGCGCGGCTCCAGTCCCTGAGTTGCTCCACGAGCAAGGATTTCGTGGAGCACGTCAAGCAGACGCTGGAAAGTAACGTCGCGGAGGAGAAGCGCAATCTTCATCACGCGGCTGCCGTGGTTTTTGGCCCCGAGCTTAGCGTCTCGTTCTTGCTGCTGTGCCGTGCGGTGGCGTGGGACGAATCCACCACCTCACAGATCTTGGGCGCGGAAGAGCTGGGGAGTATCAATGGTAAGCCGATCGTCCAAGTTGATGAGCGCTCAGTGGATACGGTGGTGAAGTTGATGGTTAACGTAAGTTTTGCATACGTTCCAGGTGTTGACTTTCAGAGCGAGTGCTAAAGTTTTCGTTGTTTTCTCGCAGGTGGTGCTCGGGGATTTCCTGGATGAGGCTCACGATCGCGAGACTTGGATCCGGGACTGTGAGTATCCATATCCATCCCAGGAAAGTTTGATTGAATTCTGGTCTTCTTTCACAGGCAAGGTGCTGCTCAAGAAGCGTTGTCCGCTTCGCTTGCCCTGGAAACCTGCGGCGAGCGTCCATTTTCTGGAAGATGTGACCATGGAGAGGTGGAGGGAGATGGACGCTTGGATCCGATCTCCTGGCACACTGAGTGAGCTGGGAATGGCGAGCTACGAGCAAGCTCTCCAGGCGATGAGGGACGCGATCTTCTGGGACGGAAGTGTTGTTGTGGATAAAGCCAGCCAGGAGTTCGTGACGAGGATTGGCAAGGTGCTGGAAGCAAAGGAAGATCAGGTCTACGAGCTGATAGAGATCTACACTGATGAAAGGTTCCAGAAGGCTAACAGTGAGACGGCGGCGGCGAGCAAGACGAGAGGCAGGGGATCCATGGCCGAGTTTGCGGTGGTCGCGAATGCTCACCCCGTGGTAATGGGTCTCCTGTCCACGCGGCAGCGCTGTCACATGTTTATGCGGTCGGGGTGCCCGTTGCAAGGGGGACAAGCCATCACCAAGGTGGATTGCATGATGATTGAGTACGCGAGGCTTCGCGCTGAGCAACGGTTTGACACTACTCACATTGGCTATGCTTGTTACCATGATAACAAGAAGAAATCTTGCATATTCTGCTGAAAGTGATTGATCACAATAAGAATGCGCCCCTCCCCCTTCTCTCAACTTTATCAAAGAGCTCTCAATCCATCCAAGTCCATCAACTTACGGTGCAACCATTATGGACGCTGCTACGAGCTCATTCTATCCAGGAAAGGTGGCGTAAGAAACCTGGGCATATGCTGTGACTGTAGCATACTAACGCACGCTTTCCCTTTGGGGCATATTATCGAGTGGATCTCGTAACTGGGAGTTCTGGAGCATCATACTTGCTTAGTAGGCTGGCTATCAAACACATATTTGGTATGCTCAAGATGTTGTGGAGTACACTCTGTGGAGCACCACCGGTAATATTCCCGCTCTGGGAATATGCGGACCAGTGGAGTGCCGGATTCGAGATTCTTGGCGCCGTGGAGGCTTTTGGTTTCTTCGTGTGTTCTTCATGGAGACCTTGGAGCAGAACAGCCCGGCATTGCGGTAAATCTCGAGCCTTTGTACTCATCCATCTTGACCACGCCGTACAGGTGGGTTCTCAATCCGTACATATTGTCTTAAACTGGAAACTTTATTCATTTGAAATATTTGCCGACTATTTTACAAAAAGCTTTGAATTTTCTATCAACACAGATTTACTCATGCCAAAAAAGTCTTGTTTTTTTTGTTTTTTTTTTCCCATTTTCCTTTTTCTTGATCGATCTTGGTTAAAGAGACGAACTTTATCATATTTAGAGATCGTCAGTTGACAATCAAACGTTTCAGATCGAGCATCTGGAGGAGCTGGATCTCTCTTTTAACAACATTTCTGGGACAGTTTTTCGGAAGGGTTGTGCTGCTGTTGCACGCCTTATTCGCAGCCAAGGCTAGAAATCTAAATTGCTAGAAGCGAAGTAGAATGCTGGTGATAACTTACAAGCTTAAGAGCCGGGAGAGGAGCTGTCCGGTATCATTCGTAATGGACTGTACTGGTGCTTGAATTCCACACGGCTTCTCGTGGTGACCGCGTCCAGGACCTCTGCGTCGCTGGTACCTACACGCTTCGGCGAAGAGCGCGCCCTCACAGGCGATAAAGGTAGCGGTGATCCTCCTCCTTCCATCCGGAGTGGCGATCTCATCACATCCTGCCGTGGTGATCTCAAAACTTCCATCGTGGATTCGGCTTCCTGTACGTCGAAAAACGAAGAAAAAATGTAATTAGCACCAGGAAGATCACGAAGTCAAGCTTACTCTCATTGCGCTGTTGTATGGCATTGCGGGGGCCTCTTCGTACTCGGCGGCGTCCAGCTCTTGCAAGTGGTGTGCCTTGAAGAACTTTGGTAGAACGTATTGGCGAATCGGCACCAGGAGCATGATGAGCAAGGGGAACAGGACACCGGCAATTGGGATCCACGTAATCCCAAAGCAGGCCAGGAGATAGACGAACTGGAACAGTGTGAAGATAATTATCGTCTTGAATGGGACTGTCTCCACGAACGCGGCATGCACGTCCTCCAGGACTCTGACAGGGAATGTTGGTGGATGTTAGAATCGCTACGAAAGGAAAAGAAACGAAAAAGAGAGAAAAGGGTTTTACGTACTTGAATCTGCGGCTGGGTGCGGTGAAGAGTAGCAAGATCCTCTCCCAGAACTGGTTTCCTGGCAAGCTCTCTATCGCCATGACGGCAAAGTAGCCCCATAAAACTGAAGTTGGGATTTTCTTGATCAGTGGCATGGCACCGACGCAGCCTCCAACAAGCAAAGACTGCAAAAGGTTGCTAACTCGTTGCTCTTTCACTTCCACAGGGAGCAAGTCATCGACGTCCTTTTCCGGATCGAAAACGCTAGTGTCAACTGGCAGTCCTGACAATACCGAGTCTGCTGAAGTGTATTGAGAAGTTTCTTCTTTCAGTTCTTTCAATACCTGGAATTAAGAGTTTATGTCATTGGCAACGTTTTCAGTTTGAAAAGGCCACGTACCCGAGATGATGCTGGCTGAAACCGAAGTGGTGACTCCATCTCCTTGTACGCAGATTGTAAGTTACCGTAAAGCTGTCCCAGAGTTTCGTTGTTATTGATGCTCGACTTTGCCGTCTTTACTAGCTTATCGCGGTTAATCTGCAAGCATTCGCTTTGAGTTAGCCTCGCAAGAATGACGAACTTGGGCCGACCTGGTGTTTTAGTGTTGCTAGGCTCTTCGTGTGCATGGGAGACTGCGGAATGACTCCATTCGAAGGTGGTATTCCAAGCAGGCCACAGATAATAACCATTCCACCTAGCAGTAGCAGATCATAGTGGTAAGAAGAGGGCTTGCGCAAGTTGAATTCCTTCTGTTGAGCCAGCTGGGAAGCAACACTGTGATCAAAATAATAGAGCACTGCGATCATGGTTGCTGGAATGAACGCTCCTATGATGTATAAAATGGGAACATCCCGCATTTCCTGGGTACGGAGAATCAGATAAGTAAGCCAGAAAAGTCAAGCAAAACTACAACGAACCTTGATCACTGTCCAATTTGCCATAGCACGATGTGACCAAGGATTCGGACTGTATAGACGTCTTGGAATCCCAGCTGGAGTGTCATTCGCGGCGGCATAAGAAATGCCAGTCCACACGAGAACCATGAGCGGAAGTCCATAGTCAGCTATTAAACCACGCATCCAGCCTGTAAGATGGTAAATCCGAAATTAGAAAAGCTGAAGGCTTTATTTTCTAAGAGCGTACCAGCACCATAGCGCCAGGACCTTGCCTTCCTGCTTTTCAATCCTGTAAGCAGCAGACCGAACGAAAGTACCAAGCCAAACATGCCATTTGAAAAGCGCCAGGGCGTGCTGAACTCTTGCAACGAAGGATCGTCTCGCTTGGGTATACGAAACTCCCCGACGATACCCTGTAACACCGACTTGTTTTTTAGTAGAATAACTCGCTCAAACGTACTTGCCTTGATTGCTTGCTGCATGAAAAGGCCTGCAATGAGCATTCCAAAGAGTTCTCCGGCAATTCTCGTAAACCTGTTGATGATAGAACAAGCCCCCAAGATTGCTAAGAGAAACAGCAAAATTGCAACCCAAACGCAGACCCTGCCGACACGAACTGCATCGGTAAAGCTCAAAAATTCGATATACTCTTACCATCCCGTCCAGGCCAAGAAAAGCTTGGGGCCTAGATCGTCCCTGTTCTTTGCAAAGTCATACATAAACGTATACATAATGACTGTTGGTTCTGCAACTCCAAGGATGAGTAAAGGTTGGCCTCCAATGATCGAGTGTAGGAGCCCACAGAGAGAAGTGGATGCAAGAGTTTGCACGGCAGTTAAGATTCCATCTGAAAGCGTGGCGAAAAGAGGTGTCAAAAGATGTCATGAAATCCAAAAACTAACTTGTATCTCTATCGAGTTGCTCTCCAAAAGATATTACTGGAATGGCCGAAGCGAAAAAGATGTATGTCGTGGGAGCAAATATTCTGGAAAGCAAAAAATTGCGAAACGCTCACATCAATCAACTCAAGACTACAATGGAGCAAACCTGTAGCCAGCATTCCAGCCGCCAATCCAGTCCTGCCTGTAACATTTTATACGCCCCTTGACGTCGTTTAAAATTCCTCGGAAAGGAACGAATGTCTCTTCCATTTTGAAGCAAAAGGTGGTGATGATGGTATCGGGAAGTCAAGAAAATGAAAAAGAAGAGGAGGCTTATCAGATGCAGGCTACGGGCAAAACTGGATTGGTTCTGTTAGCGCCCCCATTCTCTTATTCGTATCTCGGAGAAAATTAAGTTAGAACTCGCTGCACGAAGATCAGGAAAAAAGTGAAAGAACCATTATGAATAAGGAATCAGAACCATGTACCTTGATATTGTGAAGTATATCTTTTGCCCCTTATTCCAAATCTCGACGCAGCGATGCACAGTGCTCCAAAAGGTGGAACTTCGTACATCTTGTTGGTGTCGTTGCAAGAAGCTCTGAAAGCTCGAGCAGCAGCATGGAGCAACAGTAGCAACCCCGCAGGGAGCAACGAAAAGAAGCTTTAGCGATCCATGACTTTGATGGACGATATTATACGCTCCAGAGAAAAATTAGTTCCCCTCTCCATGGTAAACACGTTGAAAAGAAATTGGGATCTGAGCAGCGACTTGGCACTTAGCGCATCATCACCCCCATGTTGATCTCTGGAGCAGCAATCGCGACGACTTTGCTGGTGGGCTTATTTTACGGGATCCGCGATGCCCAGTGAAGCTTCTCTGAGGCTTTTACTTTGCAGGAATTCATATAGTAATTCTGTGGAAGAGTACCAACGACGCATGAAGCTCTGGCATGGAGCTGGAAGAACAAAAAAAAAAAGAAAAGAAAAACAGAGAGAAACAAAGAGTGATCAAAAAACGAGAAAAAAGACGCGGATGGCAAACCAATAACATACCTGTGATTGATGATCGGTGATCTCTCTCTCTCTCTTCCTTCTGCCACGGTTTATTCGGAGTGAATGCCTCTCTGTGTTGTAAACAGCTGGCAATGAAAACCAAGTGCTACCAGACCGCTGGTCGAGCCTTTAACTCCCAAAAGCCACTCTTTGGTAGGGGTTTACATACTTACATGGCGGCTTCTTTCTTTCTTCTCGGGAGGACGAAGAACAAATATTATGGCCTCCTCCGGAGTTGATCCAAATGGAACGCTCGCTAGTCGCTTTTAGCGAGGCATCCTGGAAAGAAAGAAGAAAACCACGGCTTAGCGAGGGATTGCCATTGCCGGAGCGACGACCGAGGACCCCCTCGATAGAAATGCGATCTGCGGAGAGAAGCTCTAGCGCTCTAGCGAGGCATCGCGAATGGCATCGATGGTCGCAGAGCTTAGCGCGCGGCCATAATCGTCGACGGAGGCATCCGATGGAGCAAGAAAGATCGATGCGAGCTAGCGCGCCATATCCCGTGACGCCAGTCTTGATCCTGCGGGGCAAGAAAGGGACCTAGATCAGGGCGCGATTCGCAATGCCGGGCAATATTTCGAGAATGCCAGCGCTGGACAAGAGATTTGGGAGGGACTGCGCTGCGATCCAGCAAATACCTCGATCGATCGATCAAACACACTGCCGCTCGCCGCGCAGTCGATCAAGGAGAGAACAAGAAGAAGCGAGGAACACAGAGCGCTCAAGTAGGCGCTACAGGACAAGGTCACGCTAAGCAGTGCTCCTTAACCTCCGGTAAAAGCTAGAAACGGCCATAGAACCCTGAACCTCGCCAGAATATGCTTCAATCCGACAGAATATCCTGCGCACTTGACGGAGAAGAACATTCCGAGCATCGTGGGTTTTCATGATACTCTCCAAAAGCAATTAACTAACTGAAAGTGGAGGATAAAAGAATCTTACCATTTTGAGTGCTGTAAAAATCTAAGGTGATAAGACCGTGTAAATAACAGGAATGGGAACAATGGCTGGATATTTGAATCTGTCTGTCTCATGCTTCTTGGTTGACACTGCTAGACCTTGTAAACAGTATATGAATGAATGAATGAACGATAGCCATGATGGAAGCGTAATTTACGTCATATACACTGCAATTAAGATCAGAGTATTTACAATAGCAAAGTCAACTAAAACTCTCATGAATGCTCATACCTGATACCAAAGCTTGTGTGTAAATCTTGGACGTGCTAGGCAGCAACTATGTCGTTAGTGCACGAGCCTATGATCCTCTATGATCCTCTTTGCTCCCCAACAACCTATCGTAGTAGCATGCGCGCCCTAATTTCCGCACCCCCTAATTCTCGTAGATGGTTCGCTGGGAGCTCTCTTTCTTAGAGATCCCATGGAGCAAAGCAAGTCCATATTCGTCCGGAAATAAAGGAAATAAACTAAAAAACAAATACAATATTACATTTTCTAATAGTAAATAATTTACTAACAAAAAGAAATGCGTATAGCCTAGATCCCTAGGACAGAAAAGCCGAGAAAAATGGTGGCGAGTTGCAAACAAAAGGACCATTGCGCCTGTAAGGCTGAATTCCTGACGAGAGACGCAAGCCTAAACAAGGACTAGTCTCGGGAGGCCAACTGGCGGGTGGGGTTAGGGCACACGCCACGTAAGCGTGCACTTGGGAGCGTGGTCGTCATGTTTGCGCCATTCGTGTCTTTCCGCCTCGGGAAATAATGCGTTAAAACATAGTGGCTCTTGTCTTGGAAAGGGGGTGATTGCTCAATAATGGGTCTAGCACTTTAGATCCCCTTTTTTTCTTTCTTTCTTTCCAAATTCCCAAGCTCCAACCAAACTTTCGTCCTTGTCTTTGTGCATCTGAATCTGGGTGGCGGACTACGCGTTCTTTTGCAGTGTGGCCAGCCATGCAAGAACTAGAATATGTATAGGCGCTGGCTCGCAGGAATCGAACCCCCACCTCATTTTAAACGGGAAGATTTTCGCGCGAAAAAAGCCCTAAATTTGATCTTAGGTTAGGGCAATGGCGAGGCGCTGGCGATGGATATTTCGATCGATCCGGGAGGCGCTGGCTAATATTTCGATCGCTCCTCAATCCAGGTAACTCGGTGGCCTTGGTTGGGATGCGCATTTGAGCTGGCCTTCTCTGGCGAGCAAAATCACAGGCGCTACTACTGGAGATTCCAGAACAATAGACAAAGCTGCGCTGGACGTACGCGTTGTTTTTTATTTTCTTCTTCTCTGAGTCGTGAAGTGATGGAACTCGACAGCTCGAGGATTCCGCATTTATCCCAGGTAAGCTGAGCTTGCTTGAAATCTAGAACTAAGACTAACGATCCCAAATTGTTACAGGGGGGCATTTTTTTTCTCCAATGAATGGCTGCTCTAGTCCTGGACAGCCACCAGGTACAATCCTATGCAGCGCTTATCCGCCAGTGTAGCGGCCACAGTGTCACGGAAGCCAGGAGAATCCACGGACTTATCTCCGCAGCTGGTTACGACCAGGACAGGTTCCTGAGAAATCTTCTGATAGAGATGTACGGGCGATGCAAGCTTCTCGAAGAGGCGCTGCTCGTGTTCCAAGGAATCCGGTCTCCGAACCAGTTCTCCTACAACTTGCTGCTGGCGGCATTCGCCCACAACGGGGAATTGCTCCAGGCACAGAAACTCTTCGACGACTTGCCCGCTCGGGACGTGGTCTCGTGGAATCTGGTGCTCACGGCCTCCGTCCAGCGGCAGCATAACCAGGAAGTTTTCGGCTACTACAGGAAGATGAGGCTCGAAGGATTTCGCTGCGACGAAATCACGTTTGTGACGATCCTCGCGGCCTGTACGAGTGTGGCGTTTCTATCCCAGGGACAGCTTGTCCATGCTCAGATCATGGACGCCGGCCTGGAGCTTCACGTCTCGGTTGCAACAACGCTGGTTCACATGTACGGGAGATGCTTAGAGGTGGATCGAGCGGTGCGAGTTTTCGAAGGCATGGCCGAGAAGGACTTGGTGTCCTGGACGACGATGGTGGCTGTGTTTGCCGACACTGGGAATGTCCAGGAAGCTTGGAAGACGTTTAACCGGATGCCACAGAGGAACGTAGTATCCTGGACGACAATGCTAGTTGCTTATGCGGAGAACGGACACTTGGAACGGGCAAAGTATCTCTTCGACAGGTTTCCTCAGCGGGACGTGATCGCATGGAACGCAATGGTGACGGCTTACGTTAATGGGGGTGTTCTAGACGGGGCAAGGTCGGTTTTTGATGAGATGGTGGAGAGAAGCAAGGCAACTTGGAACATCATGCTCACGGGATATGCCCAGGGAGGGCAGGCTTTGGAGGCCTGGGAGCTCTTCAGGAAGATGGACTTGGAAGGTTTCCAGCCGGACAAGATAAGCTTCGTCTGTGTGCTGGAGAGCTTGCCCGGGGATTCAGCAGAAGCAGGGATCGTTCACCGTGAAGCGCTGGAAACAGGTGACATTTCGGAGGTTTCAGTGGCGACTGCGCTCGTTCATATGTATGGCAAGTGCGGGAACCTGAGACGAGCTCGGGTAGTGTTTGGGGAGATGAAGAATCGCAGCCTCCTGTCGTGGAACGCCATGCTCTCGGCGTATGCCCGCAACGGGCATGTCAGCAGCATGGTTGGATTCCTGAGCGAGATGAACAATGGTGGAGTGGAGCTCAACGCTGTGACTTTTATCAGCGTTCTGGCGGGGTTTAGCCACAGGGGTCTGCTCAAAGACGGCCACAGCAACTTCATCTCGATCGTCGCCGACTATGGAATCACGCCGATACTGGATCACTACATCTGCATGGTCGATTTGCTCGGAAGAGCTGGGCAGGTCGAGGAAGCCAAGGAGCTGATTGAAAACATGCCGTTTGATGCCGACTCTGCTACATGGACTGCTCTCTTGAGCGCTTCCAGGATTCACAAAAACGGATCAAACGACACTGCGGCTGCTGCTCCTGAGAAGCTCATCGAGTGCCATCCTCAAATCTCCGGGCCTTACGTGCTGCTATCAAACATTTACGAGAGCCCGTCAAAGCTAGCAGCACGAGGCTAGAACATCGTCCGAGTTTGCAGCTTCGACGTTGGTGTTGGACAGCATCACGCATGCCGCGGCTCGAAACTCCGGGCTCATCTCCACGAGCCGCTCGGCTGCTCGCTGGCCGCATTCGGCACTGGCGTTCCTCCGGCAAGCCCCCAGCAAAGTCATCCACGCGATGTCGTCTGGCTCAAACGGCATGGTATTGATGAGATCCTCCGCTTCCCGCAGCTTCCCACGCCTGCAAAGAGCGTCGACTACGCAGACAAAGTGATCCTTCTTTGGAGCGATCCCAAAGTCCTGCTGCATCGACAAGAAGAAGAACCAAGCCTCGGACGCGGCCGCAGCACTGGCGGTGTGGCTACACGCAGAGAGAACATTGACGAAAGTTATGCTGGTAACGTCCACTCCCTCGAGCTTCATGGCTTGGAATAGCTCCAGCGCCTCTCGGCCATGACCATTCGCAGCGTAAGCTCCGATCATCGAGTTCCAAGTCACTTCGTTCGGCCGGGGCATGGTATCAAACACACTCCGGGCCGTGGGAAGAGCTCCACACTCGCTATACATGGACAGGAGCGCGCTGGCCACCACAGTGTTGCAGCCGAGGCCGGTCTCTACAGCTTCGACGTGGATCCTCCTTCCTTCGGCAAGCAGTGACAGGCTTCCACACGCGTTCAAGGCCGTGGAGAAGGAGCTCTCGTCCGGAAGGAAGCCATCCAAGTCCATCAACTTGAACACCTCCACAGCTTCTCTCTGGCAGCCATTGTGGACGAAGCAAGTAGCCATCATGTTCCACACGACGGCGCTGCGAACCGGGAGGCTGTCAAACATCCGCTTGGTCTGCTCGATCTCGCCTCTCAAGCTGTGAGCCTGCATCACCACCGTGTACACGACCAAGTCGAGCTCCGGCATGGCTTCCAAGACGTCCCGCGACTCCTCGAGCAGTCCCTTTTGAGCGAAGCCGTAAGCCAGAGCCGCCCAGGAGAGAGCATCACAGCCAGGCATCCTCTCCAGCACCGCTCTCGCCAAGTCGAAGAGCTCGGCTCGAGCACAGGCCGTGATCAGGCTCGTCCAGCACACGACGTCTCTTCTGGGCATTCGATCGAAGACCATCTTCGCGTCACCGGCCTGGTGCTCGTTCTGCGCGTAGGCCGCGAGCATCACAGTCCAGCAGACACTGTCGTGGCTGGGCATCTTCCAGAACGCATCCTTGACGCTCCGGCCATCGCTCTCGTCGCTCCCTGGAAACGTTTGCAGCAGCAAAGTCCAGGACACTAGATCACGACCAGACGGCATTCGATGGAAGTAGCCTCGCGCGCCCTCCAGATCGCCGGACTGAGTGAAAGCTCGGATCATCGTGTTCCAAGTCACCGTGTTCTTCCACTCCATCGACTCAAACAGCTTCGCAGCGTCTTGAAAATGCCCGTTTTGCGCATAGGCGTTTATCATGGTGTTCCGAGAGAATAGATCCTCGCAAGCCATTCTCTCAAAGAAGAGCTTCGCACTGCGAATATCCCCGGACATGGCATATACCGCTACGGCAACATTCCAAGAAACCACATCCTTGTCCGGCATCTCATCGAATATATTTTTTACCTGGGCAATTTGACCAGCTCGACAGTATGCTGACATTAAAGAGTTCCACGAGATTCTATCCAAGAGAGGGGTCTTGTAGAAAACTTCCATGGCGTGGGAAACATGCCCGGCCTGGGCATATGCTGTGATGATGGCATTCCAACACACACTGTCTCTACTGGGCATATCATCAAAAAGAGACCTTGCATGGACAAGCTGGGAGTTTTGGCAGTAGCCAAGGATCATCACAGTTGTGGAGTAGACACTGTGAAGCGCCATCTTGTGGAAGATTGACGCCGCATCGACAATATGCCCACTCCGGGCATTTGCTGAAACGAGAAATGACCAAGAGTGGAGGTTCTTCTGGCGAATGTGGTCGAATGCGGCAGATGCCAAGGCGATGCTGCCGGTGCTTGCGTACATCTTGACGAGAAAATTCCCAAGTATAGTGCCGGTGTCGAGATTCTTGGCTCGGATCTCCGCGTGGAGACGCTGGCCGTCGTGGAGGCATTTGGATTGGCAGCAGTTGCGGAGGAGCTGTGAATAGTGGTGGTGGTCTTCCTTGATGGACGAAGCGAGAGCATCGTTTAGGCGGGCTAGGGATGAATTAGGCGATCTCTCAGCAGGGATTCTTGGAAAAACCATGCATGATGCAAGGGTTAGAACTTAGATATTAACTTTTGTGAAAGAATGAATGATCTCGATCGCTCTATCCCAGCACGATCAAGATTGGCAGCAGCAAAAGAAGCTCCTAATTTCAGCGCTACAAGAATGCGCTGGCTTGCAAGAAGGAAGGCAACTCCACGCACAGATTTCATCGCAGGGACCAGCTGTTGCTAAATCTGCTGATCAAAATGTACAGCGACTATGGCAGGATCGATCTGGCTCAGTATATCTTTGAAAGAATGCCGCTGATTCTTGGCATATGCCCAGAACGGGGGGCAGAGGTTCTCTCCATGAAAACGCAGTCATGGAATTTGATGATCCAGGCATGAAGAAGTTGAGACCATTGCAGTGACTTTTAGCAGCGTTTTCATGCCTGCGCTGCCGCTGCAAGCCTCTCGGACACACACTTTCATTTCGAGGCTCTCGATCGAGTTCGCTTGTTTTCCTGTGAGAAACCTTGTTTTGTGGAGCTCCATGGTATAGCAGTGAAAGTCTGGCCGTGTTCCAAGCAATGGACTTGGAAGGCATGGCACCAAACGATGAGTATCATATCTGCAGCATGTAGTCACGGGGACTGCTGGTGAGGATGCATGGGAATCAGCCAGGGATGGATTATTTTGAGTATCACTCCTGGATCATCCAACACTCAACATATTTGGTGATCCAACCTCTGTTATGAGCTTTATGGTAATAGAGTAAACCCAGAAAGATTGGAGGGTGACCATACTATTTAGTTTAGTCAATAAATGTGATCATGATTTTATCACAGCTGCAGCTGGTATATATGTAACTGTGGAAGTTATTTCTGTTTTTCATGATACTTCAATGTTATTACATATAAACTTGTGTTTAAAACAACTATGTTATATTTAATTATTTATATTGAACATATTTAGCTACTAAATACATCACCCTTATATCTGTACATTAACTATTAAGAAGCTTAAAGAGATTGATAATTCAAAAGATAATATTTAAAATTAACTATAATTAAGGTTTGAGTATTTTCTGTTCAAAAACATTTAAAAACATTTAATTACAATAATATATATATATATTAAAAAACTAATTTTTTACTTCTAAATTTAAAAGGTAAATTAAATAATTTAATTTACCATTTAACTTTTTGAAGATGAAGGTAAAATTATAAGAATAAAAATTTATTGAAATTATCAATATTATAAAGTTTTGATAAATTACTATTAAATATTTTAAGAGAAATTAAATGTTTTACAAAAACTTTTAGTGAAACTAATATTTAGGATAAGTATTTATTTAAATTATTTATTTCTATTTTATATGAAATTTTACATTTTATTGATTGATAATAAAACCAAATAATAATGGACAAATAAGATCATTATAATAAAAAGTATATCTAGAAATAAAACTATAACCATTTGTAAATTATATAAAATAAAAATGTTTAATATTATTTAATAAATAAATAAATATATATATAATATATTATAATTATTACTCACAATAATGTATTTTTTAAGTTAAATTTCAACAATGGTATTAATCACTATTACAATTTATGTAATCACTGTTGGGATTACTAATTGCTTCATTATAGTGACATCGTAATATTGGAAAACATGAGAAATACTTTATATCACATTATAGTTTTCAAAGAAGATATACCAGTTATAAATTAAAGTTAATTGAAACCAACAATATTATAATGCAATATTAATTAAATATATAGAATGTTTTTTATTTTTTACTAGCATAATCATATAAAAAATAAACTTCATATTCTTATGGTTATATATCACAATTGAAATCATTATTATCAATAAATTTATACATCTTGAAAATTGAAAAAAACAATCTTAATTTCTATATGAATTATGGCACTTTGTAAAAGTTTTAAGAAATATAATAATAAATTATTTATTTATTTATTAAATTTAAACAACTCAAAATAATATATACTTTACAATAATGTTGTTTCAAAAAAAAAAAGTTTTTTTAGTGTTTCAAGCAAAAACTCAAAACACTGTCTCAAGAGTGCTGGATGATCCTCAAGTCACTTAAATCCAAGGAGTGAGACGCAGCTATTTCCTTGGCTTCCTCCACCTTTCCTGTCCTTCCAAGCAAATCCGCCAAGCACGCAAAATGATCCATCCCTGGCTGAATCCCATAGTCCTGGAACATCCTCACGAAGTAGAGCCTGCCATCTTCCAGCAGTCCCCCGTGACTACACGCTGAGATGATACTCACAAAAGTTACCTCGTTCGGTGCCATGCCTTCCAAGTCCATTTCTTGGAACACGGCCAGACTCTCGCTGCTATACCCACACTGGGCATATCCCGCAACCATGGAGCTCCATGAGACAACATTCCTCACAGGCATTTGCTTGAAAACACCCGCAACACTCTGGAGCGCTCCACAGCTCCGGTACGCGTCCATGAGCGAATTGGACACAACAGTGTCAAGCTCGATCGAGAGCCCGGAAATGGAGCTGTGGATCTTCCTTGTGTCTGAGAGGCTTGCAGCGGCAGCGCAGGCATGAAAAACGCTGCTCAAAGTCACTGTATTGGGTTCCACTCCTTCATGCTGCATTCTCTGGAAGATTTGCAAAGCCGAATTACGATGCCCATTGCGAGCATATGTGGTTATCATTGCCGTCCAGGCAACTACATCCCTATTATCAATGCTATCAAAGATAATTCGTGCTTCTAACACTCCACTGTGTTTGCCATAGCAATCCACCAGCGCTGTTTTCACTTCCATGGCTTGAAATGCGTCGTTGCCTCCCTGGACGGCGCTCTCATACACACTCTTTACCTCCTCCAAACTCGAGCACGCCTCGATCGCGCTCACGAAGGTGATGGCATCGGCGGAAGAAGTATCGCCTTCCAGATCCATGGCGCACAGCAGTAGAATCGCATGCTTGGATCTTCCATTGCGATTGCATGCCGAGACGATCGCGTTCCAGATCGTAGTGTTTCTATGGGGAGTGCCATGGAAGAGATTTAGAGCTAGTGGTAGATTGCCATTGTCGGCGAGCGCCGTGATCATCGTCGCGGCGGCCACCACATCCCTGGCATCGTCCCGGAGAGCATCGAAGATCTCTTGGGCTTGGCGAGGTCTGCCGAGCCGACCATACATCTTCATCAGCTCGTTCGCCACGTGTTGGCAGCCCACGTCGCTCCCACCGTCGCGGGCAACGGCGTGCATGAGATCCGCCATCGCCAAGCTCGAGCAGCAGCTTAGCACTGGTGCGATGGCGAATCTATCGGGTTTTACGCCGTCGAGATCCATCAGTACGAACAGTCGGAAGGCACGATCACCATTGCCGGCTCTTGCTTGCGCCTGGATCATCGAGTTCCATGACACGGCATCCCTTAACGGCATCTTGTCAAAGAGAACCTCTGCCTGTTCAAGATGCCCGTTCTGGGCATATGCTACGAGCATGATGTTCCAAGAGAAAACGTTCCTCCGCGGCATTTCCTTAAAGATGTATTGAGCCAGATCCATCCTGCCATAGTCGCTGTACATCTTGATCAGGAGATTTAGCAGCAGCTGGTCCCTGCGAAGGATGTGGCACTGTGAAATCCGTGCGTGGAGTTGCCTTCCTTCTTGTAAGCCAGCGCATTCTTGAAGCGCTGCAATTAGGAGCTTCTTTTGCTGCTGCCAATCTTGATCGTGCTGGAAAATCCTGGCTGGGACGACGTGCATGATCTAAAGCGATCGAGATCATTATATCTTGGCTGTGTAAACTATCACCACTACAGTACTACCGACCATCTATAACTGCGATCCATCCATGCGATGCCAGCCGTCACGATGGGGAGGACGTCTACTGCCAAATTCGCTGATTTACGCCTACGGCCGCCTCCACAGCGCCATCGTGGAGCAGGGAGTCTTCGATCGATGCAAAATCTCGTCTCTGACGATGATCTCGGTGTAGAACGCGATGCTGCTGGAGGCGCTGGCGATCCACCGGGCCATGGACGTGGAGGGCGACGAGATCACGGTGGTGAGCGCGCTGGATGCCTCCTCTACGATGTTCTCGCGGATGATCCAGTGAAACTGCCGTGGCCAAGAGGCGCTGGATCCACACGCTGTTGATCGAGTCGGGGCTGCTGCTCGATCGGTCAAACACCACAACCACCACCACCACCACCACCACCACCACCACCCTGCCGTCAACGTAAGGCCTGTGTTGTTGCATGATCGAGGGGACTGACTGCTCTTAAGGCGCTCCAAGTGATCGTATCTTGCTTCTATCGTCTAATCCGCGAAGTTGTCCTCGGCAAAGATATATGAGATGGCAAGTGGATGTCCGCAGCATTGCCTCGGCATCTGCCTCTATTCGCCAGAAGAGCCTCCACTCGTGGTCATTCCTCGTTGCAGAAAATGCCCAGAGCGGGCATATTGCAGATGCTGCGTCAAAGATGGCCCTTCACAACTTTATAACTGTCATGATCCTTGGCTACTGCCAAACTCTCAGCTTGTCCAGTCACGGGCTCTTTCTGATCATATGCCCAGTAAAGACAGCGTGTGGTTGAATGCCATAATCTCAGCCTATGCCCGGGCCGGGCATGTTTGCTACAAGCAGCGTGTGGAGCACTGAGATGGTAAAAGTCCGGGACGACACACGCGACTCTGGGGCCGTCTCGATCGATCCGGGACAAGAGCTCCGCGAGTGGATCCTCCATTCGGAAGATGGCCTGGGAGAAGGCGGCCTGTGCGTCGAAGTTCTTCTCATCGAAGCCATTGGAAAGTCACACGTTCATAGAGATGAACTCGAAGCGAATGTCGTGGCCATTATTCACAGGATTGTCCTCGCTCTTCCAGGATTGCTGCAAGGTTTCGTGGATGCTATCAGCGTTGATGACTCCGAGGAGCGCAAGCTTGCGGGCGAGATAGATGATTGGAACGACATGTCCCTGTGCTAGAAGTGGGATAAGAACAACGTGAAGTTTCGAGAGAGAGCCCATGGATGATGATTAGACCAAGAAACAAAAAAGAAACTTTTCAAAGAGGAAGTTTTGAGGGATCGTTTGAGTTACCAGCACTTATGGGCTGAATTGGGCATTGTTGTTTCTTTTACGTCTTGCCTTTCATTATTTCTGATTTGCAATAGGAACCATATAGTCCAGTATTGGAGTAATGTTTAGTGGTGAGAATTCTACGTTGTGGCTTGAACGAAAACTGACTACTCTGAATCAACAATTGAATTTATTACTAGAGCTATAAAGATTTTATTTGATTTAAGATAGATTTGAGTTTATAAACGGTTTTAATTCCCTTTAAAAACCTTTAAGGTTTTTAAAACCTTTAAGCTCAATTTAGGTAGTCTTTTAGCAAAATTCAATTTGCTTGGTTGCTTCGTTTGTTGAAGATTGTGTAGATCAAATTCCTCGCACTCTGAGTGATGAGTGGAAGTCCTGTCAAAAACTATCAGTTTGCATTGAGGCACTAGCGTTAACTTCCCCTCGATCTTTACATCAAAGTATCTGATGGTCAACTCTCGCGTTTTAGGGTTGGGCTTGTCCTGGTCAAAGTATCCCAGTGGAAACCACCACTGGCAGGGATACTCTATGTTGCCCCACAACTGGAACTTGTAATACTGGAGATTGGATCGAATAATTGCTTTCGTGACAAGAGTGTCTTTGGAAAGTTGGCCAACTTTAAAAGGTTTTTGATAGTCCACCTTTCGAGGATTGATGTATTTCAACTCAAACTCCTCCACGGGCATTTGGGCATTGTCTTTGCCATAGAAACTCACAATTGTAGACACCTCAAATCCAGAGAGAGGTTTGACAAGGATGAATCTCAGCTTGGTGAGCTTGAATCTTGCTTCTCGACCTGTTTTACCCAAAAACTTCCACTCTCCATCTTGGTCCTCTTTCCCAAATACTTCACACTCTAAATTGTTGGTGTTGGAAGACAATAAAATCTTCTCCACTTTCATTACCCTTGGGAGTTCTACAACTAATTCTTTGCTATGAGCCATGAGAATCCTATCAAACCCTAATTCTTGGAACTCTTATATAGAAGTTCCACAAAAGGTAGCTGCTTTGTGAGAGGTTCCAAAAAAGACGTCAATCTTTCTTTTTAATCCAAAATATAAAAAATTAACTCTTTTTGCAATTTAAACCCTTTATATTGATCCTTTGAGAATATTCTTGTTTAATTGGGAAAAAATACCAAAACACAGTATTAACTCTGGCACCATCTTGAGAGTTTGTAAATATGCTTGCATGAAATGAAAGTCCAGAACTGAAGACAGTAAAATGAAAGTTAGACAACTTACTTGGCAAAGCTCTTGAAATGCTTGCCTCTGCCGAAAATAGTCACTCATGCAAAACTAGAGTGTGAGATGATTTAAAGACTGTAACTATCATCTGGCATCTATGAAGTTACCCTTTTTGGCATAATATTGTATTTAATATCAAAGAGAAGCTTTGGTTTATGCAAATGCCCGTTCTGGGCATATGCTGTGAGCATCACATACAGCAAACGAGATTCTTAGGCAAGGCGCGATCGAAAACCATCTTAGCGGAATCCACGTCGCCCTCTTGGCCATAGGTGACGATCATGATCGTTGCCGCGACAGCGTTTTTTAGCAGCATCCCCGCGAAGAAATCAATTGCCCGAGCGAGATCCCCATTCAGGAACATGATCGTCCAGGAGAAAAGATTGGGCGATTGCGTAGTCGTTACATCTCGTGACTCCCCGACTTTCTGGAAGTCTCTGTCATGCATGAAAAGTGGAATGTCTTGCGATCTTAGCTGCATTCCAGGGATGTAAGAAATCAGCTTGTCAACTCCCTCTGGCAACCACAAGCTTGAGAACTTCCATGTTTTCTTAGCACACACTTCTAGATCGGTCGAAGCTTTACCTTTGACAGGAACCTCTCCCATCTCCAGGAGCTTTGGAACGTGGAATTCGATGGCAGCCCAAGCAGCATTTCCCGGCCAAAAGCCCAATCCTGCCTTCTTTGCAGCGTGTGGAGCACTGAGATGGTAAAAGTCGAGACGACACAGCCGTCTCGATCGATCCGGGACAAGAGCTCCGCGAGTGGATCCTCCATTCGGAAGATGGCCTGAGAAAAGGCGGCCTGCGCGTCGAAGTTCTTCTCATGGAAGCCATTGGGAACTCGCAAGTCCATAGAGATGGACTCGAGGCCCATTATTCACAGGATTGTCCTCGGCTCTTCCAGGATTGTTGCAAAGTTTCGTGGTCACAGTGACTCCGAGGAGCGCGACCTTGCGGGCGAGATAGATGATTAGAACTTCCCTGTGCTGGAAGTGGGATTGAAGTGTCGAGAGAGAGCCCATGAACAAAGAAGAAACTTTTCAAAAAGGAAGTTTTGATGGATCGTTTGAGATACCAGCAAGATTTATTTAATTTAAGATAGATTTGAGTTTATAAATGTTTTTAATTCCTTATGAGAACATTTAAGGCTTTTAAAACCTTTAACCTCAAATGGGGTAGTTTTTTTAGCAAAATCCCATTTGTTTGGTTGTTTATCAAATTCCTTGGAAAGTCTTGTTAAAAATTATCAGCTTGCATTGAGGCCCTAGTGTTAACTTTCCCTTGTTCTTCATGCATTCTTTGATAGAATATTCTCAAGGAGTTTAAAAAGGATCAATATAAAAGCCTTATGAAGAGTTAGTTTAAAGATTTTGGATTTGTAAAAACGATTAAAGTTTTTTTTGGGATTTGTGAATTATTCACAATACAGGGTTATGAATTTAAAGAGACTCTGACTAAGTTATCACTCATTTTAAGTTATGATATAGTATTAAATTCACCCTAGATGCAACAACACTACCTAAATTGGATTGCAATGGAAATAAAAGTAAAATAATCTTTGACATGAATAATATTGTATACTGTCTCACTAATTTATCTTGGTCAAGAAGGTTAGGAAGGATCAATCAGCATATATGTAATACCCTTTATGATGTAAGGAGAATTGATGACTACAAAATCATAGATAATGGTTATCAAACATCAGGCATATCACTTGATCTAGTAAATAAACTTAAGCTCCCTACAGCTCACAATCACAAGTGTAATGAGTCCAAATGCAAATGATCAGCTGAAAGAAGGGTATAGAATTGAAAATTTATATAAGTTTTGGAAAGTTTTTAGTTCTTAGGGAAGATTGGCTTCATAAGAATGTGGCAATTATTAACTTTAGGAATCACATTGTTACGTTTAAGTGTAGTGAATTAAGTTGGTGGCACAGATTTCAATATCCACATGGTATATAGGAATCTCCATTATAAATAAATAATAAAAACAGAATAATATTTATCACGATGGAACACTAACACTCCTTTCAACTTCAACAGAGTGGATCTTACAGGCACTCACAAAGCATCCGCAGTTGGAAACAAATAGCATTATACTTATGATCTCCTCAGCATCATCCAAGTGTGTATATCCACTTACAGGACGAGCGCCCTCTTGTATTCACCTGCCTGTAGCCAAAGGCAATGAAATTTTCGTCAAACTCGTGGGTGTGCTTATGTGCTCTATCAGGAGACATGCTCTTCACTTTCACCATTTTGACCACTCGAGTGTCCAAGCGACTGGAATGGCTTCACGGTACGAAGTTTCGATTTAATCCCGTTTAAACAGAATAATATTTAGCACGATGGAATTGCGAGCAACACTAACCCTCCTTTCAACTTCAACAGTGTGGATCTTGCAGGCACTCACGAAGCATCCCCAGTTGGAAACAAATAGCATTATACTTATGATCTCCTCGGCATCATCCAAGAGCCCACAAAAACACCTATCAAGCAGCATAGTGATCTCACTTGGGACTTAGATCATAGTCAGAAACCATTGGAGCCAAAGCGTCTCTAGCAGGGATTACCAGCCCAAGGTGGCAGCAAGCTATCAAAAGGCCCATGAAACTCTTGAGATTCAAGACTTTAAAGAGCTGAATGGACACAGTAGATTCTGGGCAAACGATACAATAAGAATGGTCCTACTCATGATGTTTGGCTGTAAACAGCATCTAAACAATGCCCAAGCATCGTCCAAGTGTCCATTTTGCCCGTACGCTCCGATCATGCAGAACTTCTACAGTGTCAAACAAGCACTTTGCTTCGCATACATGCCCTCGTTCGGCATATGCAGTGATATAGAATCTCGTAGAACTCTTTGATGTCAGCATACTGAAAATTTGACGAGATGCCGGACAAAGATGTGGTATCCTGGAATGTCGCAGTAGCGGTATATGTGCTGTCCGGGCGCCAAGCTTTTGTTTGAGAGAATGGCTTGCGCTTGAAACACCATGACGGGTGAGATTTCCCTGATATTGTGAAGACCGAGGCATGGGTCAGGCTTCCCAGGTAAGCTTCCCTCAGGATCTTGTGGATAACTATCATAAGTTTAATTCCCAAACTATTGAAAATGCTAAGAAAATGAGTAATGCTATATGGATTCGCTAGTTTCTACGAGGTAATCTGCATCCTCATGTAAAAAGAATAAGTAATACATGTCAAGCTCAAGCTCCGAATCATCTCCGTACGAATGCCGGTGGCAGCCTCCTCTCAAGCGCTCTAATCAGTGCTCTTTTGCTCCACTTCGCCACCTCCTCCTCCCCTTCCAGACCGCCACCGCCACCGCCACCACTCACCGCCACCTTGAGCCGACTCACAGCCTCCACAAGCTGCCCCCGCAGTCTCTGCGACAGCAACACCCCGGCGCTCGACACACACTCCTTGTAGAGCGGCAAATACGCCACCGTCGCCTGGAGCTGGAGCGGCAAGTCCTGGAGGCTGAGCGGCGACGACCCACGCTTGAGCGCGCGCATAAAGTTAACGTGGTGCCGGGCCCCGATTTGCCGCCCCGCGGCAAATGCTGCAAGCGACCACTCCTCGGCCAGGAAATCCCGCAGCTCGAGCGTCACCCCCTCCTCCTCGGCGGCGGTGGCGATGGCGTCGGCCACGCGGTACGTCTCGTCGGGATTTCCCAGGAAATCGGCGTGGAGGAGAAACGCGATGCCCTTGAGCGATCCCGCGCTGCGTTCTCCGGCGGCCTTGAGGATCTCCCCGCTCAGAGTGTCGAGGACGTGGGCTGGGACGTGGTCGAGGAGGTATGCCGCGGCGTCGATCCGGCTGCTGGAGGCGGCGGCCGTGAGAGCGAGGCAGAGCTCCATGTCTTTGCAGCCGCGGGTGACGAACCATTCTACCACCTCGAGGGATCCTCGCTCCGCGGCTCGCATCAAGGGGCCGAGGAAGGAGGTGGCGCTGCCTTCGTGGACGAGGCACTCCATGGTTCCGAGCTTGCAGTAGTGCGAGGCGAATCCCAGGGCCAAGTCCACGTCCAGCTCCACGCTATTTCGCTGGGCTATCTGTGGAAGAACAAGGAAGAAAACCATTGTTTGTCACTTGATCTCCACAAACAAGAGCTAAACAACACACACACACAGATGATCGAATCACGAAGAAAAGAGAGGAGAGCTAAGAACAAGATGATCGATCGAATACGAAGAGAAGAGAGAGAGGAGCTAAAGAACAAGATGATCGATCGATGAGAGAGAGAGAGAGAAGAAGAAGAGCTAGAGAACAAGATGATCGATCGATGAGAGAGAGAGAGAGAGAAGAAGAAGAGCTAGAGAACAAGATGAATCACAGAGAGAGAGAGAGAGAGAGAGGAGCTTGACGATCGATCAGAGGAGAGAGAAGAGCTAAAGAACAAGATGATCGATCGATCAGAGAGAGAGAGAGAAGAAGAAGAGCTAAAGAACAAGATGAATCACACAGAGAGAGAAGAGCTAGGATGACGATCGATCACGAAGAGGAGAGAGAAGAGCTAAAGAACAAGATAATCGATCAGAGAGAGCTAGAGAGAGAATGGTTTACCTGGAGGAGGATTCTCACGAGCTCCGTGCTCCCAAACCGGGCAGCCTCGAGGAAACACTGGTTGACGTTATCGGCGCCACCCTCGAGCAGCAGCCCCAGCAGTCCTTGCATGGCGCTGGCGGCGATGCCGGTGGCCCAGCCCGGATCGATGGCGCTGGAGAAGAGCGTCAGTGGGAAGCACGCCGCGTCGAACGCCTCGGTGTAGTCCTTGCCGCTCAGGTTGCCACCCGCGAGGCCCAGGAAGTGCTTGAACGCCATGAGCTGGAGCCGCGACTCGTGCATCGAGTTCTGGATGATCTTGTTGTACTCGTCACCCTGCGTGGCTTTGCCCCGCGAGTGCGAGCCGATGCATCGCAGCGCCCACTCGGTGAATCTCTGGACCTTGGCCGCCGCCTCGGCCTTGAGTTCTTCGTCACCATTACACTCCTGGAGCCGGTCTCGCAATCTACGCACGAAACGAACGTTAAATCACAGGCTAAATGCTCTCGGGAAGAAGAAACTATCGAGACGAACAAGAAGAAGAAAGGAAACTATCGAAAACTATCGAGAAGAAGAACACCACCTTGGAGAAGCTCTCGGGAAAAGAAACTATCGAAAAACTATCAGAAGCTCTCGGGAAGAGGAAACTATCGAAAACTATCGAGAAGAACACCACCTTGGAGAAGAGCACGAAAGCTTACCTTTGTGCCATGACTGTTACCGTGTCGGCCAAGCTCATCGTCCGGCTCCTACACGCCGAGACGCACGAGGCCAGGAACGACGTTCTCAAAGTTGCCCGAGTGTAGTCATTCGCGCCGGCCCGGATGATCTTCTCGATCAGCCGAGTAGCCCCCGAGAGCTCCTCCTGCGTGCTTAGAAACCACACCGAGTCGAGCGCGATGCAAAGCCCATCGTTGAGCCGCTGCGTGTCGGCGCGCTGGATGTAACTCTCGGCCAGATCCCAGCTGTGAGCGCTCACCGCCTGCTGGAAGCTCCGGCCGAGCTCCACTCGCTCGCGCTTGTGGACTCTCCGTCCTCTATCCTGTTCTTCCACAGCCTCTTCTTCTACTTGTTCGTCCTCGTCCTGGTAGAGCTGCGCGCTACACCGGCTGCAAGTCCCTCGATCCTGTCCAGAGCTGCTGCTAGCACTAGAGATCTTCCGCTTCTCGGGGCTTCTCACGAGAGGAAGAACGTCTCCCGCATTCTCTCCTTGCGGGTTTCCTCCGCCATGAAAGACGTGGGAGTGAGAAGCTTGGTGGTGGTGATAGACTTGATGGTGGTGGTGGTGGTGATCGTGGCCAAGTTGGTCGCTGGAACCCGGCTCCAAATCCATGGAGACCACCTCCACCGATTCCAATTCCTCCTGGCTACACCCATCCGAGCCTGCCCTCTTCATCTCCAAGGATGGAGTCTTTCACCTTCCACTCTCTGGAAAACTGATACCCTAGCTACTCCTCGATTCGTCCTGTCTACAAACTCACATAGTTCCAGCCGAGTGTGATCTTCGCGAATTTCATGACCCCGAGCTCTGGATTTGGAGACAAAAAAGAGAGTGCTCATCAGGAACCAAGAGAAAGTATTTAAGAGAAAAAGAAGGAATGGAAATCGAAGAACACTACCTTTGTAGATAGATCGCTCCTCCAGCCCTCCAGGGAGAGAGTGAGAATGGAGCCCTTTTGCTCGATGGAGAGAGATACGCGACTGTAGCGCGAGCGCTACCTAGGCATTTTGGATTTTCTCAGTTATGGGGATTGAGCTACTTGGACAGCCATACCGTACCGGTACGGCGGGCATAGAATATGTGGGATATATGCCCAGAATGGGCATATGCGCCACCTTTTGGGAGGCTCGCAACTATGGTGTTTTATTACTTCCTGGAACGAGCAAGAGAGCGGGCCTGTGAAAACGAAAGGCTTTTTGATTTCACTTATCTCTTTCGATTTGTACTGCTATCGAGCGAGTCGCTGGATCATCACTTTGGCCGGCGACGATCCGGATAGAAGATGTCGTCCAGGCCCGTCTTGATGGATCCGGCCACTCTTGACAAGTTGTGCCCAACGGCTGTTGCTATCAATCCCGCGGTTCGGAAAAACCTGCGAGGAAAAAGAGAAGTTTTGCCGATCGAAACGAGAAGAGCAAAGATCCAGTGCTAACCTCGTCGCAAATTCATCGCTCCGAGTTGGTCCAGCAATTTGAGGACGGTGGCTGGGAGGAGGAGGGGGAGGAGTCTGTGGTACTGCTACACGAGGACCTGTGACAACAACAGAAGAAAAACGCAAGAATCAGTCTCTCAGCACGAAACGTTTCTCCTTTCCTGACCTTCTTCGTGAGCATCGGCTTGGTCCGAAAGTTGGCCTGGCATTTGTCCAGGAACTGTTTGATGAGCATGCTGTGGAGCTTTTCTGGGATCCAAGAGTTGCATCTATGGCACAAGAACTCGCGAGGAAGAGAAACAAGAACAAAGCGAAACAAAACTCACCTCAATTCCCAGGCAAGCAGGCAATTCAACCCGTCTATCCTGGCCAGCTCCAGAAGGAGTGCTTTGCTTGTACACGGAGTATCCAAGGCACGCGTACTTAAACTCGAAGAGTCTCTTCTCATCGTTGAGCGCTTCTAAGTGAGGATTATTTCCCTTGTAAGCTGGGAGAACAAAACAAGGAGGAAGAAAAACACAGGAGGAGATAAGTCGCTAGAAATAAGCTCTCACTCACCTTGCTTCTCGGAGCGCGACAACCCCACACAGAGTGGATTCCGGCCATTCTCCTTGCGATAGCTCGAGTGATACAAGCATCCAGTGCAGCTTTTCCCGCTCCTAATCACCGCCGGGCGATCGATTGGCCTGTCCAGAGAAGAGGATGTAGACGAAGCGCTGTTGCTATTGCTATTGGTGCTAGTGCTGCTCTCGGTGTCCTCATCCCTCATCATCTTGCTCGGCGCCCTGGCGAGGGCATACTCCCGATGGATCGATCGCTTACCTCATCCCTACTGCGCTAGCCCGCGCCTCTCGCATTCCGGGCAAAACAGGAAGACCTAAATTCCGTCGTAGAGGTTCGAACTCCAGTTTGGTTGTGTAATTATCTTAGTCTTTTAGTGCCCTTTGTGAAACATGAGACAGAAGATAAAAGCTAGATAGTTGCAGCCTTTGGCATCTTTCTTTGTTGTTAATATCATTGCCTTTGCTTTGATTTTGTGGCTGTGATTGTGAACTTGCATTGTGTGATGTGTAGTTTCCATGTGGAACTCTCTAGCAATGCAATGTTGGAGGTGTTTTTCCTCCAGCTAGCAGAAGTTTTAGTAGCTCTAAAGTAAAAGAAACTGTGAAGAACTAATGCATTGCTACTGTTTTTTACTCTAGACCCTTCAAAAAGTCTATCAACATTATTGTTCCTTTACCAAAAGAAGAAACCATCTTAAATTATTAACAATACTTATGTCTTATAGAAATACCTAAATATTTAAATATAATATAACTATAGTTTAATAAAAATCAGACATCTGTTAATATGAAACTGTTTTTAAGACACTAATATAAGATGAGGTTTAATTTTATATTTTCTATCAATGTTTATTTTATTTTTTTATTTTATCATTGTTTTCTCTCAAATAGCCTATGCACCTAATGTATTTCATTATGAAGATTATGGAACATCTAATGCTCTTCCAAATACAATAGGGTATTTAAATATTCTGATAAGCCTAACAACATTTATAGGTCAAACGCTACCATCACATAGAACTACACCAGAACGTTCTTTTTTCCATTCATCTTTTTCGGCTGGTCTTTCAAATGGTGAAGCAGTTACAATTGATATGGTATTAGCCATTTTTTCCGCTAGTGTTAATTGTCCAATAAATGATCATGGAATTCGTGAAGTTAATAATGATGCTGTTAGTCATTTATTAATGACCGTTGCTGGAGAAATATATCATACTGCTAATAACTTAAGAGCATCATATCTTGTAACTGTTATTGTTCAACATGATCTTGGTGTTTTCTCAGTAATTTATAGAATACGTAACTATGCACTTTTGGTAACATCTTCTTCTAATATTCATTTGTTTTCTTTTCCTTTTAAATTTTGTGACGTTTTTAAAAGTATACTACTTAGTGGATATAAAGGGATGCATATATCCACTCGTCGTTCAGGTGAGTTTTTAATACATCTGTATAAAGCGTATGTGTTTATAATACAAGAGGATTGTAATACTGTTTTATATTATAAAACTATAGTTTTATGGTTTACCGGAACTAATGGATTAAGTTTTGATTGTAAATTAAGATTACAGGAGGATGGAAATCTAGTTCTTTATTCTGCATTTGATTCTAAAGCTTTATTTTCAACAGGAACATATTGTAGAAAATTTAAATGTGTTGAACCATCAATACTTGTTCTCCAAATAGATTGTAACCTTGTTCTTTCTAAAGATGGAAAACCACCTATAAGTGTATGGTCAACTAAAACAACATGCTATTATTAAGTTTGTAAAATCTATATATTACTCTTTTGCTCTCAACTATATTACAAAGGAGAGATAGTGTTTTAAATTTTAATAAAATTACCTTCTAAATCTTATGGTCATTCAACTTTAAATTATGTGTTTTGCAATCACAAAAAGTTTAATTATTGTTTGATAAGGCAATTTCGTAAACACATTGCTCAAGATCACATGGATATGATATTAGTATCACAATGACTTAATAATTTCAATTTGATATGGAATTGAAACAAATACAATCTTCAAATTTTGCAAGCTTTTGCAAATTATGGTAATCCAATGTTTTTTTGGATGGCATATTTTCTATTATTATTCTAGCACTAGACTATTTGAATTGAAATTGTAATTAGAGCAGTTATAAATACATAATTTTCAGTGTTTTTAATGGTTATCCTATATACACTGTTGATAATTCTTAATTCATCCAACTTTGAGGATTGTATAAAAGAAATTGACCAAGGAGCTTGTGGAGAATCTCTAGCAGCTGAGCTTAGTGTATTTATTAGGACTACTCACCTTGAGGCTATATTAAATATTTTGAATGGTTTATTTTTGTCTGGTCAGCAAGCTTATATTAGATAGGATATACAAGGATATTCAGGTTTTTCCTAGCTATATCAGTAAAATTTTAAAATTAATTTAATAAATAATAATACTTTCAAGAAAAAAATTATTTTTAAATAAATTAATATAAATACTAATAATAATACTTGCAAAAGTGATATAGTGAATTTACCTAGTTTCTAAATTTGATGCTAAGGCTCCACCCGGGTCTCAAGCACGCGATCGATCGACTGGAGGCGGCACAAGCTCCATTCCAACGAGATCTCTGTGCCAATCTTCTCCGGGAATGCTGCCGGCTGCGAGCGCTCAACGAAGGCCGGCGTCTCCACGCGCTAATTGCCAGGGCCGGCCAGACCCAAGACAATCTCCTGGTGAATTCCCTCATCCAGCTCTATGGTTACCATGGATGTCTCCACGAGTCACAATCCCTCTTCCAGAGCCTGCGCAATCGCAACGTCTTCTCCTGGAACATGATCATCTCGGCCTACATCCACAGCGGCCATCTGTACGAATCACAGAAACTCTTCCACTCGATGGGAGAGAGGAACGTTTTCAGCTGGAATCTACTAATCAGTGCGTTTATACGCGGCGGGGATACCACCACCGCCGAGAAACTCTTCAACAAAATGCCACAGCGCAGCGTAGTCTCTTGTAATATAATTCTCGCAGCATATGCCTGGTCTGGGCATTTTTTCCACATTCACGAACTGTTTCTTGCTATGCCCGAGAGGAGCATAGTGTCGTGGAACACCATTCTCGATATACACATTACCATCGGAGAAGTGGCCACCGCCAAGCTTGTGTTTGAGAGGCTCCCCAGTTGGGACGTGGTGTCGTGCACCACCATGCTCGCGGGATTTGCCCAAACCGGGGACTTGGGCACCGCTTGGGCCCTCTTCAAGCGGATCCCCGAGCCCAATGTGGTGTCATGGAACGCGCTACTCGAAGCCCACGCAGCCAGCGGCGACCTCTGTGGCGCACGGCGGATATTCGACGTGATGCCCGTGCGCTCGATCGTGTCGTGGAACGAGATCCTCCAGCCAAGCGCGGTGTTGGGCGGGGATCTTGGCTTGGTGCGCGAGATCTTCGGCAGGATCCCGCAGCACAGCATCGTCTCCTGGAACATCTTCCTCCACGCCTGCGCTGCGAATTGCCGCTGCCAGTCCGAGTACGAGGAGTTCAAGACAATTGCCGCAGCGGTGCCGGAGGAGGACGTGGTCACGAGCACGCTGGCGATTGCGGCGGCTGCAAAAGCATGGAATCTGGAAGATGCCGAGGGTATATTTCACTCCATGACATCGCCCAAGAATCTCGTCTGCTGGAACTGCATGCTCCAGGTATATGCCGAAACCAGGCATTTGCAGGAATCAGAAGAGTTATTTGACAAGATGCCGGGACACGACACGTTTTCATGGAACACGATGGTGACGGTGTACGCGGAACAAAAGAATATACACTCTGCGCAACGGATATTCTCCTCTATGCCGCAACGCAGCCATGTCTCCTGGAACGCTCTGGCTTTCGCGAATGCCCAAGCGGGGCATTTGGAGGAATCGCGGCGGATATTCGACCTCACCCCCATGACGAACCTCTGCTCGTGGAATGGGATGATGACCGGATACATTGCGAGCCTCGACCTAGATTCCGCGCGCGCGATCTTCGATGCCTCGCCGGATCGCCCGCTCTGCCTGTGGGCGGCGATGATCCTGGCCTACGCCCAGGACGGCCGATCCAAGCACGCGATCCAGCTCTTCCGTCTGATGGATCTCGAGGGGACGGAGCCGGATCCGGAAACCCTAGCGGCGATCCTCGACGCGTGCGCGGTGGTCTCGGATCTCCAGGTCGGGAAGATCGTGGTGGAGTACCTGGGCGGCGGCGGCGGCGGCGGCGTGGATCTCGTGCTGGGCGGCGCGGTCGTCAACATGTATGCCAAATGCGGCTGCGTGGGCGACGCCGAGAGGAGCTTCCTCGCCATGCCCGCGAGGAATTTGATCGCGTGGAACACGATGATCGCGGCCTATGCGCACAGCGGGCGCATCGCGAGCTGCCTGGCGTCCTTCCAATCCATGCTGCTCGATGGGATCGATCCCGACGGGGTGAGCTTCCTCACGATCCTCAGCGCTTGCAGCCACGCCGGGGCGCTCCAGTCGGCGATCGAGATCTTCCTCTCGTCCGCCCAGGACCACGGCCTCTCGCCCACGGCGTGGCACTACTGCTGCGTGATTGATCTCCTGGGCAGGGCGGGCAAGCTGGGCGACGCGGAGGATCTCATCCGGGGCATGCCGTTTAAATCCGACGAGGGCGCGCTGTGGCAATCGTTGCTGAGCTCGTGCCGGAGCCACGGCGACGCGCAGCGCGGCGCGCTGGCGGCGCGGAGGGCGGCGGCGTTGGAGCCGCGCGAATCGTCCTCATACGTGACGCTGGCCGGCGTTCTCGATGGGAGCTAAGAAGTTAGGGTTTTTATGTGAGGCCTCGTCGAGTTCCTGATTTTACCCTAAAACCACAAGTCAATCTTCCTTTTCCAAGTCTTGGCTCTTGAATTCTTCAAATGTAACTATCAGCTGACAGCAACTTTCGACGAAGACAAATCACTTCTCTCCTCGACTGCCTTGAGAAAAAAAATCCAAATCGATGAGCCCTCGTCAACTCTTTGAAGGCACAGAGAGATAATGTGAGGTATGGAGGACCTCATGCATGCCGTTTTCGATACTTTACAAGGCCAAGGGGTGGCACTCGAACAATTGAGAGACTGTCGAATTACAGGTATGCGCCGCAAGGAGGGGCGAAGTCCTGTTTATGTCATGTATTTCAACTGGTATCGACGGGTTTGTTGATGTGAAAGATGGAGCTCTCGTGGACATGTTGCAGCGGGATCCAAATTGTAAGTTTGCGGCCAGCTTCATGAAAGCACAAATCCGACACCATTTTGCGAAGTGGGAGATCAACATGATATCCCCGATGAGTGGGAAAGCTCGGAAGGTTTGCAATTCAATCTATTGCTGGCTTTCGCGAGCGCTGGTGTGCTTAGCGCAGCATGACTTCCCCAGTTTTGTACACGTATGGGATGCGAGCCGGACCAAGGGGAAGCGTATCTTTGGCGAAAGATCCTCGTTGGCCAAGATGTTGCTTCTTGGGACTGTGACAAGGTACTTCCGGTTTTGTGAAGTGGTTTTGATGCTTTCGAGAGCTTTACGAAAGGAAGAGTCCTTGGTCATCAGGAAAGAAAGTCCTTGCGAGAGTCTCGATCGAGAGATTTAAATCTGTCAATCGCACAAGAAGTTCTAAAATGTCGTCATCGTTCTGTCACAAGCGCGGAACCCACAGTGAGGATAAAATAGACAAGCGCTTTAGGGCTTTAGGGTTTTATGCGTCTCTTGTGGCGGCGCGCCGCCTTGACGGTGACAAATTAGCCACTTGCATTCTTCCACTCGCAGTGCAGATGGTCAGTCTCGTCACCCAAATCAAGCGCTCGGGCCGGTCGCGTTCCCATGGGGCTCGATCCAATCGCCCACTGGAACTCGACGAGGCCCCACATTTTTCTTCTTTCTCAAGAGCCCTAAAAGTGCAAAGAAAAACTCTTCCTTTTACTAGTCTTCGTTTTCTTTTTTCTTGGCTTCGAATGCATGATGTTTGAATCTTAGATGGAATTCCCCGTAATTTCTAGGCTTCTTCTTCCCGGCTTTCTGGATTTCTGGGTTTGTTCCGAGTGCAAAGAAAACTCTTCCTTTTACTAGTCTTTGTTTTCTTTTTTCTTGGCTCGCATGATTGAGCATCGACCTGGAGAGTTTGAATCTTAGATCGATGGAGGTCTCCGTAAGTTCTAGGCTTCTTCTTCCCGACTTTCTGGATTTCTTGTCAAATTTATCAGCTGACAACAGCTTTAGTGGCAAGCGACTGATATAGTGACGCGTGACAAACACTTTGTTCAAAGAAATGGTCCTGCTCGAGGATTGAAATTTCTTTGTTTTGTATCCAAATTTTCAAACAAAACCACTTCTGACTTCCACCTTGACAATATGATCTAAGATCGCTTGTAGAAACCAAGTTTCCAAATCAAATCACTTCTCTCCTAGGATCTAAGATCGCTCGTAGAAACCATTTCCTGGGATTCTCCTTCCACATGATGTGATTAATTTAATACCAAGCTAACTAAGCCCACCTCTCAAGCAAAGTTTTGCGTGGCTGGATTTTTGTTGGCAAGTCGGTATTGCTCCACACGATCGTATGTGAAAGGATCTCTTTGTTGACCCCAATTTCACGTATACAATACGACAGTCAACAATGGAGACCGTAGAAAAAAGTGTCCAGCGCAGATTCAATTCAATGAGGACCGAGTTTAAGAGATGGACAGGTTTCGACTTATTTGATATCCTGAATGACAAAACACGCCCATCTTGGACTTTATGCTTGTAATCAGAGAGCAAATTTACTATAGAAGTACCAATCGAAGTGGTAAAGCGTTTGGATCTTAAATACCCCATCTTGGTAAAAGGGTGTGTTTTGTTCTTGGGCTGTGTCGCCGGCGATGATCTTATAGTGGGATTGGACAAGAAACCATTCTTCTTCTTCCTCCAATTGTTCTTCTTGTTCTTCATCGTTTATAGTGCGTCATTTCCAAGAAAATGGGAAGTGAAGCGTCGTACTATGACCATGAGAACAATGCGAGCACCACCACTCCGGATTACTCCTCCCCGATTCCCATCCTCCACGGCAAAGCCGGCAATCAATCAACCGGGAATGACCAGCAAGAACAACACCACCAAGATCACGCGATTCTTTCCAGGGATGATTCATGGTTTGGGACTTTCAAGTCGATCTTCTGGCACGGTGGCTCTGCTTTTGATGCGTGGTTGAATGCTACTTCCACCCAGGTGAGTTTCAGCTCAATCACAAAATCATTCTGGAAGAGTTTTTCACTGTTGAATCTTGCGAACTTTTTCTTTTTCCCTTTCTTTTTTCTTCCCTCCGAAGATCGCTCAAGTTCTTCTCACTTTCCCCTATTCCTTCGCTCAACTCGGGCTAGCCTCCGGAATCGTGTTCCAGCTCCTCTATGGATTCATGGGCTGCTGGACATGCTACATGATCACATCGCTCTACGCGGACTACAGAGCAGCCAAAGAGAAGGAGAATCCAAAAGCGTTCGAAAAACACACCATCCAGGTATTTATAAAATCACCATAGCCGGCTGCGCATTTTTTCTAAGGATCTTTCGTCCCCTTTCTAGTGGTACGAAGTTCTCGGAGGATTGCTGGGACCCTACTGGAGAGCCGCGGGGATCTTCTTCAACACCGCGCTGCTATTTTGCACTGCCACCATCCAAGTGATCGCTTGCGGGAGGTAAAACACAGATCCAAATCTTCTCCGCGACCCATGAGACCCAATGCCCAGATCTCTCTGAATCGCTTCTCTTCTTGATCGCCCACAGCACCGTCTACTACATCAACGATTCTCTCCCCAAGCGGACATGGACCATAATCTTTGGAGCTTGCTGCATCATTACCGTGCTCATCCCCACCGCTCACAACTACAGAGTTTTATCCTTCACGGGGATCCTCATGACCACCTACACGGCCTGGTATCTCACCATAGCCGCCGGAATTCACGACAAGGTTGGCCATTTTCTTGCTTGTTCTCGTCATTTTCTTCGCTTCTCCTGGATTTTTGTCCGATTTTCTTCGATTCAATCGAGACTTACGCGCTGCTTCTCTTCTTTTCCTGGTCAGGTTCCGAATGTGACTCACTCTGGACCCAAGAATATCGTGCAGTACTTCACGGGTGCGACTAACATCCTCTACGCGTTTGGCGGTCACGCTGTGACAGTGTAAGTTGTGGAAAAAGCTTCGAAGCCATTGATTGAATGATCTGATTGTTTGGTGGAACTTTTTCTTCCAGGGAGATCATGCATGCGATGTGGAAGCCACGCAAATTCAAGCTCGTCTACCTCTACGCCATCCTCTACATCTTCACGCTCACGCTCCCGTCCGCCATCACCGTCTACTGGCGATTTGGCGATACGATGCTCCACAGCGCAAACGCGTTTGGGGTGTTCCCGAAAAACAAGTTCCGAGATGCTGCCGTCATCCTCATGCTCATGCACCAGGTGAGTCTTGCTCGATCGATGCGCGAACTCTGGAGTAATTTCTGTGTGATCGATTGGACTTTGTGCAGTTCATAGAGTTTGGGCTGATTGGCCTTCCGGTCTTTCTCATCTGGGAGAAGTTTTTGGGTGTCCATCACTCCAAGTACTACATTCTCCGAGCCATTGCAAGAATTCCCGTCGTTCTCGCGATCTGGTTCATTGCGATCATGATCCCGTTTTTCGGGCCGATCAACTCCGCCGTTGGATCTTTGCTCGTAACTTTCAGCGTATATCTTATACCCTGCGCCGCTCATATGGTTGTGAACTCCAAATCCACGGCCAGAAAGGTCTGACTTCGTGGACTTTTTCGTCTTTTTTTGCCAGACTTTGACCGTGCGTTTGACTTTTCAGGCCGCCATAGAACAGCCGCCCAGGTGGATCAGAAGCTGGACAGTGGTGTATGTTCTCAATTCTTTGATAATTGTGTGGGTGGTGATTGTTGGATTTGGGTTTGGAGTGTATGCAAGTGTGAAGAATCTGGTGGATCAGATCGATACGTTTGGATTGTTTGCCAGATGCTACCAATGCCCCAAAAAACACTAAAGATTTATACATTTCAATCATAAAGGGGGGAAAAAGAAAGAAAGATAAAACACAAAAAGCTGTACAGCAGTGGAAATCTTCCATCTTATGAATCTCGAGATATTTTTATATAGTGAAATTGTGTGGACGATATTCCATTCCCAGAACTTGTGATGTGTGAGATTTCTGATCTGAATGACCAGCAGCAACAAGAACACAGGCTTGATCCAAATGACACATGGTTTGAAACTTTCAAGTCGATCGCCTGGCACGGTGGCTCCGCTTTTGATGCATGGTTGAATGCCACCTCCGCCCAGGTTAGTCTATCATTTTGATCTCGCCTGCGAACCATTTGCGGTTTTCTATAAGATCGCCCAAGTTCTTCTCACATTTCCCTATTCGTTCGCTCAACTCGGGCTAGCATCTGGAATTGTGTTCCAGGTGCTCTATGGATTCATGGGCTGCTGGACATGTTACATGATCACGTCTCTCTACGCAGACTACAGGGCGGCCAAAGAGAAAGAAAACCCGAAAGCTTTCGAGAATCACACTATCCAGGTATGCGAATCATCCACCAGTCCAAATACCAGCTTCTACTTCTTTTCTAGTGGTATGAAGTTCTTGGAGGATTGCTGGGACCCTATTGGAGAGCTGCAGGGATCTTCTTCAACACCGTGCTTCTATTTTGCACAGCCACCATCCAAGTGATCGCTTGCGGGAGGTAAGAAATTTTTTCCACAAACCCACGAGACCCAATGCCCGGATCCCTCTGAATCGCTTCTCTTCTTGATTGCTTCCAGCACCGTGTACTACATCAAAGATTCTCTCCCCAAGCGGACATGGACAATAATCTTTGGAGCTTGCTGCCTCGTTACCGTGCTCATCCCCAGCGCTCACAACTACAGAGTTTTATCCTTCTCGGGGATCCTCATGACCACCTACACGGCGTGGTATCTCACCATAACCGCTGTAATTCACGGCAAGGTTGGTCTTTTCCTTCTGTTCTTGCTGTTTCTTTGTTTTACTTTGTTCTTCTTCGTTTTCCCTCTCGCTTTTACGAGACATTGAGATTTGAATCTCATTAGGATCCGGATGTCACTCACTCTGGAGCAAAGAACGTCGTGCAGTACTTCACTGGCGCCACGAATATCCTTTACGCCTTTGGTAGTACTGTGACAGTGTAAGCTTGAATCCAAAGGTCCATGAAACTAGAGAATTGGTCACGGTGAAATTTTTTCCAGGGAGATCATGCATGCAATGTGGAAGCCACGCAAGTTCAAGCTCGTCTACCTGTACGCCATCGTCTACATTTTCACGCTCACGCTCCCGTCCGCCATCGCTGTCTACTGGCGATTTGGCGACAAGATGCTCGACAACGCCAATGCGTTTGCGGTGTTTCCAAAAACTAAGTTCCGCGACGCTGCCGTCATCCTCATGCTCATGCACCAGGTGATCGTTTTCTTTTGTTGGTTTAACATGAACTTGATCATGATCGATTTTCCTTGCTTGTGATCCAGTTTATACAGTTTGGGCTCATTAGCCTTCCAATCTTTATCATCTGGGAAAAGTTTGTGGGTGTCCATCACTCCAAATACTACGTTCTTCGAGCCATTGCGAGGATTCCTGTTGTTCTCGCGACATGGTTCATCGCGATCATGATCCCGTTTTTCGGGCCAATCAACTCCGCCGTTGGATCTTTGCTCGTAACCTTCAGCGTATATCTCATACCTTGCTCGGCTCATATGGTTGCCAACTTCAAATCCACGGCCAGAAAGGTCTGACTTTGTTTCTTATCAGACTTTGACCGGGCGTTTGACTAATTTTCAGGCCGCCATAGAACAGCCCCCGACGTGGATCCTGAGAAGTTGGACCTTGGTGTATCTTCTCAATTCTTTCATAACTGTGTGGGTTTTAATTGTGGGATTTGGGTTTGGAGTGTATGCAAGTGTGAGGAATCTGGTGGATCAGATTGACTCGTTTGGATTGTTTGCCAGATGCTACCAGTGCACCCGAAAATACTAATAAGGATCTGTCCAACGGCAATTAAAACTGCTAATGTGAATCCAAATATATTTGGAAGCTCTTGACTTTGTTGATAAGCCTCTGGTTGCCAAGTCTTTATCGAAAATCTATAGTCTGGTGAAAGTTCTATATGGATATATAATATTTCTTATTACATTAGATACTGCAGTTTGTCCTTGAGCCATTGTATCTTTTCGGCAACTCTAGAGATATTCCAAATCCATATTGGATGTCTGAATGAAATATATATTACAAATCTCGGAATGGAATTTATTCATGGAATCTTATTCTGCCGCTCTTCCAAGCCGCATGGCGGTAGAAGGCATGGCGCAGGGGCGTGAGCAAGGCTGAAGTTTTCGGCAGAAGATTATACTTCGAAAGGTAGAAGGGATTGGAGATAGCGTTAAGAATGCATCTCCTATTAATTCTAAATAAAATCGGGTTCTTATATGTAATAGAACCCAAGTTACAGTAAGTTTTTGTAAAAATATTCTCTCATTCACGTATGATCCATAATAAGTACTTGTTGAATTCACATTTTCTTTGTGGATACCCTTGAGCCATTGTTTCCATTCGGGAAGTCTAGAGAGATTCAAAATCCATATTGAAGTTCGAGCTTGCCAAATTATATTACAAATCATGGAATGAACATATTTATGTATAGTGCTCGTCAAGCTCCACCACACGGCAGTAAAAGGCATTTCGCAGGCTGAAGAGCGTAAGAAGGACGTTTTCGCGGAAAGATTATTCTTTGAACCGTTGAAAGATTGGAGGCAGCGAGAAATCCTTGCCGTGATCATCCGGGGTCACCCGGGCTAGTAGCAAGCACCGCAACGACCAAGATTGCCAAAGCGCAAAAACGAGCGCTTGTGTTTGCCACAGGAAATGAATGCTACAAACGCATCTAATACTTCTTGCAACTAGTTCTAGTCGTATACGTAACTCAACAATAATATGTAGATAACATCCTTGTGTGTCAGCTGGGCGATAAATCGGGTAAAAATACACTAAAAGGATTAATTTCTCAATGATCACATGTGAGCAAAGCAAAAAGAGGCAATTCATGTCAAAGTCAAAAAATATAAATTAGAAGCTCCCTAGTCTTTATAAAAAATCTACGGTAAAACTTCGATATGGATGTATAAAATTTTCATTTCATATGACACCGCTATGACCATACTATATGGACGGTCAATTTAATGTAAAACTACATGTTTAATCATAATATCCATTGACTTTGGTTCTTCTCCCAAGCATTTTCTTTGTGGATACCACAGCCACGTTTGGCAAAAAAGAGCCTACGTTATGTAGAGTTTGTCCTTGAGCCATTGTTTGCTTTCGGCAACAGCCTAGAGAGGAAAATCTATTGGAACTTCGAGCTTTCAGAAGCTTAGCAATTGCTATTTGGAATGAAACATATTCATGGATCTTAACTCTAGTGCTATAGCGATTCTTCCAAGCTTTACTCAGCTCAGCATGGTGGTACAAGGCATTTCTCAGGCTTGAGAGCATAAGGGGGAAGTTTTCGCCGGAAAATTATGCTTCGAACCGTGGAAAAGATTGGAGGCAGCGAGAATACCTTGGCACAGTGATCATCCGTTGTCACGCGAGCACTAGCAGCAGAAATCGCAAGAAAAAACAACCCTAAGATTATAGCCCAAGCACGCAAACAAGCGGATGTGTTCGCCATTGCAATGAAATGCTACAATACAAACGCATCTCCCTTGTTTATATATTACTCTTTGCAACTACTAGTCAAAGTTTCATATGTGAAATTAGTATTATAACTATACATTTCTAGAATATATTTGTAAGTCAAAGTATTGCAAACGGGAGAGGACACCGTGAAGAAATGTGATGGGCATTTGGTCTAGTGGTATGATTCTCGCTTAGGGTGCGAGAGGTCCCGAGTTCAATTCTCGGAATGCCCCGAATCTCCACTGGAGTTCTATCGTTTTCCTTCGCTTTTCCTGCCCCCGAAAAGGCCAGACTTTTGCACGAAGAGGAGCCACTTTCGATGGGTTTGATGCCAAACTCTCTGCGAAGATGACAAGAAAATCAAATCGTCAAAGGCCTCGCAGCGCGCACCACCTGGAGCTCCATCGCCCAACCTTCTAGAGCGTAAAAAAAGTGAACAGAGCTGCGAATTTCTTACGAAACAATCCCGCTTTTAACTTACTCCCTGTTGTTGTAGAGCCCGGCTAAAACGAAAGCACGGAATCTAGAGAATCTCACACTGTTGCCTTCGTCTCTTTCGCGAAACGCGAGCCAAACCAGGAACAGTGGCCACGCCGTACCCGACGCCGTACGATCCCGCCACGTCGACATGACCGTTAGCCACGTACCGTACGCCCCGTGCCCCTTCCGTACCGCCCTCCCTTGCTTCGTCCCCCTGTCGCGAACGTTGTTCTTCAGCGTGGCTTTGCGGCATTGTCGATCTCGCCCCGCTCCGGGTGGATATATAGTAGATTCTTACTCAGGGTGCTCTCCTTTTCCTCTCCAGCCACTCGATCGATCGATCAATCGCCTTCTTCCTTGTTCTCCTCGGAGCTCTCGCCCGCGATCGATCGTCTTGTTTTGGATTTGGTGGCTTTTTGGGTCCCTCCTCGCCACTTCTACAGCTGGGAAATCGCACAAGCAAGGCGTGGCTCTTTTGTTTTGAGGCTTGGATGGTTTTGATCCCAGCAAGGTTGCCCCGAAATTCTTTTTGCGCCGCGGAGTGGACAAACTCTGGCGACCTCGGCCCCGGCGGGTATGATGAATCCTCTTGTCCTCTTAGGCCGGCATTGGTGAGCCCATCGCCACTCCCTCATTCCTTCGTTCTTTCTTTCCTTTCCTCCCTTTAATTGTGTTTTCTTCCTCCCTGTTTGCTCTGTTGCCTTCGCCCAGACAAAAGAGCGCCTCGGCCTCGTTCGCGCGTGAACGAGGCTACATATAGTCCTCCTCGCTTAGATTGTATCATCCTTCTCCTTCTCTTTTCTCCTCCCTCCTCTCGTTCATTCCTCTCGATCTTAGCATCCAGTTGATCGGTTCTAGCGCCTTGCTTCCTCCCCAAAATCAGAAATTGAGAATCTGGGTCGCCATTTCCACGCATTGGGTCTCCGAAGATGCAGCTCCTCCTGGAATCCACTCGCTAATTCCCCCTCACCGAGCCTCTAACCAATCCAACAGAGTAGAAAAGAGAAGATTAGTAGAGAAATATGGATACCTCTGCGTGGCTTAACTTGCAACCGGATCTTACAAAGCTAGAAGATGACGCTGGCCTCGCGCTCAATCTCACCGATAGACTAGGAATTCAGCAGCAGCAGCAGCAGCAGCAAATCCAAGCCCAGCAGCAGCAAAATCACGCTGCTGTCGGAGGCAAACGCAAGCGAGGCTCCACTGCAAAGGAAAGAATCAGTAAAATGCCACCATGCACTGCGGGGAAACGAAGCTCGATCTACCGTGGTGTCACAAGGTAGCGAGAACAAAAAAGAAGGATTGCTCAAAGCGAAGATCTAAACATCCTTCTTTTCTATCAGGCATAGATGGACTGGTCGCTATGAAGCTCATCTGTGGGACAAGGGAACTTGGAATCACACTCAAAACAAAAAGGGAAAGCAAGGTATACTTCACTGTGATCTTTGTTCTTGCTTAACACTGATCTTTCTCCCCTTTCCAAAAACTTTGTATTCGTTCGGACAGTTTATCTCGGTAAGTTGCATTTGTGGCTCGTGATCTTTGTCTAAATGGTTTCCTTCCAATCTTCCAGGAGCTTATGACGACGAAGAAGCAGCAGCGAGAGCTTACGATCTGGCAGCTCTCAAATACTGGGGACCTGGAACGCTCATCAACTTTCCTGTGAGATTTTCAAAAGCTCAAGCCATTCCACTTGGCTTGACGGTGATTTGCTCCTCCTTGCTCGCAGGTGACAGACTATACCAGAGATATCGAAGAGATGCAAAACGTTTCCAGAGAGGAGTACCTGGCCTCTCTTCGAAGGCAAGAAGAATAACGAGCGAGAGCTCCTTCTCGTCGTGAATCTTACTCGATGCCTTTGTAATTCTCCAGGAAAAGCAGTGGATTCTCGCGAGGAGTGTCAAAGTACCGCGGAGTTGCGAGGCACCACCACAACGGGCGATGGGAGGCTCGGATCGGCCGCGTGTTCGGCAACAAGTATCTCTACCTGGGAACATACAGTAAGTTTCCAACACTTCCAAGAACAAAACGAAGAACTTACACTATTGTTTCGTCCAAAGGCACGCAGGAAGAAGCTGCCACGGCCTACGACATGGCCGCGATCGAGTATAGAGGCCTCAACGCCGTCACGAACTTCGATCTCAGCCGATACATCCGCTGGCTGAGGCCCGGAGCACAGCAGCAGCAAGCAGCCGGAGGAGTCACCGCCAATCTCCACGAAAACCACGACTTTGGCTCCAAGGAAAACGATGCCAGTGGAGCCGAGTTTGCGGACGAGATCCTGCAAGTCGATCGAAGCGGCAAGGATTCGTCAGTGCTGGAAAACAATGGCGGAAGCACTAGAGTGTGGCCTTCTTCGCAGGCGAGCGAGCCTTACCAGCTTCCTACTCTGGGGCTCTCGAGAGCGGCGGTGGCGCAGCACAACGCTAGCAAGGCTCAAAAGAAGAACGCTCCCACGGCGCTGGGACTCCTCCTCCAGTCGAATATGTTCAGGCAAATGCTGGAGAAGACCTCCACAAACGGTGGAACCTCCGCGAACCCGGCGAGCTTGGACCATCGATCGACCTCTCCGGCTGGCGGTCAGGAGAGTGAGATCGATATGGACGAAGGAAGCCAGTACCTGGTTGCGAGCGAGGAGGTGTTTAACAATCACCACCATCAAGAAGGTGGCGGTGCTTCCTCGTCTTCGTCTTACACTCCGTTCCAGCACGACTTTGGATTGAGCGCTCCTCCGGCTGCGCAAGAGATCGCGGCTCCTGGCGGCGGTGTGGATCCGGAAGATGGTGCAGGTGCCGGATTGACGCTGTGGAGCTCGCTGGAATCCAACTTCTCGTCGCTGCCAATGACCAACGCGATCAGTACTTGCTAGAAGAAAAAGTGTGAAGGAAGAAGACTTACACACCTCCAATAACTTAGGAGCGAAGAAGATAGCAGCAACTTGACCAACACAGGCGCCCTCCCGCGTCCATCGGGTGGAAACTCACACAGAAAAAATTTCTTCTAACGATTCTTTGGCCCGCAGATTCTTGATCCCGCGAGCTGTGTTCTTGTGTGACTATAACTTTTACGTAGCCAAAAGTTTGGCTTGGCTTCTCACGAAATACAATGACTGATTGAAGATTTCTCACACAGTCTGCAAAGAATGATCCAAGTCAGGCACTGATAAGAAAAGAAACCATAAAAAGCTTACCACAAGCCTTCGAAGCCGATGCATGAAGCGCTAGATTTGTTGCCTCTGGCACTTAAATCTTCGTTTTCCTCTTCCTCAGCGAACGAGGACTTCTTCTCAAGCTTGTTCGCGGTGTAGACATCGAGAACAATGAAAGAAGCGATGGTGATGACGTAGAACAGCAAGCTAAAGCCAAGCAGCGCCTTAAACCACGAGCAACTCATAAATCTCTGCTTGAACATCCTCTTGTGGATCCGTCTATCCCGAGGTCTCGACCACTCGAGGTAGCAAGGCGTGAGCCAGGTCCTTCCGTGCGCCCCGCAAACGAAAACGATGACGAGCAAGTCGAGAGAAAAGTGAGCCGCGCTTGCCTTGGCGAGTCGAATTCTGAGTTGTTTGCCTGGCTGGTTGATCTGCCTTGCATGGCTCACGAGAGGATAGAGCGGCCCCAGAGTGATACTCACGTACGCGTACGAGATGATCTTTAACGCTGTTTTCCAGAAAGGCTGCTCAAAGTTTGCTTGGATGGTCTCGGGAGCTTGATGTTGGCAGTGAGGACCTGTGGCTTCTTCCTGGGCTATCCTTCCACTTTGGCTGGAAGAAGTGGGAGACCTCAAGAGAATCCAAAACGCGGTCGATGGTACGACTATCACGAGAACCAAGTAGAAGTAGTAGTAGCGAAAGGGTGACGATGAGTGGTAGAATCCCTCTTCGGTTATGACCTCGAACGCCAGGCTTCTCACGAGCAATGCGGAGACAATGTGTAGTCCTGGATGGATCACAAGAACACCATAAGACAAAGAAAAGAAAAGTAGAATGGACAACTTACCTCCAGCGATTCCCATGCTCGATCTTCCAAACAGCGTTGCCTTGTCCGAGGTGGTGGCCATAGCCAGGCCACCGTTGTAAGCACCCGAGAGAAACGAGGCCGCCAGAGAGAGCACGAGAATGGTCGGTGGCTTTGCTCCGGGGCCTGAGAGGTAGCCGAGCTCCGCAAAGACGTGGAACTGGAGAACAAGTTGGGGACCCGTTTCTAGCGCTGCCGCGAGGATGTTGTACACGGCATCGATCTCGTTGGATCGCAAGTCCCTCACTCTAGAGCCAAACAAAAATTAAACTTGTCAGCTCTCAGAAAGAAAACATAGAAAAAACTTGGAACAAGCAAAGTAAAGAATCGCAATTCGCCAAAGAAAAACGAAGAAGAAAGCTTCTACTCACGTAGAAAACGAAGACGAAAACCTTCGTGGAGTCCACAGAACTTAGAAAACTAGAACGCTCAAGACAATCCGGGAGAAGTTCTCAAGGAAGAGAAAGAAGAACAAGAAGGAAAGGAAGGAACTCACCCCTGGAGTTGTCCAGTTCTAAAGATGAGCAGCGTGAGCTTCCGGAGGTAGATCACTGGCAGCAAATACGCGCATTTGACAGCCTCCTTGCTCTTGTCGAGATGGAGATAGAAAACCAGCGCATTGATCACATGAGCTATGGCCATGATCGCGACAATGCCCGGGAAGATCCCCGGGAACTCGGAGCGCGGCCCTTCCGAGTGGATCCTCACATCGCTGCTCTGGTTGTGGTACTCGAGAATGTAGTACTTCCACGCGGTGGCGATGTTGCTGCCATACTCGAAGAAGTAAGTTGCGGCGGAGAAGAGAATGGTGGCCGCCACCCACAAATCCGGGGCGTCCGAGGAGGCGCGGCTGCTCAGCGACTTGAGGAGAGCTTTGAATGAAGATCCCGAGAGAGGAGACGATGGAAAGGAGACGACTGCCATGGTTCAGAGCTTCGGTTTTCTTGGCTTTCTTGCTTGCATCGATGAGAGATTCCGGAGTTTGGGTCCGGAAAAAGAATGGCGACCCAGAAGACCCTTTACGCTCTTTTCACTGCCCTCTTGCTGCTTCTCTCGATCAGAGAAAGAAATCTATCCAAGGAGATGGAAGTTTAAGCTAGAGCAGAGAACGAGAAGAAACTTATCAATGCTTATACCACTTCGCTTCCAAGAAGAGAAAAAAAGAAGAGTGAGAAAGCTTTCACCTCACGGATCAAGATTTGATCGAGAGGAAGAATCAAAGACTCAAGTCCAAACTATTTCCACCTACCGCTGCCACTGCTCCCGACAGCGAAACCTTAGCGAGATTAGCTTTTTTAAAAAAACAAAGATTTAGCAAAAGAAGCAAAGAAAAACCTCGTTTCTGGAAGAACTTTCAAGCGATCCACAAGGTATGAACTGACAAATGCGTGTTCTTCATCGGCACTGGCGTCACGAAACTTTTGTGGTTGTGGGCCGCTGCAAGACAGCGATGTGAATCATTCCCGGAACAAAACCGAATTTTAAAAACATACGATGGAGGATGGATGATCGCGAGGTTGACTCTCGTGTTGACTTTTCAGCGAAGAATGTTCTCGCGGGAGAATCGTTTACTCTCGTCAAGAACAAAAAATATGAGAGAAAAGAGGACCACAAACATGAACTTGAATTTAGATCCAAAGGAAAAAAAATTAAAATTACACCGACCGGGCTTGTTCTGTTGTGCCTCATCCCGTTGCCAACGCATTCTTATTCTAGATTGTCTTCGTCTTCATCTGGGAGGAACAAGCAGGAGAAACCGTGAAAACTTTCCTCTTGCCACTCTCTTGTTTTTTTTTTTTTCTTCCTTTTTTCTACCTGCATTGGAAGAAATCCGTTTGCTGCTGCTGCTGCTGCTGCTGCTGTGGCGAGCTTTTCAATTGCTGGAGCTGCTGCAACTGTTGTGGCGAGAGCTGATGATGAAAGTACTGCTGTTGTTGATGATTCATGAGCTGGTGTTGGCCGTTTTCTCCCGAGATCTGACCGGTTGCGATCTTCAATCTCTGGACCTCGTCTTTCAATGCGTCGTTTAAAGCTTTAGCAAAAGAACAAAAAAATAAAAGTTCCATGTGAGAGAGAGAGACAAAAAACATCAGCGCCAAAGCGAGAGTAAAGTAAAAAGCCTACCATCACGAAGCTGGGCTTGCTGCTCCATTGCTTGCAATCGCAACTTGAGCTCGTTGTTTTCGGTCGTGAGTCCCGCGGTGTCCCTCTAGAAATGCCAAACATCAGGAATGGATACAGGTGAGGTGACAAACCTGTAGCATTGTCAGCTGCGCGGACAAAGTCGTAGCTTCGGTCTGGAGGGTCTGGACTTTTCTCTCCAGCTCGGAGATGTATCGCATCTTGCGTTCCTTGGAGCGAGCAGCGGACTGTCGATTGGCAAGAATCCTGATCCACAGCGACAGCAACTTATCAGCTCCCAAAGCTTCGAACGAGAAAACTAAACCAGCAAAGGCTGACCTTTTGGCACGCTTTGGATCGACCAAAGCCAGCTCCGCGAGCTTGGCAGCCGCGGCAGCTCGCTTCGCCTCGGCGCTCTCCACATCCAGATCGTGCTTTAGACTCGAGGATCCATCCATGGAGTTACTGTGCTGGTGCCGGGGCCGCCTCACCGCGTCGGCATTGAATCCTTGCAACGCTCCATCCATGGACAAGCTCCGCGCGTGGTGGTGGTGGCCTGGCTGCTGGCTGCCCAGTGCCGCGACGCCGCCAGAGTCATGCTTGTTGGAGGCGCCGTAAGGCGAGCTCATCTTCTCCATATCGATGTAGATCGAGAGGAGGTCCTCGCCAACGTCGTCGGAGAGAGCCGGCATCTCGGAGAGATTGGTGGCGGCGCCACCACCTCCACCACCACCGCCACCACCACTGTTGTTAACTCCATTGTTGGTGTGGAAGTCGGAGAGAGCCTCGGGTAGCCGGAACGCTATCTCGGACTGTGCTCGCCGGTGGTGTCCAAATCTCCTCACGGGCTCGCCACTGTTGGCGGAATTGTTGGTAGCGTTGTTGTTAGCGTTGGTGTCCCGGGAAGACGATGGCGGCGAGTATTGTGGAGTGGAGCTCACGTCCTGCATGGACAGATCCACCGAGAGAGATCGCGCCGGCCGCGAGCTGGACGCGTCGGAGCTCGTCGGCGAGGTAGCCGGCTCCATTTTCAATCCAAATCCCGGCCCTCCTCCCCGGGTATCGCCATTGCTCTTCCTAGCGCTGGTGGCGAAATCCGACTGGAGCCTCTCCACGAATGCCTCATAGCCATCGCCAAGCCCCTCCATTTGCCCTTCCTGGCCGGATTCTCACACCGACCTGGCCGGGCAACGCGATCGATTCCTAGGGATTGATTCACGCGGCAATCTATACCTCCATTGGCCGCTCCAATCGACCTAAGCTCGCTCGCCGCCGCTGCTCCATGGAATTCCCCAGCCCTAGGAGGAGCTCACCCGCGCGCATCACACTCCTCGTGATTCCCCAAAACCCTCGACGGGGAACTATTGAGAGCGTCCGTACGCGCTGGTCGTGGTACGGACAGAGTGCCAGGCTGGCGGATGAGGTGGACCACGGGGCTTAATGGCACGTGTCAGGAGCGACACGTGGCAGTGGGCTTTAGCGCGCTTTTGCCCTAACCCTGGGTTTAGGGTTTTGGGGGAGAAGGCACGAAATTTCACGAGAGCGCGACGGCGATGGCGGAGGCGGATTCTGGCGGCGCTGGAGGAGGCGCTGGCGGCGCTAGCACTGGCGCTGGCGGAGGGAGAAAGAATAGAATCCAGGTCTCCAACACGAAGAAGCCGCTGTTCTTCTATGTCAATCTCTCCAAGGTGCGTCCGCGGGCCGGGGTTTCTCTCCTTTTTCGCTGATTCTATGTTTTCCTGGGGCGCTCGGCAGCGATTCATGCAGCAGTACGGGGAAGTGGAGCTCTCAGGGCTTGGAATGGGTAAAACTTTCGTTGCAATCGATTTGCCGGTTTCTTATGGATTTGGAGATGTGAACAGCGATCGCGACCGTCGTGACAGTGGTGGAAATACTCAAGAACAACGGTTTGGCGCTCGAGAAGAGTAAGAGACTTTGATAAAAGATTTCTCCTTTCATTGCGGCCTTTTTCTCTGTAGAGATCTACACCTCGACGATTGAAATCCAGGACGAGCTTCGGGGGCGCCCAGTCCAGAAAGCAAAGGTAGCTTGCGTCCACTTCTCTTCTCAATTGGGAAAACCAAATCGTGTGCTCCAGATCGAGATTGTGCTCAAGAAGTCGGACAAATTCGACGAGCTCATGGAGAGTGCCGCGGAAGAGAATGGTCCTGGTGCCAATCACCAGCAAACGGAAGCGTAGCTAGCGATTTTCATCAACCGAGTGAGTAGCTAGCAAGCACGAAACGAATGTTGAGTACCTCCTTTTCCAAAGTGGTAAATTTTCTCCCAACTCAAATGTCGATCCGCGTTGTTCCATGAGGAAAACATCGTAGCGTTTCTGTCAGTCTTTAGGAAACGATCATGTCTAGGATAATGTTAGGAGACAGCCGGAGTCAACTAGCGACCCAAATGCTCTACCATAGAGCTATGCCTCCATTCCCATCTTACATGTTTCATAATTTGAATGACCACTATCCTTCTGGGATGCATTACATTTTATCAACGTATGAATATACTATAAAATAAATTATGACATTAATTTAGTTAAGAAATAGTTCTGGTTTGTTTTAGAAAATCTATAAAGGTATAAAAAAAAATATATTTAGAATATTTAGACCATCTTCTAGGATATTCTTTAATTCAATTGTGATATTCTCTTCTTTAACTTTTTTCTAATAAAAGTTTAACATTAATATTCTAACATATCACTAATATAAACCATATTTACCACTCTCTTTCCTTAAACAAAGATCGAGAGATGTGATTGTGATGAGAAGATTAACAATTATATCTAGACTTTGGCATTTGATGTTTATTATGCTATCTTTGGAAAGCAGTCTCCACACTCATATATAACTTTTGGAGAAAGAATAGAGTAATTGCAATATTTTTAGCTACCAAAGCCTAGGTTAGAGTTGTAACCACTTGCATCTATGAGCACTATAATCGGGGAGCTAAAACAATTGATTAAAAATATTCTAAATACTACTTTTAAAAATGTTATATTATAAAATGTTTTATAAATTTAAATTATAGTTTTATATGTATGGTTACAATGCCATATACTAATATTAGCATAGTGAGATTTTGGTAGCTATTGAATTAATTTTAATTCAGACAACTTACTTATGGATATAAGCTAGGGTTTTTGGGCTATATATTCACATTGGTGGAGATGAGGCGCAATATTAATTGTTCTTGAGGAGTGCTTGGATTTAGAATTCTACTTTAAATTTAGCTTTTAAATTGTCTAAATTTTCCTTTCCTTATAACTTTTTCAATTTCTTCTCTTTTGCTTTTTTCTTTTTTATTCATTTTTATGGCAAAGTAGTAGCCTCCTCCTCCTTTGACTCTAAAGTAACAATTGGTGCAATTGTTCAATGTTATATGGTTGCAGTAGAACAATCAAACTTAGTTGATAGTGGTATTCATGACGTTTAGTACAACTCTTTTTGCTCTTGCTGCCAATCCTCGAGTTCAATCGAAGTCCTTCTATGGGAATGGAATGATGTTTGGTATTTGTGTAAATTTCCTATGTATCTCCAAAAGACAGCACTGCAATGGTACAATGGTTTGAGTGTAGCTATTCATAAGGATTGGAGCATTCCCCTGGACGTCTTCAAACATGCATTTGGATATGTTGACAATTGTGATGATGCCTTTTAACAATTGCATTGTTTTTGTCAAGAGCCATTTAAATCCGTGATGCAATTGACATTCGTTTCTGAAGCTTCTTGCTTTGTGCGAAGCTTAATATGTTAGAGCAAATTAAGTTGGGAATGTTGTGGGTAGCACTTCATCAAAATCTTGTAAGATTTGTGCATGTATTTGCTCCAAACATCCTTAACAATGCTCTTTTCTTGGCATAACTTTATGAGGCATTGCCTCTTCCATTTCTCGCCACATGTCTTTCAACTCCACTTCCTATGGGAGATGGTCTTGTTTCAATAAAGGTTGATGCTACTGCTGCCCGAATTCAAGGACAAAGGTGAGGACATGGTCGTGGCCATGATATCCATTGTTGGGCATGTGATGAAGTTGGTTATACTTATTGGTGTTTTCTAGATTAGCAACTTCCATTTCTTGGGTAGAGATCTTAGCGTTAATAATGTCTTATTGGTGCTACTATAATGGAAGGTCTAAACATTGAGGTAACCCTTCCATTTTTCTTTCGGGAGTATCATCAAGGGGTTCACTTGGCACCAATTTATTTAATGTTTACTTTCCAAGCTCATTTTTATAACAAGAGGTCTCCTATTATTCTCTTTGTGTTGGCTGATATAGGCTTGAGTTTATCTTTTATTGCTTGGCTTATTGTTATATGTTATTATCTACATTTACATTGTGTGGTAGAGCTCGTTTCATTTTATATGGCAACAACTGTACACACGCATGTGCACAAGACTTAGTTGTGCATGTGGGCAATCTTGAACTTGAGTTGCAGTCATTGTGGGTGGTGCCAAGTCAAGCTTTTGACCTCATCCTTAGTATAGATTAATTACAGCGTAATCATATCAAATGTGACTTTGAGGTTTCTCCCCCTTATCTCATATTTCCTTATATTTCTTCAATTTCTCTTACTTTTGTTCCTCTTTATCCTTCTGCTTTTACCTTTACATCTATCACTTTTGTCTCCCCATTACTTCTTCTTACATTTCCATTTTGTTCTTTTATTCCCTCTTCTAATCCTTCTGACGATCTTTGTGTTGTAGTAATTGATCAACTCATGAAGGAGTATGTTGATCTTTTTGAATTTGACCTATTGTCTAGGGCTAAGATTGCAATATGTCATCCTATTCCAACTGGGGATGCTCATCTAATCAAAGTTTCTATTTGTCATTGGTTGCCAAAAGAGATCAAGATTTTATATACAAACGTCAAAGAGATGTTAGAAAAGGGTGTTATTCAAAAGTCACAGAGTCCTTGGATATTTAAACCTCATCTTATGACAAAACCTAATGGAAGTATTCATTTCTATATCAACTATCATCTGTTAAACAAAGTGATGGTCTTGGGAGTGTACCCTCTTCCTCACACTGCTGATATCTTGGATTGTCTAAGAAGAAGTCATTGGTTTACCAAGTTAGATCTTGTTTTTGGGTATTGGCAAGTGTTAAGGAAGATATTCTTAAAACTATTTTTCATACACTATTTGGTTTGTACGAGTTGTTGATGATGTTGTTTGGTTTGACCCAACCTCGGACTTAGTCTTAGACTTGATCTTGAACTTGATTTTATCTAATGAAGTCTTTATCATTTTAATTATAGTTTCAGAGATCCTTTAGTGTATGACACTTTGGGGAGTTGGTTCCTTGCAACTCCACCACCTATAAAAAAAATTTGATATTCATATTAAACGTCTTTATTTAATCATATGACTTGCTGACCATGTCTCTGGGGGGATCCCTCCACGTCTAAGTCACCCTCCCCAGCTAAGAGCCCATAACAATGGGATATACCCCTCACCTCACCAAACTCTAGTATAGGGTTGGGACTTGAACCCAACCTTGCTTTACTAGAGGGTTACAATTCAAATTCAAGTTCTGTAAAATACATCTGCGGGGAGTCGAGTGTAGGCTCTTACACTTAGTCAACTTAGCTAACCCATGCTAATTAACTTACCTTTGGCACACCTTTAGGTCCCAACATATGATATTGCTCAATTTCACAAATGGATACTTTAATTAAACTTTGCATAAGTACATAAAGTTTTACCTTGCAAAATTCTTCCTTTAGATCTTATATGTTTGCTAAATTCTCCTTCGGTTCCCATGTTGTTTTGCAAAGTGGAAATCCTTTCCACTTCATATAGAACTCCCTCACCTTACATCCTTGTCATTTGCTCTTGTGCACATTAAGGATGGCCTCTACGTCGTATTCCTCTTCCCCTTAAATAGCCTTGGGTAAAGGTCTTACTTGGTTTTTGCGAAGTAGATCCTCAAAATACGGTTTGAGTAAGTTCACATAAAACATATAATGCATCTTCCCCACCGAGGAAGTCAAAGACAATAAACCACTTTACCAATTCGAATCTCAATCTAAGCTCTTGAATTTAGACTTTTGGAGAGGTCACCTAGCCCAGTATTATTCAAACCCAAGGACACTTAACCCTAAGTATCCCAAAACCCTTAACCAATTGGAAAAAGAGGTGCATTCTTATTCATGGGCCCTTTCCCTTTATATTTGACCCCTTATGGATCATCTTTCGAGTTGTTCCCTTTTATTGCTTATAATTCACCACGCTTCCCTGCAAGTTCATACCATCATGAACGAAAGCTGAGAGCCACAACTCTCTCAAGAGCCCTACTCTTTTGACACCCTACCCCTTGAGTCGAGCCTAGCTTGAGCAAATTAAACCTACCAAATATCAATTAATATGTGGTGTGATTCCCCTAACCAATCAATAGAATCAAACCCAAGACCCCTCTAATACCAAATCTAAGCTCTTGAATTTAGACTTCCTAAGAAGTCATCTAGCTTAGTACTATTCAAACCCAAGGATGCTTAATCTTAAGTATCCCAAAATCTTTAACTGATTGGAAAAGGAGGTGCACTTTTATTCATGAACCCTTTCCCTCTATATTTAAACTCTTATGGATTGTCTCTCGAATCGTTCCCTTTAGTAGTTTATAGTAAATTGACTTGAGATTGAACTTGGGGGTTAGGGGCCTCAAGTGGGAGTGAGCATGGAGTTAGGTGGTGCCAGAAAGGCCACTCAAAGAAGTGCTTAAAAGTAGCTCCCACTCTCGAAAGGGAAACCAACTGTAGTGCTCCTAACTCATGTCGAGTGGTGCCCCACATGAATACCACTCCTTCCTAAGGGTTTAGGCATTCCCTTTAAGATGGAAGTGGGGGAGTAAGGGTACCCATACTCCCCCACTTAGGCCATGGTGTTTTCCCCCAAAGTCCCAAAGTAAGTGATGCACTTAAACCTTAAAATTTAGAGGGTCCCATGATTAAGTCTTGATGTACCAAGGGATTTTAGGAATCTGGAGGTTTGGTGTGCTTGATTGCTTGTGCTTGCAAGGAGTGTAGCCAAACTTTAAGTCTAGTTTAACCCAAAAAGGGGGATTGGGAGAGAATTTAGGAATCTGTGGATGGATGGCTAACACTCTTCTACTTGTGTAGTGAGTAGTTAAATCTATGTAGGAGCTGGTACAATAAGTGGGATTTTAACTAAGCCCAAGGTGGTGGTGGTCGGATAAATAAGGTAAGTTGGCAAATTGGAAAAGAAAAATTTATGGCTTACAACTGATTTAGGCATATCATTAAGTGAGGGGATATCCTTATGGCTATGGTCAACAAGTCGTAAGGTTAATTAGGTT